CCAAGCCGTTGCACGTGTATAAAGAACATCAGGTATCAAGTCAATGAAACAGAGGGCCATGGCTGCCCGTTGCTCCTTGCAGAGCACAGAGCCCTGCAGGAAACCTAGCAGCAAGCTTGCTCTCTAGCACCACTGTTTCTTCTCCACGCCTTCTGTTCCCCTACAGACTGGAGCTGAAACTGCTAGATCTGAGCTGAGCACCTGCTGACACACAGCAAATCCGAAACACCACAGAGCAGCTCCGTTCTGGAGCTTCTCTTGACTTCCTCCCAGATGGGCAGCAGCCTCCTGGGAAAGCTTCTGGGTTTCCGTTCGGTTGTGTTTGGGATTCAGTGCAGTGCTCCCAGCTGACAGGGCTTCAGGTGGGACAGCAGGGATCAGAGGTGAAAGCTGTGACTTGGGCTGAGCTGCAGTCTGCAGTGTGATGGGATGGGATGAATGCAATAGTCCCTCTTACTTGCTTGTTCTCATGGTCTGATTTTGCATAAAAACACAGCAGTCAGATTTTCAGAGCACACACCAGCATGCCAATACTGTTCTTAAGGGCTGCAGTGCAGCCAGAGCGATTGCAAATACAAACCAGCTGGGCAAATGCTCCGATGTTTCTGAGAGCAGCTGCCATCCTGAGAGCAGCTCAAACTTTCTTTGTTTCTACTGTCCTTGCAGAACAACAGCTCCTAGGAGCAACAACTATTACTTCCTCAAGTTCAGACCTTTGTTAGTCAGCACAATAAACCCTTTTCTGCTCCTGGGATGAAAGTAGCACAGTGTTATCGCTGAAGCAGTGTATGCTGAAATGCTCTGTCTGTCCCCGTGTTCATAGCAGCTATTTATTTCAGCTTCATTAATGGCCTCCAGCTCCAACATCCATCCCAGCTTCAGCTGAAGCACGTATTGCTCTGGGAGAGGATTTGAGTGGAGCCATCTACCTCCTTTGAGGTGTTTGTTACACATGTCCAAACGTTGCCTCAATTCACTGTGAGATGACCATAGAATCATAGAATAGCTTGGGTTGGAAGGGACCTCAGGGATCATCAAGTTGCAATTCCCTGCCCCTGGTGATTTTATGGCGTGGGTTATTCTGGTTGGTTTGGGGGCTTCCAATTTCGGCACTGGTGAGGAATGTCCTGAGCTCGTCTCCATCCAACTCCATCAGTGCAGTGCTGATCTTCACCCAGCACCTGTCCCAGCCACAGCCACTGCAGCTTCAGCGATGGGGAAAATAAAGCACCATGAGTCATGTGCTGTAGAGCAGGGAGATAAAGTGCTGCAGCCCCCTGCATGCTCCGTGGAGCTGCTTGTGAACACACCAACACTGCTCCGCGAGTCACAGCGCTCCGAGGCAGAAAGCAAAGGGGTTTGGCAGTGTGGCCTAAGTAGCCCTGTTTACAGAAAGTCTGACAAAACACGAGCCCTTGGCTTTATCTTTCCCATTTGGAAATAGCCACAGAGCAAATATACCTAAGGCATGAAGGGAGGGGGATTCGTATTGACTTTAGAAAAAGCTGTTCTTTAAAAACAGGAACAAACTCTCATCCCCGAGGTGTGTGCATGGGTGCTGGATCCAAAAGTGCTGTGCGGGGTTACAGCCTGCCTGCTAACCTGTGTCACTTCTGTGTGAACAAGTCATGCAGTAAACTGCTCTCTGTTAATTTTTTAATGCAGAATAAACAGGTCAAGAAATGATTAGCATGAGAATAAGTTGAGCTTAATCAGGAGAATCGGAAAAGATGAGAGGGAAGAGGCAAACCGGAGTTATCAGTTAACCATATGGAGAGGTTCTGCCTCCAAGAGTGTCCTCCTTCTGAAGCTGCCTACCTTTCCCTTCTCTAATTTCAATGATGAGCTAAAATTGCTGGTATAAGCACAATGGAAGCCCTTGTTTCACCTTCTTGTTTTCTATGGCTGCCCAAATGGATTGCAGGTGATAAGGCTCCTACCTGGTCGCTACAGATGGCCGTCTCCATTCCGCCTTCAGGAAGGAAGCTGCTGAAGTGAGGGCTGAAAGGCACAAAATCCACGTTCAGCACATTGGAGTGCTCTGCTCTGGTGCAAAAGTGGTGGCGCGATCCTGGCAGAGCAGAGACACGCGTGGGCAAGGGGAAACGCAGCCCTCGGGACTGCTTGGAGTTTGGTCAGTGGCTGCAGATCTATATTCTCAGATAGGCAGGACTTTGTCCACAAACTGGAATTTGAAATTTCAAAGGGGAGTTAAAAAAAAAACAACAGAAGGGACCTTTGCATGTGTGGGGATGACTGCGCCGTGACGTTCTCTGGGACTGTTGTTTCATGTCTGGTTCCTCAGTTCTGTGCTTCCCCACCTGCTTGCTTGGTGGAACAGCAGTGGCCTCAAAGGGCTGCCTGAAAAGCCCTGGCCTTGTTCACAGCTTTCCTGCACTAGGGATGCTCGAGATCCAATGAGACAAAACCCTGAGCAGCCCATGATGCTCTCAGCAGGCCCTGTGTGGTACGTGAGACTCCTGAGGTCCCCTTCAACCTGAATTGTCCTTCGGTCCTACAGCACTCCATTGTGGAGGAGCCCTGTGAGAGGCTCACCCACCTGAAACCAGGAGCTAGCAAGCATGGTATACCGAATGGAATCACCATAAACACTCCATTAAATAATCTATTCCTGATCCTCATCTACTGATAAGCACAGATCTTATTTTCAGGGAATTCCCTTTTGCTTGGGATTAATTTGCCAAATATATAAAGTGGAATTAGTGTCATGAGGTGCTGCAGTGGAAAAAGACAGGAGGATTTATTGCTCAGCTGACAAAAATCAAATATTCACTTAGCACAGAAGGCTGCACGTCCTGGGGCTGTAATGGCTCCTCTACAGCCATCTCCTGGCATAGCTGGAGGGTACAAAAAAACCCATCTCCATCCCAAAGCAACTGCGGCACATCGTGGTCCTATTAACTACTGCAGGGCATGGTGACATTGGCAAGCTGTCCCCAAAAGCTACTGTGTGGGGATGTGGGACAGAGATGAGGGCTCCCAGCATCCCAGTTTGCAGGCAGGGTCTCTATACCATGAGCCCATCCCCAGGGCAAAGGAAGTGCACAATGTCCTTCACCCCAGTGCTGAGACAAGGGTTTTGTGAGGGGGCACCAGTAGCAACAAAATGACAGCCCACACAAATATGCAGATGGAAAGCCCTGCCCCGTGAGCCACCTAATGCTCCCCAAACTTCCCTGCTCCTTATCTGCCTCTCCTGCACACAGTGCCTCTCCGTCTTCTGTTCCTGGCCCTCTTAATCCTTCCTGCCCTAGGAGCAAATGGCCTTATTTTGTCAGCAGGCTATTGAAGCAAAAGGGTTGTTTTGCTGAATGGAGCAAAACGGGCCATGCTTTTATGGTATTTTACTAGACACTGTGGCAAATCCTGCACATATTTGACCAAGTGTCTGTAGCATTTATCTAATCAAAGGGATCACCGTGGCCTGAGCAGGGCTGGGACGGAGGTCCCTGGGATGAGGCCACCGCGGGGCTGTGCTCTGCCTCAGCACCTCCACCCTGGCGCACATCATTACAACAGTTTTGGCTGAGGGCTGTTGATGCCAAAGGGAAGAACCACTGACCACAGAAGTGTAGAGACTATTTTCCCTGAAGAAAAGGATCACCTACTGTCAGCCCTAAATAAGAAATCAGGAGCTTTCCCTTGCTCTCTGCTTTGCTCCTGCAGATCTGTAGCCTTAAGATAAAAGTACCCCTTGGTACATGATGCTTTTGGGAGACAAGGACTGCTTGAACAATCCTCAGTGCTTTTAAATGTGATAAGCAAATCATTGCACCAACAGTACGTATCGCTGCGGGGCCAGGGACCTCAGGGCCACACCATGGCTAGGAGGGCTTGGGAAGCTAGGGCTGTACTGGCGCACTAAGAAGCACAAACACAAGCAAGTTTGGAGCCCAAATTGGCAGCGTGTGGCCTCGGTCACCTGGTACTGATTGTGAAATCAAGGGGAGGTTTTCAATGCAGAGCAAGCTGATGCTGAATCATTAATTGCTTGTTTTCCTGTGCCATCCAGACGACGCCATTGGGTAATCAATTAAATCTTGCATTGTCATGTGGTGCAAATTGCACTGAAACTTGTCAGCCCTGTAGAGGGCAAGCAGGGGGCCCAGAGAGCTCCTGGGTGGGCAGGAGGGAAGCAGGAGCCCTGCTGCTTGCTGCTGCTCAGTGGGGTTCTGACACAAGGCCATGGTGATGCCAGCAGGCTTGATGCAGCAGAGAGCTCTGCTTGGCTGAATTCATAGAAGGAAAAGTCATGCTGCAGAGTCAAGCCCTGCTGTGCCATAAAACACCCAATGAAACTTTTAAGAGGCCAAAGCCAGGCCAGGGTGTGCCCAACAGCGGGCAGCCCATTGCCAGCACAGCGCAGCCCAGCTGTGCCCAGTGCACCCTGCCAGCCCCGCTCGTCCCTGCACTGTCCCCTCCATTGCGTGCCTGGCACTCAGGAAAACGCTCACCCCAAAGGTTGTTTAGGCACAGCTCAGGAGCGGGACCTGTTTATAGGGCATTCAGCCCCTGTAAAACTGGGTTTATAGGGAAGTAAAATGAGTCCTACGTTGTTACTTTGCATAGCAACGTGTAAATCGCAGTGCGGGCGCTGACCTTCCCTGGGAGGGAAAGGGAGAGGAAGGAAAATGCTTTGGGAGGGAGGGAGGGAGCGAAGGCAAAGAGGGGAATGCAGAGGTAGAAGTGGGGCACAAACTTGTTCCCCAGGCAGGGATTTTTCCAGCCTTCCCCCCACTGGCGCAGCCCAGCACCAAGGTCGACAGCCCCGCAAAGGTGTTCCCTGAGCGGTGAGTGCTTCTGCCCATGGGTTCCTGGGAGCTGGGATCAGCACAGCGCCTCGAGATGCAATCATAAACAGTCAACAAGAATCACTGCTGCTCCACCAAAAAAAAAAAAACAACCAACAGCCATGCAGCGTTAGCAGTGGGTGAGATGATTAAAGATTAACCCCTGCCTCCACCCCTCTGAGGAGTATAGGCCTTGAGGCTCAGCAAATCCTTTCAGAGAAATATTTGAAATAAAAGACAACAGATAGGGGACGCAGTGAAGGCAGAGAGAGGCAGTAGGGCCAATAGCCTCGGACAAGGGAATCGGCACGATCTGGCCCGTGTTTGCCGATGATAATGCGCCTTTCCAAAGCCCTGATAGACATGGAGATGGCCGATTATAGCGCGGCGCTGGACCCGGCGTACACCACCCTGGAGTTTGAGAACATGCAGGTGCTGGCCATGGGCAGCGGTAAGTCCCCTCCGGCGGTGATGGGGCGAGTGGGGCTGCAGGGGGACACGTCCCCAGGGCAGTCAGCGAATGGCTTGGGGAGGGCGGGGGGCACGGCGGGGGTCCTGCTGCCCCCAGAGGGAAAGAGAGGTGGCTGAGGGGTGCCCTGGCGCCTAGGGGATGGGATCTGTGGTCCTCAGCAGCCTTCAGCCTGAGCTGAGGGCAGATGGGTCTTGCCACTCCCAGGCTCCCACGGAAAGGAAAAAAAGAACCATTTTGCCAACAGAATGCTACCCGTGGCTCAGCAGAAAGCCAGCTCCGAGGCAGAAAGCCAGCCCTGTCCATGTAGGAGCAGCTGTAGCTGGATCTTCCCAACAGCAGAAAGCTGCTTGCTGCCTGGCCAGGGTGCAAATCATCCCAAAATGCCACCCAAGGGCTGCCCCAGGGCTGCTCTGAGACCACGACCCTGCAGTGCTGCTGTGCAGGGGGAGCATGGGGCCACAGTGCTGCAGTGCTGGAGGTGGCCCAGGCTGGAAGGGGGACAGCAGCCCTGGCTAGGGAGAGATGGGCCCCCTCAGCAAGGTGGCATCACATTGAACTCACTAGGATTTGCAACAGTGGCCCATCCATTTGAGAACCAAGGATTCTGCTTGATCAGATGCCCAGTGATAACAGGAGATTCCTCTCCAAGTCCCCCCTAAAGTCTCTCTAAATACACAGTTAATGACTAAACTAAGCATACTGCAGAAAGTGACCCACAGGCCCTTTTTCCCCTCTCTCCATGCCACCCCTTTCCCACAGGGCAGTACCTGCAGCACAGCTTTCTGCAGGATGGAACTCCACTCCCCTTGGAGCTGCACATTCCCCTGCCCAGGCCTGGCCCTACCCACCCCAAAGCCACCCCTCAGCCCCACCAGCGAGCAGCAGGACCTTTAGGATAAGGCACAGCTCCGCTCCCAGGAGTGAGAAGCCAGGGGAGCTGCCCCGCACAGGGGCTGTGAGCTGGGCTCCGCTAGGTCGGGGATTCTACAGGTCTAGCTCAGGCACAGTGCCACATCCCACAGCCTATGGGCAGATGAGCCAGCTGGGTTATGGGGCACTGGCTCTGCTCTGCATGTGCCCAGCTCCTGGCAGGGGGCAGGTCCCACACAAATTAACTGTAACTCCAAATGAATGGCTATTAAACTCACTTCACCACAGCAGCCGGGAGCCCACGTTTCTGTCATTATAAAAGCAAGCTTAATTGGAAAGTTATCCATTAAGAAATAATTCCATTTTTGGTCAGCTCTTAGACCAAGAGGGTGTGATTTCTTTGGTAACTTCTTTACCCATTTGCAGCATGAAACACAAGCTGCTAGGAGGGATTTATGTGAACTATCACAGACAGATGAGCAGAGTGACTGGATATGGATTGGCTCTGTTTTCCTCCCTGTTGCAAAGTTCTATGTCTAGATGAAACCGAAAATTTAACTTTCTTCCCGGAAGAAGCGTCATCCAGCTGAGCCCTCTGGGTGCAATCAGAGGAGGGATCTGGGAGGAAAGCTGCTTGCTCTGCCCTGCAGAAGCGAGGGACACATGGGCCTGGCGCTGAGGAGCAGAGGAAAGAGCGTCCTGAGCTGGCACAGGAACACAGCACCTCAGCCCTGCGGTACAGCAGGGTGTGCCAGGCCCAGAGGGAACAAACTGTGACTCAGGAGAGCAATAGAAGAGGGATGTGAGGAATTAGAAAGAAAGCAGGCAGGGAAATGAGAGCTGCCACCAGAGCTGGAGGAGATGCCCTGCATAAGCTCACTGCTAGGATCACAGCATGCACTTCAGGTCACTTGTACCCACACATCTGCATCAAGGGACAGCATGAGAAGGCTGCATACCTCCTGCTGCAGAGTCCACTACAACCCCTTTCCTGCTAAGCAGAAACTAAAGTTGAAGTCCTACGACTGATGTACCACCTTAGCCCTCTCCAACACACAGACCCCAGCCAGCAAAGACAATCCCCCCATCCTGAGACTAGCCCTCTCAGGGCATTTATCCTTCTGCAGCCACTCTCTGATGGGAGCCAGGTGGGAGCAGCTGCAGCCCTTTTGGGTAAGCGTTAACTGCATCTCTGCCAAACCCAAGGGGGGTGTGGGGAGGGAGAAGGTGAGAGGGGAGATGAGGAGCACTGAGCTGTTCCCTATAACCCTGGGGAGGTCAGTGCTCACCCCTCAAAGTGGCTGCCAGATCCTCAGAAATGCAAGGTGAACAATCTCTGGGAGCCCCATTGGTTGTGCAATGCCCACCTCTGTGCTATGGGATGCAGGCTGGGTAACGAGCAGTGCCTTAAAGGTCCTCTTTGTGATTCTGTCATGCTCTTAGCCTCTGTTGGCTTGCTGATCTCCACTACTGTCCTTTGAGGGGGCTGTTGGGATCACTGTACTTCAGTATTGAAATCTCAGAAGGTTTCTATGGCTTTGTAGATCCTAGGTATCATTTGCAAATGGGACTTTCTCTGAGTCCCATGCTGATACAAGAAAATGTGCCTGGGAGGGGACAATTAGATCACCTGAATAATGAGCTGATCCCTTCAGCCTTGAGGTTTGTTTGGCTTGCTGGAGGGATTTTAGTGTAGGGTTGTATGGTTTTGCTTTCAGCCTTTCAGGTGTCCTCTCCTACCCGGGCTGCTCCCATTCCCCATCCTCCCAAAAACACAGTATACATGCCAGCCCCCTTACAGCTTGTAAGGACTGCAGGGTGCATCTCATGTCCCATACTCTGGAAGATACCCAGCATACAGCCTTTTCCATGTTATAGTGCTGTCCTTTCTGGGTTGGCTCCATCAGTCCTTCTTTGCACGGTTAGTGTTGTGCCCACAAGTTCTCCAGCTGAAGCCTTATGCAATTATTATGCACTGATAGCCTCTTTCACTTGAAGCCTCTTTCAGGGCCGTAACACCATCACCTCACTATCAAACCAGCAGCTCATCCCAAGCTGTAAAACCTCAGCTCTAACTGCACCAACTCATTCTCTGGCCAAGCTGTAGATGCCAAAAGCATCTGCAAATCCCCCAGGAATTTTGGCTGTGCTTTGTGACAGCTGCAAACAGGTTTCTGCATAGCCTGAAGGCATTGCTGGTGTCGAGCTTTGGGAAGAGCTGCTTGCCCTGGCACACCAGCGGCATTAGCACATTCTAGATGCAATGACTTAGGATACCCAGAGCACCCATCACTGCTTGTGAACTGCTGCAGGTGCCCAGTTCTTCAGAAAATCACTGGAAAAGGAGTTAGGAGATGTTAGCTGTCTGTCTCACTGTGTTCTTGCTGTGTCCTTTCCCAAGCAGACACATCTCCATCAGAAGCAGCCAACCTCAACACCTCCAACAGCATTGGGGTGAGTGCACTGTGTGCCATCTGCGGGGACCGTGCCACAGGGAAGCACTACGGGGCTTCCAGCTGCGATGGCTGCAAAGGCTTCTTCAGGAGGAGTGTGCGGAAGAACCACATGTACTCCTGCAGGTAAGGACAGAGGGGGACAAGGCATCCCCCAGCAGCTGTGCAGCAAAGCTGAGTTCTGCAGCTTTGCAGAAGAGTGCAAAGAATGCCCTTCATTCTCTCCATATTCTCCAGTGTCTTCCTTGACCTCTGGCTGGAAAGAGTCAGGTGCACGGAAGAGCTCTTGCTCTGACACTTCTCTGGCAACATGCTGGTAATGCAGCATGCCCATCTCTGCGTGTCCCGTGACAGGATAGGACAAGCATGTTGCTCGTACCACTCACACACTGTACCTTGTGCTGCTAGTACAAGGCCCTCAGCTCCGCTGTGACATGCTGCTTGCTGCTCTGAGCAGCTGAGACTGAGAGGTTTGCAGTGGAAATCAAGAATCCTCAGCTTAGAGTGTCAGAATCACTCTGATTTTTTGTGTGATCCACTCCTGACAGCCACTTGATGAGTGTGAGCAGCAAGATCACTCTAAAAATTTGAGCAATAAGCTCTGGACTTAGCAGTGTACGTGAAGCACACGGTTGCTTGCAACCCAGGGCTGTTTAGGATGTCTGCCCAGGAAGCCCCCTCTCCACAGCTCCAGTGGGAAAAGCCAAGGCTCCCAGTTCTCTTGACACCAGATCTTTTATGGCAGTGCTTAAAGATCTGCTTTCTGGCATCTATTTGAGCAAATCTTAACTTAGGGTTTTCAAAAGCGTGTTACAAACAAGCCTTTTCAGAGCTACAGAACTCTGCATGGCTGGAAGCCCTTCCAGAGATCTTTATGCCTTTGTCTTTGCAAGCTTGATCAATCAGCAGCAAATTAGAGCATATCTGCAAGTGAAATTCACGCTGGAAATGGCTACCAGGCTTATGCTGCATACAGAAGATCGGTGTAATGCACCGTCATCTGCAATCAATGTGGTGATACAAGTGGGTAGGAAGGAGCTGGGTGCTTGCCATCTCCTCTCTGAAGCACGGGCAGCTCAGAGCTGTTTGTGTGCCAGTGATGCCGTCCAGAGGTCAGCAGGAACCTCCTGGAGCCAACAATGCCTTGGAGAGATGTGGGGACTTCTGCCTCTCCTCTCCTCTCCTCTCCTCTCCTCTCCTCTCCTCTCCTCTCCTCTCCTCTCCTCTCCTCTCCTCTCCTCTCCTCTCCTCTCCTCTCCTCTCCTCTCCTCTCCTCTCCTCTCCTCTCCTCTCCTCTCCTCTCCTCTCCTCTCCTCTCCTCTCCTCTCCTCTCCTCTCCTCTCCTCTCCTCTCCTCTCCTCTCCTCTCCTCTCCTCTCCTCTCCTCTCCTCTCCTCTCCTCTCCTCTCCACAGGCTCAATCCCACTGCTCCTCACACCTCTGTTTCTCCGCAGGTTTAACAGGCAGTGTGTGGTAGACAAAGACAAAAGAAACCAGTGCCGATACTGCAGGCTTAAGAAGTGCTTCCGAGCAGGGATGAAGAAGGAAGGTGGGTGCCTTCCCCTCCCTGCCCTCAGCACAGACCAGCCCTCCCTCATGGCAGGCAGGGAGATATTGGCTGTTGCCATGAGCCCTGTGAAGGCCCAGCTGCCCACTTCAAGCCGCACAGAACCCTTGCACTCGGTTAAGGTTCCCAGCAAAGCATGCAGGCTTTGTGTGCTCTCAAACTCATTCCAGGGGGCCTATTTAGATGCCAGCAAAGACAAAGCCAGGAGAGAGTCACAGGGCCATGCCCCATCTTGTACCTACAAGTCACATCCACAGCTTTCAGCTTGCTCACACTGAGATGCTTGAAGCTCAGAAGAGGTCTGAGTCATTCAGAAGCACTTTGGGAAAATTGCTGTGTCACCTACAAATCTGTGTCAGGACTGCAGAAAAGCATGCAGCAACCCTTTTGCCCCTCAGCTTGCTCACGTGGAGGTAGGTTCTTGTGGGCCCTATGCAGAGAGCTGAGTTGTGTCTGATACATCAGCCACAACAGAAAAGACCCAGGGCAAGGTGGAGCATTTCAGTTATAATTCTACCCGGGCTTGCATGGCCCAGGTGACCCCACTAACCTCCCTGCATCTCTGCCTCTGCAGCCTTCCAGGTCCCCACAAGCCAGATACAGTGGAGATAAATTCAGTCCCTGCTCAGCTCGCAGCAGCGCTCAGCATAGCAGGGACAACTGGGGCTGCCACTGGCCCTGTCAGCTGGTGGCCCCACTGGTGGCTCTGCTGGAGGAGAGACAAAAGCTGTGCCCCAAGGATGCCGGCCTGTGGGAAGGCCTCTGAGCAGGAACCCTTCTCCCTTATTACAGTAGATGAGGTGTTGAGAGGAACTGGGCTTGACTTTCTTGTAGAACACAGGAATCCTCCTCTCCCCGCAAAGCCCGCTCATCCCATGCCCAGAGCTTTGCTGCTGTCTGTTAATATTCAATAGAAGTTACATTAGGTGCATGACCAGCTAATACTGAGCAAACATTTGGAAAACATCATGGCGTGACTGAACTCGGGGGCCTGCTACTGATAACAAGCAGCATAACCTTGAGAGCTCCTATTTACAGCCGCTGACTGCAGGGCTTTGCTTCTGGCCCAGCCTCATTATTGCTTTTTATCAGGCAGATTTATACATTGAGAACGTATCAATCCAGAGAGCCGCCGGCCTAAGGAAGAGACTGTTCTCTTTCCCTTGCCATCGATCAATACCTTGTTTGAGCAGATGGCTTTGGGTGACTGCCTTGGCCGTGGTGAGTTACGGCCAGCCCACAGCCCCGTGGCACAGAGAGGCAAACTCTGCACTTCAGCATTGCTGCTGCTTCAGACTCATGGCCCAGGCCCTTCTCTAGAGCACACCAAGCAGGGAGGCATGCTGGGCTCATATCTGCCTGGGACTCTCTACATTAAGGTATAAAGGCTCTCTGTGGCTCTGCATAGATGCATAGGAGCTATTCTGCATTTCCTCCCTTACTGAAGCTGAGAGAGATGTTTGCAGCTGCACCTACGCAGCACAAGAGCTTCTCAAATGCAGCTCACAGATGTTGCACGGACAGATAAAATAGCCATGCAGATACCTGGCTACTTGACTTCACACATAAGCTTTGGGCTACCTGCGTGAGCATGGCCACACTCTCAAGCATTCCCCTAAGAAACAGATCCTATACCTTGAAATCAAAATACTGAGAAACAGATTCCTTGAGATGTAACTCCCCCATTGAACTTTGAAGGTTTTGAGTCAAGCACTGGGGTTCTGAAACACCCCAGTCCCCACAAAGCCAAGTATAGACAATGTGAAAAAGAATGAGCAAATGTAGTCAGCTCCTGCAGGCATCACGTCACAAACCAGACACAGCTGCACCTCTGCCTTGGCAGGCAGGGAAGCTAGGAAACTGCAGCTCAGGAAGTGGTCCAAAGCCTTGCGAAAGAGAACGCTACAAGAATCTGATAGCTTTTGCTGTGTGTTTCCATGAACAACCTGCATCTGTGCCAAAATCCTCTCTTGCAGCTGTACAAAATGAACGGGACCGAATCAGCACCCGAAGATCAAGTTATGAAGATGGCAGCTTGCCCTCCATCAACGTCTTACTGCAGGCAGAAGTCCTGGCACAACAGGTAGCTCTTCTTTCCTCTTCGGCTGATATAGGCACTAGGGCTGCTGAGTAGTTAACAGCTGAGTCTTCAAATTACCACCTCCTTTCTAAGTAACTTATCTGCCAATTCAACTCTGGTTTTTCAAAAGCATTTGTTACGTGAAACCAGCCCTTCAATGCTCCTTAAATTGTGCTGCAATAATAGCCAATGGTCTGTTCTGCACTGGGGAGTCTGCTGGAAGAGAAGTGGGCAGTGATTGCAATCCAAGGAGCTGTGACCTTGCACAGGCAGCCTCCCTTCTCCAGTGCCTGTCAGGAACTCCTGGTTTTTGGTTACCTGCACAGTTCCACAAGGAATCGGTTTCATGCTTCTTTTTTTTTAATGTAGATATTCTTTCCAGCGTTTTCTTGAAATTCCTGACTTCCACAAACATAGTGCCAAAGCTTACTTCCTAGAGCATTCACTGAATGGAAAACAGCTATTTAAAAATCCATCCCCTTGTCCTCATGGAAACAAAGACGGGTTCAAGCTGGAGCGGCAGTCCATGTTCATGTGGCCCTGCAGACGGCCCCCAGGACAGGAATCCATTCTAGGGATGGCTGGAAGGACACCCCCTTCAAGGGGGGATATGCCAGAAGGGCTGCAGGCCAAGCCTCTACAGCGGTGGCACGTCCAAGCTCATCCCGTGTCTCACTTCATCCTACACAGGTCCTAATGTATTTACATGCCCTCTGAAAATAACATTGGTGCTGCTCCCAGAGAGGTGAGATCATGGGGTCTTGAGACCTACAAGGGACGGGCATTCCTGGGGCCCTGAGTCCTGTAGTGGACACGAGGTGGAGGGTTCAAGTGGGGTCTGCTGATAAAACTACAGCTACTGACAAATGTAGGGGAGCTGTCACTCTCCCATAGAGCACAGACACATTCATTAAACAAGGCAGACTCCTGCATACTACACTACATACTAACTTTTATATGCCTGGCTAATTAGAACAAGATACTGCTGAGGAGCTGTTTTCTCTAAGATCAGGGTTTTATTTGCTAAGCCTTCCGGGGCTCTCTGATTAGGGTAATACATGGTGAGATTGTTACAATCTTATTTATTCAATAATATCTCTAGAGCTGGAGAGCTTCCAGGTAATGCAACCTGAAAAAAACCTCGGGTGGTATTTGGACTCCATTTCCTTAGGGAGGTGGCAGGGTCTGAGCTGGCAGGAACAGGACAGGAAGAGCTGATGTTGTACATGAGCAGAGAGGGCAGGCGGAGGGCAGTGATGGGGTTGAGTTAATTGCTTACAGAAGCATGAGGATAAAGTGGTGACGAAGGGCAAATTGTCAGATGAGCTGAGTGATCAGCTATGCATGGGAACGGGGCAGGAAGCTGATGCTTGGGTTTGAGATGTTCTTCCTTGGAGTGATGGTACTTGCAGAGCTCTTAGGTTTGTCCTTAGTATGTGAAATGTCCCCATCTGCCTCTGCGATCACAAATAATTCTCAGTGCAAAAACATAGTAATCTCACTGCCGGGGCCTGCTAAACACAGCACCCAAACCTTCCCAAGCCTGGGATTTGTCTGTTCTCCTGCTGAGGGATCCTTTCTCTCTTCCCAGATATCATCCCCAGTCCTTGTGATGAACGGAGACATCCGAGGGAAGAAGATCGCCAACATCGCCGATGTGTGCGAGTCCATGAAGCAGCAGCTGCTGGTGCTGGTGGAGTGGGCCAAGTACATCCCTGCGTTCTGCGAGCTGCCCCTGGACGACCAGGTGAGCAGACCTGTCCCCCCGCCTCACTCTGCCCCGGTGATGGCATCGGGAAGCCAAACGAGGGCTGAGACCTTCAAAGAAAATGAGCATTGTTTGCTCCGCTGTCGTGACTGCCGGCCTGATTGGGAGCAGCATCCATACAATGCCACCGCAGGCCGTTTGATGTGCGATAATCAGCCGATGAGCGCAGCGGTGATAACAGCGAGCTCAAGTTAGGTACACAATCAGGTGTGCGTTCTGTGTGTATCTGCCAGTCAATTGTTTATTAATTATGGCTTGTGCAGCGCTTTGAAAACCTAAGGCGCTATACAGAATGATTAGAGTAGTCAGACTTAGCAGGAATTCTCACCTAAGGTCTGCTCAACGCTTAAAATCAAACTATTTGTCTATCATTCTTTCTGTTTCTTGCCAGGGATGTGTTTCTACCCATCCTCCTACTGTGGAAATACTGAAACTAAACACAATTTTGTTCCCAAATAAGAAAATCTCTCTTCTGAGTTAAAAAGCAAGAATATATTTAACACGAATTTCACTGCATTTAACACGAATGATCAATTGACATTTGCTAGTTTCCTAACCAGGGTAAGCACCGTGGGTTTGAATTGCTCTGTAAAGTAACTCTGCAAGACCTGAGGCAGCCTCAAAGAGATACAGGGAGGTTTTTGCTGCTAAACCCAAATGTCAGAGATCTGCAGCAGATTTTACAGGACATGGCTGTGCCCTGGCATTTGAGGGGGATGGGCAGGAACATCACTTCTGGAGGCAGCCAGCATGGTTTGTGTCCCACGTAGGAAGGGATTCAGGGATTCCCATTTAGCCATTGTGCAGTCAAAAAAATCAGCCTGGATCAATCTCCAGTCCTGTTACAGAAAGTGAGAGGATCCAGCTGGTCACAAAATCCCAGGCTGAGATCTTCAGTAATCACCCAGCAGCTCTTTCAATGACTTTTTACAGCACTTGCTTCCCTTTTTTCTTTTTTTTTTTTTTCCTCCATTCTGTGGAAGTGTTCCATTATTCAAAGCAACAGCTAGTCCACTAAACTCCTATGGCAAATGCAACTCAAATTTTATGAAAAACAAAATGGAGCCCAATGGCGAGTGACATTTGCACAGCAAAGAGGCTGCAGCCTCACAGAGACCTGGGGCAGCACTGCATAACCTCCTGCATCCTTCTGCCATTTGGAACAGAGGCAGTAAAGCTGGTTAACAGCTCTGCAAACGACAGCAATTTCCACATGAGCTCATTTTACAATTGCGGGGCTGTCAGACTTTTCAACAGAAGGAAAGTTTGGCAGCCCTGCCATTGCAAAATCAAAACCTAAGGAGGCCGTCGGAGCCCTTCCCACAGGGGAGGAGGCGCTTCAAACTGGAGGAGGTCTTCTGCTGTGGTCATCCTGCGCTGTTCTCCTACAACAGGCAGCTCCCAAAGGGCAAAGACGACCTGCATCAAAAGGAATTAATGACATCCATGCTTTCGAGGGACACAGTGTGAGAACAGGGACAGCAAATACCCAGAGGAATGCGGGGAGGACAGAAATGGCAGAGACAGAAATGGCAGGAGTGAACAAAAATGCACAAGCCCAGTGCCCAAGGGGCATGAGAGCTGGTCAAGACATGTCTGGTGGGAACACTGAATGTTGGAAACGCTGGTACATTGCCACTGCAATACTGCCTGAGAATGAGTCATCTCTGCCAGCGCTTACATACAAAAGGTCACACCCAACTCATTTTTCCTCTGCAGCAAAATGTCAAAGCGCTGGGCTTGGTGGGGCAAAGCCATTTCATTTCAAAGTTAAAGTTCTACTTTGTTGTGTTACAACTTTTATATTTATCGTTAAAGTTCTACTTTGATGTGTTACAACTTCTGTGTTTACCCTGGCTGAGAACAGGCCGATGTACCTCAGGCTGATCACCAAAAGAACAAATATCACTTAAGAGGGTTTTGCCACATTGAAGTAAACTACGTGAACTCTGCTCAAACAAAAAAAGACCACAGATTTTATGCAAACAAAGCGGTGTTTCTGTTTCCTGAGCTTTTCTTGAATTTGTAACAGGCAGAAGAGCTCTCCATGAGGCTCCATTGCCCACTGGGAAGTGAAGTCTTTTCAACCTTCTCAAATTTTTGGCAGATGGGGAAGCTCAGTTTTGTGCAGCTCTGCTAATTACGAGCAGCTCAGCGAACACATCCACCCATGTTTGGACAGCGATAGAGAGAAGCTAGATTTTGGCATACAGATAAAGGCTCCCCAGCATCGTGCATGCATAGTCTTTTTGCAAGGACCTTCACTCTGTTTATTTTGCATAACTCTTTTACACCCTCTGAAAAAAACAAGCCCTCTCTCAGACATCAGCATCTTTTCTAATCAGTGCTTTCTTCCCCAGGTGACACACACTCCGGACATTTCGGGCAGGGTAGGGCTTTGCTTGGCTTTGTCAGATGCTCAGAGATAACATACTGAGAAAGGGAACCATTCCCAACAGGACACACTTTTCAGAATCTCTCCTTTAATGTTTAATGGTTGTTTTCTTCAGCAGAGGATCCTGGCTGGACATTAAGAGGCCTCTGCGTCAGGCTGTCCAATTGTTAACTTCTGTTTCTGCCTAAATCTCTGAAATTTTTAACTGAAGGAGAGCGAAAGATTCAGAACATTCTCAGGAGCCACTGGAGGGTATAAAATGAAACACTTCAATCATTAACACTGGGGCAGAAAAACATCCCCTTGGCTTCCCTGGCCCAAACGCCCGTTGCTGCAGAAGGAGCAAGGTGACCAGAGGGTGACCCCAGCAGCCAGCAGACGTGGATCTCGAGTGGGATTTCAGCAGGATGTGGGCACCGCTCAGAGATAAAGCAAAACATCATCTCCCCTCACACAGGCACTTGGGGAAGAATCATTCCTGGGCCACTGAACACAGCTCAGCCTTGTGTCTGTCTCTGCATCACACAAGTAACGCATCCCTACTCTTACAGGTGGCACTGCTGCGGGCACATGCAGGTGAACATCTGTTACTGGGAGTTGCCAAGAGGTCCATGGTGTTCAAGGATGTCTTGCTGCTAGGTAAAGAGTGCACTTCTGCTCCCTACCAACTGCTTCTGCTAAGCTTTCCTGCCAGGCTAAAGGGGTGGGTGGCTCAGTGTCTGCAGGCATCCCTTCTGCAGAGTGGTGGATTGAGCCCTTCTCTGTTTTAGGGAGCCAAACACAAGCTTTAGGTGTAGCTAGGCCTGGCTCACACTCACATCATTGACACACTCCTGTGGCAAACATGGAGGACAGTGAACATCCACATCACTGCTCTGGCTCAGCATGAGCAGGCAGTGGCATGGCTGAGAAAACAGCTCTTTTTCTTCAGGCATCTTCTTGCTTGAGTAATTCCCAATAGGTTGCTCTGGCAACTCAGATCATCATTTCTGGTGGGCCACAATAGGGATGGGACTGAAACAGAAACTTCTTAAGGCTTCCATTGTAAAATTATCTCAACATTAGTCCCCTGGATTTTGAACTCCTTGCTACCCTTATGAAGGCTTGGGCAATGTCAAGGTGATGGTCTGTGTCCTGCTTGTCCAAAGGGAATGACCACATCATCCCGCGGAACTGCCCTGAGCTGGTAGAGGTGAACCGTGTGGCCATCCGCATCCTAGATGAGCTGGTCCTCCCCTTCCAGGAGCTGCAGATAGACGACAATGAATACGCCTGCTTGAAAGCCATCATCTTCTTCGACCCAGGTATGAGCCAGCTTACAGCAGGCAAGTGTCACCAGCACAGGGAACAAGTCTGTTATGCCCACTGATACTAGTTGGAAGTTGTGGAAATGCTGCCTGATCTCCTCTCAGGCCCAAACTGTTCTTAAAAGGAGGGGTGAGGTCAGCCCAAGAGGAAAAACACCTGCTGCTATTGACAGTAGAGTATCAGACAGCTCACCTCAGCCTGTGCCCAGAGCTCATGCTATCACTAAAGGACAGTTACTAGGGGAGCAGCCTAGATGGCTTTGCTCTGTGTGTTGTTTCAGATGCCAAAGGACTGAGCGATCCCTCCAAGATCAAGCGGATGCGGTACCAGGTGCAGGTCAGCCTGGAGGACTACATCAATGACAGGCAATACGACTCACGGGGCCGCTTTGGGGAGCTGCTGCTGCTGCTGCCCGTGCTGCAGAGCATCACCTGGCAGATGATAGAGCAGATCCAGTTTGTCAAGCTCTTTGGCATGGCTAAGATTGACAACTTGCTGCAGGAGATGCTGCTGGGAGGTGAGTATGTGAGGGTCCTGCAAGAGCACTCTTGGTGCTCCCTAATCACCATTCCATTGGGAACTACATAGCCATTGTTCACCTGAAAAAGGTGGAGACTCGGCCTTCACCTCCAGGTCAGCACCTTGACTTGCATGAAAATATCTCACCTGTCAATTGCTGTGATAACACAGACTACTCCATTTCTATTCCCCTGAAGAGCTGCTTTACTTTGCAACCCCCAAACTCTTGCCAGCCAGCTTTTTCTCTAGTCCTCCCCTGTCAGAAGGGAACCAGCAAAACCAAAGGGTCTGAAAGATCAGCTTGACAGTGTGTCCCTGCCCTCCTGAGCTGTCTCTGTCTGCCACTGTGGCAACAAAAGTGATATGCACATTTTTAGGTTCATCAAGTGAAACGCCACATGCTCACCACCCCTTGCATCCTCATCTGATCCAGGAGAACCTGGGAACAAACGTCATTGTGGCCAACACAATGCCTCCTCAGATGCACAATGGGCAGATGTGTGAGTATCACCAGGGAGATGGGAGCTTTCCAGCGTGGGTGGAGGTAGTTTCTACCTTGCAAGGAAACTTCAATGCAAGATAGAGCCTCTGATCAAGTGTGTGAGAAACTCCTATGCAGAAAGGAGGGAAAGACAAACAGAGAAGTGGGTTAGATTAGATTAGACTAGATTAACTGATTCAACAAGATGTTCCGTGTCAGACTGCCACTTTTACATAGCCCTTAAATTCAGGGATGAATGATCCCATCCAGTGCCTAATGAAATCAAAGGAAAGACTTCCCTTCCCCTGAATGCCTCAAACACACACTACTTCCTCTGCAAAAACGTAGGAGAATTTTGTTCACTCAGGGCCACCACATGGGAATTTGGACTGAGATGAGCTCAGCTGACCAAAAAGTGTGGTCAGCACAGATTAAAAGGCAGCAGCTCTCTTCATCCACTGCTCATTATTATGCCTCTTCCAGGACACTTGGGTCTGCGTGTCAGGACTGCCATGCAGCCAACATGCAAGCCATTGGGAGCTAGGGTTTAGCTACAGAGCCTCTTTCTTGCTTACACCTGAACCTCACACATACAAGACAAATCCCAGCGCCATCAGGTCTATTGACCCTCTTCTAATTTTGCTTTTCTCTCTGTAGCTACTCCAGAAACACCTCAGCCATCTCCGCCTGCGGGTTCAGGGCCAGAGCAGTACAAGCTGCTGCCCGGAGCCATTGCAACTGTGGCAAAACAGCCCACCTCCATCCCACAGCCTGCCATCACAAAGCAGGAGGTCATCTAGCAGCCTGCAGAGCAGCTGGCCACATTTAGAAGACCGTGTGGGAGAAAAGCCTGAGCAGACTCCGTCACTGTGAAAAAAGCCATCCTGAGGACCTCGGGCACGAGCACACGGACTTGCTTATCGGACTAGGCCACCACTACCAAAAGCTGTCTTCCTGCAGCTACAGACAGCACATGCCACGGAGAGCCTCGAGTCACAGAGCTAAGACTGAAGCCTTACTGAAACCCACGTTCGTTGCAAGAAGGGCCAGACTGCTGCCTTTCCCAGTCGGGAGGCTGCAGTCCTGGTTGGGGACACTGCAGCTAGCTGTTCCGCCATTGCTACCTCTCAGCATCCATTCAGTGTACACCAGACCCTGTGAACAAGTGATCCTCCAAACCAGGAGGCTGTGCTGGGTGAAAGGAAAGGCTTCATCCTCACAGCTGTGCCGGTTCCCCAGGCAGCCCCTGGGGCAGCCAAGCTTCACTGAGGTGGGAGCTGCCCCAGGAGCACTGCTGCATCAAAGCGTGCTGGGGTTTGCCTGGCAGCACTGTCAGAACTGCTCCTCAGCCCATCCCAGATCTTTCCTCAGTCACTCTCCAACAAACCAAGCCCTCGGCCAGGTCTAACAAACCTTTCCAGCTGATGCAGGGGCAAAGTCTGTCCCACCAAGATTCTCCACTGTTGAGACCCTTCTGCTTTTGGATGGGTTTTTCTGTTTCCTCACCTGGGGCTGCCCACACCAGGCCTCAGAAGCAGCCACTGCCAAACCTTTCACACTGCTGCCTTCTCACCACCCATACAGAGCAGCTGCAGCCTGTGGGTTCAGGAAATGTCACCCAGCGGGATGGGGCCAGCCCTGCACAGGCTGGCTGTGGGCAGCACTGCTTGAAATACCAGCAGGCCCAGTGCTGCTTCTGAGCAGCCAGAGGACCCCGTGGTGCTGGTTCAGAAGAAGCAGGGGCAGGACATGTGAAAGGGAAAGAGCCTCACACATGGGCTGCCTCATGCCAGGGGATTTGTGACCCAGTAGTTCAGTTCAGAGCCAGCCTAATTCTGAGGTATGTGTCCAGCTCAGTGCCACTCCCTTTGCATTGAGTGAGTGGCTGATAACAGATTTACAGGGCTTCGTAACAGGATAAGAATTGAATTCCTTGTGGCTCCTCCAGATCTCAGAGGGTTTGGGAACAGTCACCTCATAGCAGAACACTTCAAGTCCTGCTGTGAGGATTGACAGAGATCAGGGTCAGATCCCTGCAGCCTGCACCAGCAGCACTGCCCTGGCTGTGCCCTCGTCTCCAGTCTGCCCCGTGCTTTTGTCTAAGGCCTGCCAGGGCTGCAGCCACACCAATACGACCTTTGGTTTACAGCCGAAATCAGCCAGCAGCCTTCCTGGAGCTCACACAGCAACTTCAGGCTTCCCTTCTCACTCATTGCTGGCAGCACCGAGGCAGAGGTGCCAAGAAAACCTGGAATGAACTGAATGAATGAATGGCACTTTTCATCAGAAGAGACTCGGCAGCAGATGCCCCGCATCTGTGCTCTGGAAAATCCAGCATGGAAGAAAACAATCCTGGTTATCGCTGGGGCAGCAGCAGATGTAACCATCCACAGACCGTGTTCCTGACGGTCCATGCCCCGTGGTGGGCGCCCACAGCTGCCAAGGGGCCCGGAGAGGTCCCTGGGATGGACCTGAGCTGGGCCAGAGGAGCTGCAGATCCCTCCCTCGATCGCCAATGCAAAAAGGAACCGCCTCGCCTTGCGCTGGTGGCATCCCGAGTGTTGTATCATCTCTCAGAGCTGGTGGCATTATACCCAGTAATTTATTGCAATGATGAAGCCAATCATTTTCTGTAAATTATTTTGTAAATCACATTGATTATTTATAATTGGGAAATTAAATGCAAAAAAACTTCACAAGCAGGCTGTCTTTTCCAACCTCAGCAACCCCTTTTCCTGTATGCAGAGATACTCTGTGGGGATCCCTTTTGGTCCATTTGCACCAGGCATTCCTCGATGCTGTACATCTATTTGTGCTGCTTACTGCCTTCCAGTGGAAACAGAGGAATATTTCTTCACTAGAGTTGTATTCATTAAAAAAGAAGAAGAAGAAGAAGAAGAAGAAGAAGAAGAAGAAGAAGAAGAAGAAAGAATAAATCACAAAATATTTTCTAACTTTTCCCAGACAGATGGACTTCTTTCTTCTGGGAGGACTTATTTTAAATCATGCTACTCATCTCCCTGCCTATACAAGCACAAAGTGTGTGTGCATTGAGGAAAAAAGCCCAAACAAGTGTTTGATGCTGCTGCCAGCTGCCACTGCTTTATGTTAATCTTAATGTTAGCTGGTGGCTGAGGCCTTGAGGCCATGTGTGCTGGAACCATAAGACTGAATGGCAAACTCAGTTTTCATTAAAAAAAAAAAAAAAAACCAAACACATGAAGAATAAATATTTACCTTCTATGATTCCAGAGAGCTTAAAAAATTAACCACACTCTGAGTGTCAAGTAATGGAAGCCAAACTACGTTATTAGCATTCTGAACCCATGCATTTTGAAGTCCTCATTGTATTTTAAAGGCCATTTTGGAGCAGTCTGGGTGATGCTTCTGCTTTGGCTCACACACAGCCAACTACTGCAGGCAGCAGGTGCAGCCAAAGACAGACTGAGGCTACAGGGCACAATGAGACAATAAAGTGAAAGTCAGCTTGTCTCCAGTCATAAAGGTGAAGAAATACACTGACAATCAGAGAAGGCTCTTAATGACCTGCTCTCCTGATCACAGGAGCCTGTTCTCAGCTGCAGTATGCCCAGGAAGATAACGGGAAGAGGGCAGAGAGGATCACAGTGCTGCACATTAGGTCAGGGGCAGGACCACCATCCGGCTCTGACCCCCAGGAGATGCCCTACACATCCCCCACCTGCTCCCCCAATGCAAAATGAGGGCAGTCCTGCCCTGGGGGGAGCTGCAGCCATGCACTGACCTTCAGTGACAGCTGTGTCCGTGAATGCTGCCAGCAGGTATGAGACGCAAAGCTATGCTTGAGGACTGAGTAGAGACAACACTTCATGTACACCTCCACTCCGAGGCCCCAGAGTAGGGTAGGCCTTGACTAACACTCCCTCAATATGTGCATTCCCTTCCTTGGCTGAGCAGCAGAGCCCCAGTGCCATGGCTGAACAGGTGGCATTGCAGCAAACACAGTGACTGAGTGGCTGCGCCAGGCAGAAGAAGGAAGAGATGTTAGTTCCTCACCATGAATGTGAAATTAAACCCAGGGCTCCCCTGCCTGCCACAGGAACCCTGTGAACCACAGTTGGGTTTATGCCCTAATAACACCATATAAGCAATATCAAATCTTTGAAGCAATAAATTCTCCTGGATCCCTTCTTGTGAATTACTCTATCAAGGTTGCCCTTTACCCGGTTAATCTTAAATCAGTGCAGTCCCTACAGAAGGTTTCTCACTGCTAGTTTCAACTCACTTGAAAATAAACCCACAATATGCCCCAGAGGCAACCTCGTCCTTACGTGGCATCCTCAGCCAGAGCCCTCACCCCACCTGTCCCTCCGGCCCAGAATCACAACATGGCACTGGCCTTGCCACACATTGGCTGTGTTTTATCCTCCGCAAAGGCAATGTCCCATGTCACAGGAGATGTCCTCCATGAGGACAGCTGCACTGGCCTTTTAGACAACTATTTGGCATCGTTGGGGAGGAGAGTTTTCTACTGTCCTCTTCAGTGCTGCTGTGTGAACTAAGGACATTATCCTGGGGATCAGAATCTCCAGCTGCAAGACATTTTCACGATGTCCAAGCAAAGATCTGCAGAAGTGGTATTTTTAGGTACCCTGGCCACTAAGAAATGCATTCTTTTCATATTCCTTATATAACCCTCATCTGAAACAGCCAACAGGCTTTGGAGCCTTTTCCGCAGCTTTCGTATCTCGGTGGAAAGAAACAAACAACAGAATAAATAAATAAATAAATAAATAAGGCAAATGAGTTTTATCTCTGACAAAAGCAACTATTGCTGCTATTAAACTCACAAGCGCACACAGAGACACAGATAGCCCTGAAAAACAAGAGGCGGGAGGGACAGCTCAGCAACGTGGCACTGCTGAGCCAGGCAATTCTGTGTGCCAGGCTGTGCTTCCTTCAAGGCTGAGCGCAACAAACACCAACAGCTTGGGGATGCGGGCCAGGCACCGCACATCCCCCTTCCACACCAAGAGGCCGGAGGAGGAAGGGTAAGCTGTGGGTACGTTTAAAATCCCTCTCCCCATTCCTAATGAAGGTGTGACCCTGACAGCCATAAACACACCTAGCACCTGAAAAATTGCCAGCCAGGCCAATAAACACAGCAATATAGTGTCAGCTTCGTTACGTGCGGAACGAGCAGCACAGCTCAGCACAAACAAGAACGCAGACACTTCCTTCAGCTCACTGTGTAAGGGGCTGTTGGGGTGAATGGTGTGCTCTGCACTGAAGAGGTGAACAGCACTGAATGAGCTTGGGAAGAAGAGCAGTTTGGGAATTTTATTTCTGATGTTAGATATTAGGGAAAATTTCTTCTCCAAAAGAGTGGTGATGCAATGGCACAGCTGCCCAGGGAGTGCTGGGATCACCATCCCTAGAGGTGTTCAGGAACCGTAGGGTTGTGGCACTAGGGGACATCAAGGCTAGGGGGTACAGTGGGGCGGCAGGGGGTTGGACTTGGTGGTCTTGTTTTTCCTAATCCTAATGATTCTATGATGGCAAGGCTTCCTCTGGCTTTGGACCCGGAGCACTGCCAGGCGTGCTGTGACTGCTGTCAGCTCTGAGGACTGAGACCAGCGGTGCTGCAGGACATCAGCTGTGGGAGAAGACACAGGTACACAAACTGCTTCCCACTGACATAAGGGCTTGTGATGACTACGTGGCTGAAACAGCAAAGCACTGCTCCAATCCAGTGAGAAGCAGTGCTTCCTTCATCTGGCTCCACCATTTTCAGCCTGGATTTTGCAGGATGAAACCCACGTGCTTGCTCCTGCTACTCTCACCTGTGCAGCACGGGTCCTTGAGCAGCACTCACAGCCCCACAAGCACCATCCTGCCAGGCACACATCCTCATGTAGAGACAGCTGCTGCCCTTCCAGCGTGCAAAGGCACTGGGAAACACAACAGAAGATCAGGCAAATGCTGTCTCAGTTCAGAATAAATTTAAACTACAGAAATCCCACAATATTTAAAACACTCCGAGGCCCCACCAAGCACATTCCTCACCAAGGCTTTGCAAAACCATTGCTAGTCTCAAAGCTAGAAAAGCCAAAGAGGAAAGCAGCCTTCTCAAACCCCGGGTAAGGCTGCGTGCCTGTGTCACGCTGTGTGTCTGACCACCACGTGTTCCCATGACTTCTGGGCGCAAGGTGTCTGCCTGCACACAGCTGCTCCCATGGCAGGTGTGACAGGTTTGCATACATTTGCATAGTGCAGCCTGTTTCCAGTGCTTTGCATGCACCTCTGGCCTGTCGCTCGCGTGGGCAGAGCATGTGCAGAGCAGGGGCAGAGCTCTGCAGGCGGTGCTGCTGCAATAGCAGGCAGTGCCTGAAGCCCAGGGATCAGAGCCCCTCTTGGCCCGAACTGCTCACAGATTATCTTTATTACCGGACTGTTATGTTTGCTCAGTTTAGAGATTTAATATCAGTTTAAAGCCTTCTCTGCTAGCAATGCTGTTTGAAGTCATGCTCACTTTTGGGTCTCAGCTTGCCAAGACTGTAAAATGTTTATTGCTAATGGTGGAAAAGCTTAAAGAAGCCAAGATAACTTTCCCAGGCTGGGCATTAAGACTGTTTGGATAAGTAAATGAGTGAAGAGTACTACACGGACTTCATTAAATATCAACCAACACCAACAGCCACCCATTTATAACACAACGGCAGGGCAGGAGCACCCAGCAGCAGCAGAGCTGAGAAAGGCACCAACCAGGCAACAGCAGAGGAAGGCCGGGTTCCCCACAGGCCCAGGCATGGCTCCAAGGTCAGGCAGTGCTGAACTGCTGGCTGAAGCTCCTGCAAAGTGTGGCAGAATCAGAGCCAACGAGGCAGGAGCCCCTTGTCAGCTGGGGAGGAGTGCATGCACACAGTGCAGAGCATCCTGCCTCCTGCAGGATAAGGACAGGACTCCCCAAGTAGAGGAGGGCTGCCTGGATGCCTGCTTCCATTTTTTAGCTCTCACTTCCTTATAGACGTGTTTTGCATTTACTGGTTTCTAATCGCAGGACACCACAGCACTCAGAGTAAATTACAGAAACTCTCACCACCACTCCTGTGGTATCACAGCCAGAATCTTCAGAACTCCCCCAAGACCTGGCTCCGGGCTCAGATCCTCCCTTCCTCCCCTTCACCACCTGCTGCTCTGGGAGTTCAATGCTCTCCACCTGAGGAGATCTCAGACAGGAGTTGCTGTGTTTGGGGACTGACCCCAAATTACGTTCCATCTCCAGTCCTTCACTACACTGTTCTCATTTCTGCTTTCCTTCCTTATTCTCTTTGTCTTATGCCAGCCTGTCTCCCATCCCGTCAGCTACCCACACCTACTCCCTGCTACAGCAGCAATTAACCAGCTCCATTTTTACCGACCGATCTCCTTTCTTTAGGATGCAAATTCCACCCCACTCTGCACCCTACAGCACAAACCCCAGCTCGCAACTCCGGCATTCTCCATTTGGTGTTTTAAAGCCCCTCCTCAGCCCAGCCCGACCTGCTTCTGATCACAGCACGAAACCGGGATCCAACACAGCTGGGGACATCCCTCATCCCGCTGCCTACAGGAAGCCGCACAACGCCACCAACACACGGCCCTAAATGACAGTACCTCGCGCTCCCTTCTCTTGGCATTCTTTAAAAAATGAAATGAAATGAAATAAAATAAAAAATAAAACACAGCGCGATCTCAGGCGCTACGGAGGCAGAACGGCTCCGGCTCCGCTCCCAGGCTCCCTCTCCCGGCTGAACGAAAAGCGGGCAGCGCCTGCAGCGACCTTCGTGTTACGGGAGCGATGGATCGGGGAGCGCCCGAAGGAGAGCTGCGGAGCCGGGGAAGGTGCTGAGCGCCCCGGTGTGCTCGGCGCAGAGCAGGGCAGGCGGAGGTGCGGCCTCGTGGCGGCTGCAGCTCCTCGCTGACAGCTCCGCTCTCTGGGCACGGCGGCGCGGAGGGGAACGCTCTGCCCCGGAGGGCGGCGGGGGCGACCCCGAGCTGCCGGAGCCCAGCACGCGGCTCCCACACGCGGGGCTGCGGGCCGGGGTACCGCGCAGCGCCGGTGTGCGCGGTGCGTGCTGTGCGCGCTGCGTGCTGTGCGCGGTGTGCGCGGCGGGGCGGCGCTTCCTGGCGGCAGCTCTGGTTCCGGGGCGCCGCTGCCTGGAGACGGCGCTGCCGCGCGGGGCCGCTCCGGTACGGCCGGGACTGGGGCCGCGGCGATGCCGCTGGGCGGGGGCTGCGGGTCGGAGGGGAGCGAGGCGGGGGAGCGGGGCCGGGCGGGCCGCAGAGCCGCCTGAGTGCGGGCGGGGGCCAGGCCCCGAGCCGGCAGGTGAGCGCTCCGGAGGCCTGTGCCCGCCGCTCGGACGGGTGCCGGCCCTGAGCGAACGGCGCTCGGGGATGGAACCGCCTTGTTCCGCTCCCCGCCCGGGCGGCAGGAGGCGCGCCGCGCTCCGCACTTTCTCATCTCGCCCTCCTCCCCTCGTTGCTGGGTTTAGGAGCATCCCGTTCGTTTGGCTGTGGTTTCCAGTTGGACGCTGTCGGAAGTACGTGTTAAGACAAGCCCTGCGCCGTGCAGCAAAGCCGTGTAAATCTCGTGCAACTTGTATTCTTGTTTAACTCCTGTGTTTGGCTGGGTGGCACCCAGGGGCGCTCCGTACCTGCTGTGCGGGATAAGGAGATCAGAGCCACTGCGCTTCCAAACGCCAGGAACAGAATGGCAGTGCCCGAACTGCTCTGGGCTCTAGAGCCGGTTCCTCGGCAGGGACACGGCACATCCCAAATGCATACGTGACAAAGGTCTCCTCCGACTCAAACAGTTCTTTACGCAGTAGCGGTCTGTCAGATTGCTTGTCACTTGTGAGCTTGCTTTTTCACAGATTGCTGCCACGTGATGTCAGGGGACAGCGACTGCACGAGGACGAGTCCATCCGCAGGGTCTCTGTCAGACACCGAGTTGCTGCCGGATCGGCCGAAGTATGTTTGCTCGCTGTCTCCTGATCTCGTTACCAAAGCCCGGGAGGAGCTCCAAGAGAAACCCGAATGGCGGCTCCGAGACGTGCAGGCGCTCCGAGACATGGTGTGCAAAGACTACCCCTCCCTGGGGACCTGCCTGGAAGATGCCTTTTTGCTCAGGTTCCTCAGAGCCAGGAAATTCGATTACGACCGAGCGCTCCAGCTCCTGGTGAATTACCACAGCTGTCGGAGGAGCTGGCCTGAGGTCTTCAACAACTTGAAGCCTTCTGCAATAAAGCCTGTCCTGGAGTCTGGTTTTGTCACTGTGCTGCCCCACCGGGACCCAGAGGGACGCCACGTTGTCTGCATCCGTCCAGGTACTGACATGCATGAGTAGCTTCTCTAACCCCGAGGCGTTTCTGGGCCCAAAATCCGTGTCCTGCTTTCCTGTGAGCACTGGCTAATTAGGCAGTGTGTAGGTGCTCTCTGAAATTGGAACAGCCAGCTTGTGCAGGAACTTTTGTCATTAGCCAATGTTATACCGGTTCCTTTTCCTGTCTCAGCAAAAACTGCAGTTGAGTAAAAACCAAAACGCAGTGCGGTGGGCTGATGAAACATTAGGTGATGCCAGAAGAATTACTGGCTAGTAACTCAGAATAAGACAGAGCTGCTGGCTTGCAGTGAGAAGCTTGTAATTTGCTGTGATAATAAGTGGAGAGGAGCCTGTGACTTTGACAAGCAGAGGTTTCGATGTGCTTTTGGCACTGCCAGGCTTGCTGTAAGTTTGACTTCGTTCTCCTCTTTTCCATTTACCTACTTTCTTTCTGAGCTGAAGCTGCTTCAGTCAGCTGTGCAGGGTGGAGATCGGGGTTCCTATAACCACTGCTTTGCTCCTTGCAGTGACACGAGTTGCCATTGATCTCTTGCTTAAGAAAAGCGGCTCTGAACTAGCACTGTGCTATTAAAGACTTGTAAAGTCCAGAAAAATAGAAAATCAGTTTTTGGAATGTGTATTGTTAGCTTATATTTACTTTTTGACTTACCATCCATGTCTTGTAACCTCAGACAGATGGACACCCAGTAATTATCCGATTACTGAGAACATTCGTGCCATATACTTAACGTTAGAAAAACTCATTCAGTCCGAAGAGACCCAGGTGAATGGAATTGTAATCCTGGCAGACTACAAAGGAGTCAGCTTATCTAAGGCGTCTCATTTTGGTCCTTTTGTAGCCAAAAAAGTGATTGGAATTCTTCAGGTAAGACTTGAACCGGTGGGAAAGTAAGTTTGCTCATTGTAAATGAAAGCTTCTGTGTCTAAAAGAGTTCTTGACTGTGTTACCAGAAACTTTAGCACCTTGGATTTTACTGGGAGAGTTAAGGCATGGCCCTGCCCCAGCAGTTTCTTAGAGCTTTCCAGCTTCCCTTCATGTTTTGACTTCTGCATCCCTAAAATTAATTTGCATTAGAGTTGGAACAGAAGAGGGCAGTGCTGCATGCTAGCAATGAGGAACAGAGCCACTCAGTTTGGCCTAGCAGAGGAAAGCCTTTTGCCTGAATGCTGAGGAACAGCTGTTGGTGTGCAGGTGATTTGTGCTTAAAGATGGCTCTTCCAGCCACAGTGGAGCACGACACTCAGTGCTGGGTGAGTGCGTGCCCAAAACCTGCTGCAGAGGGGATATTTGACGGAGCGTGATTTGAGGAGGATTTCCATCCAGTCCCTGGCAGAGGAAAGGCTTCTTCAGCACAGAGGGTGGCAGGAGAGACTGCAATAAAAAGATCTCAACTGCACGTTTGGAAGGAAAGCAACAGAGAGCAATTTAGAGCAAGAGTGTGAGCCCAGGGAGAGTTGTACCAAATAGGAAGGTGAAAGCATCAAGGTGGTAGGAAGTTCTGACGAGTTTTGTTCACATTCAGCTCTGTTAGCTGAAGGACTGAGATAAGGAAAACTAGAAAGGGTTTGGGTCCTCATTGCTTTTACTCTGGTCTGAGCTGGTTCTGTTCTTTGCTGCATCTGTAAGGGAATAAGGAAGGACAGGGGGAAATAGGAGTTTATGGAGATGAAACTAGCAAGGCTTTGAATGTCGTTATAAGAAGTCACGTAGTCCTTTAATTAAGATCTAAATTATCATTAAACTGAGCCCACATTTAATTTGCACAGATAGAGCGGTGGGTGTCCCCTTATTTTAGAGGAAGAGCAGAGGCGAAGGCCAGAAGCTATGGCCTGAATAAACACATTGCATCAGCCTTGCTGTGCAGCATCTCCAGAAGGAGCCAATTCACTGCTCCCTCCTGAGGAGTTGGGATCGTTGCTCTGTAACTGCATCCTCAGCAGGGCTGGGAACACCCCAAGGACAGTGACTACCCAGGCTTATTTTCCAGGGGAGATGAACAGCGTAGGGGATGAAGATCCACTGGCAGCTGTAAATTTCCCAGTGCAGGGGCACTGTGCAGTTTTCTCATCCCTTGGCTTCATGCCCACAGCTCTCGTTCTGCTCCCTGTGAGAAGGTGCATTTCTGTTTCCACGTTTATGTTTTTATCTCATGGGAGTTTGGAAACCGGGGGGTTGTGCTGGCAGGCAGCCTCAGGACATTTAAAAAAAGAGGAAAATAACAAATGTTTTTTAAACTGCGCTATAAAAATCTTCTTTACCCTTCAGGATGGATTTCCCATTCGAATAAAAGCTGTTAACATAATTAATGAACCTCGTATATTCAAAGGCATTTTTGCCATCATCAAGCCTTTTCTGAAGGAAAAGATAGCAAACCGGGTAAGGATTTGTGTCATTTTAACATTAATGCTGATGTTTGTAAGTTCCTTGCTCAGCCCCTGCAAGTAAAACCTGTTGAAGAACGTTGGTGCCATTTACTTGATTGAACTGGCTTTGAAGAATTTGATACTGGTCTAAGAATAAGGATGCTTTGTGTATGTTCAGGACATTGACTCCATCCCTGGGGTTGCATTATCCTGGCGAATAATGCTGTGTGTTTATAAGGTGGTGTCACAGGGAGGTGTTGTCCTCCCCTTGCTTTTCTCCCTTACCCAAGTGTCCAGCACAGCCCTGGGTGGGTGCTGTACGACTGGATGTAGCAAAGGATGATGCCCTCTCCGTGAAGGAAAAATACTGTCAGACCCACCAATGAACTTGAGGATTAGTTGAACCTGGAATGTCTGCAGAGACTGACACGTCTCAAGCCTTTCTTGCTGGGCTTTATGCTGCACTGGACTTGGTTTATTCTCACAAGTGTGTCTAACAGCACCTGCCCACTGCTGTATGCTGACACTTGCACATAAAGCCACCCCTTCTAAAATTTGCTCTTTAATTCAAAGCAAGCTCTTTAACTGATAGTAAGATGCCACAAAGTATTTGATATGCATTAATAAAATCATTTTTGGCTTTCTTTTTTAGTTTTTTCTTCATGGCTCTGACCTGAATTCTCTTCATCAAAACATTCCTCCAGTGATTCTCCCTGAAGAATACGGGGGTACTGCAGGGAAGCTGGACATCTCAGCATGGAACGAGCTGCTGCTGGCCTCCGAAGAGGATTTCCTGCATGACTTCTCACAGCTGGTTCTCCCGTGTGACAGCTCCCCCCATGACATGCTAGTGAGCGGGGATGCTGATGAAAAGCAATGTGATGATTCCTTGCGAGGCGTGAAACCCCAGCTCTATTACTGCTACTAAGAGGTGAAGGGAAGCTTTATAGCAGTACAGACCTCTTCTGTTCTCGTAGGTGATGTTGTGAACTCTGCCTTACTCCTAAACCTGCAGTTTAGGAACAGACTGCTGAGGCACTTTACACTGTAGAACCAAAGGAAGCTGAAGAAGGCACAGTGGGGGCAGGGCAGAGTTTGCAGAGGATAATGGGAAAGAGCATACAGTTACCAAGTTATATAGAATTCCTACAGCTAGTCAGCCTCTGGGGAAGGTGCAAACTTGCCAGTGTCTTCTAATTATCAAAACAGAAATGCAGGATGGTAAGTTTTGATAGTTTCTTCTCCCCACCCCAGTTAAAAGTGGCCATTTGCTAGCTTTATGGTTGTCCATTCCCTTCTCCTTCTGAAAGCACCCATAATCCAAGAAAAACAGCTGTCAGTTGCTTCTGAACCCTGTGAAATGTAGTTCTGTCAGTGGAGATTGCTTAAAACCATAAGCGTTTGACTTGGCCTGTCCCCTATCATTGGGTGCAGATTGTGAGCTGGCATTTCTGGAATATCTGAATGAATATTTGGCTCAAATTAACACAGAAAGCTTTCTTATCTATGAATAGCAGTATGGGAATTCTCTGAAACTTTCTCACAGAAAGAAGTTAACTATTAAGACAGCAAATATAACAGGATGAACAGAAGCAATCTTCATTTTCAGAAGACAGTGAATTTCTCAGATCAGGTAATGAGACTTTTGATTAAATACAAGTTCAGATACTGAGGTTTGGGAACCCAATGCGAGAAACTGTCACCCACCTTTCCACGTTGTCAGTTGTTCTTTTCTGCAGCTGGTTGCAATGAGAAAGTTGGTAAGTAACTCGCACAGAATTTGTGAGGCAGCTTTGTAGCAGCTGGCATGATGTAAGGAGCCAACATTCCCATAGGAAAGCAAGGTGCTTCTTAAGCTTGCTGTATTGGACAGGATTTGAATTTAACTCTGTGAAACCAAACGCAGACAGGCTATTTGAAAGCACATTCTTAAATTTTCTGGTATTGTAGCATTTCCTTATTTTATTTTTTTTACTGTGCCTGTCTGCACTTTTGTGAAATGTTACAACTCCGGTTTCTGCTTTGTTGATCTCTTCTGTCTTCAGTTGTCATGTTCTTGTATGAAGATAGACTTGAATCTCATCTCTGTAATGTTTACCCATAACTTGTATGCCTGTGCTTAAAGGTCCTCGTCTAGAAACAGAGCTAAGACTCCAGTGTCACATCAGGGTAAAGTATCCTACATTTTAATCACCTGTTCCCACTCCCTAAGTTCCATCTGTGTAAGTGGTCTAGAATTAGAGCTTAACTGCCAGCACACTCTTTGCACACGTTCTTCTGCACTGCAGAGGTGTAGAGATGGTAACCTCACTACAAGCAAGAAAGCACACCCAATTATTTCAAGGTGAAATATTTCACTGCTTGGTGAAAAAGAACATCCCTTCTACCAGGGGACTTATCTGTAGAGCACTTCCTCTGGCTGAAATCCTTATGCAGTGCCAAGTGTGACCTAAGCACCAACTGCGTTTCTGTGAATGTAAAAAAAACCTGCTATCTTGAGAATTTCAGACATTCGTTTTTCAAAGTGCCAAATTCTGTCCTCTTCCCTCTCAGACCCCCCTGCAGCATGACTGCATTTCCAGAAACCTCCTGTGCCACGCAGTCATGGCTTGCTGACCTGGCAAGAGATGTCATCCAGAATCTTGGGGGTGCCAAATGCCAGACCTCTCATCTAAGCACTATAAAAGCAGATCAGGTTTTGAGAAGGGGTGAGCAATGAGGCTTATTCCTCAGTGGCAGTCCAGAATTTCAGTGTAAGGAACTCATCACTCGACCTGCTTTAGAAGATCTAAAGAAATTCATTTTCCTCATTTATAGCATTTTTTCCCCACCTTTATAGTCTTACTCCTCTTTGAGGGTTGTGACCTTAAGCATAGGTTTAAAAAAAACCAAACGCTTCCTGCTACATAAAGTAAAGAAGTACTGCTAGGAACTTTCTCTTCACTTTTGACCAAAATGAGGTGCGTGTTTTGCAGAGATTTGATTTGATTTAGACCTTAGTATGCAGGCCATGACTTCAAAAACTAAGTGGCTGCCCACACTGTTTACCTGACAGAACACAGAGGCCGGTCTGGTCTTTATAGCCTTTGAATGCCTCTTAATTCCACCACAATATACAGCCAAATAAAAACAAACTGTTTTGACAGCTCTGTTAGAAAAGCTATTTTGATCCACTTATTTAAATACCGGAGAAGGAAGCTGAATATTCAGAATTCAGTGTAATAGCCATCACATGAAAAAAGGGGCAGTCAGCAGAAGGCTGCACCTGAGGAACCTTTAAAGGAACCAATCCCTTTTCAGGCTCATATATTCTCTTGCATGGTCAGTAAAACAAACCCATCTCACCTACTCCTTCTCTCCTGTGCTTACAGAAAAACTAAACCGTTTCTTTTAATCTTTAACCTAATAGAAAATGATAGGTTATCCAAGCTGAAAACAGCTTGTGTTACACCTCCAAAACGTCTTAAAGCTGCACCCTCTATGTCACGATACATCACTTCAACCACACTTACCTGTACCAAGCCTTTCACTATTCCTTCTAGATCTGTTCTTCCTTGGCTTTAGAACTTACTTAAGCTGTCTCTCTACCCCTTTCTAGGTTTGAAGCCAGTGCTCAGGGAGCACAGCTGTTTTATGTGCACCTGACTACAAAGCTGAGAGCATTCTTCAGGCTTTAGCACTTGCCAGCAAACAAAAAGGTTCTGTTCTCAATATTTATCGTGTCAGAGTTGGAAAATAATCACTTGCTTTAACTGTATAGTCTCCTTATCTGCAGGTTAAGAGAACAGGTAGGAAAAGCTGTTCAATTTAGAGGGTTTGATTCCTCTTCCCCCTGCCCACTTCACAGCACTAGAACTGATCTGACATCTTATTCTCCTTGACAGAACCTTGTTTTCAGAGGTTACATGCCTCTGGAAAGCCATCCCTGCCAGCCCAACACGTGACAAATTCAAACTGTACTCAAACTGTATGGGGTAGCCATGGCTTTCAGCATGATGTAGGACAAGAGTTAGCTCCATACTGTACATAAAGATACTTGAATTTATACTCTTGCAATGGGTATTAGAAACCCTGAGGTATTTTCAGGACAGGGGTTGATGTTTTGGTTGTTCTTGTTTTTGTTAAATGTCATTTTGGCATGAATTAATCACGGTGTTATTCCAACTGGTAATTTTGCCTTTTGTTGTATGTGGGCCTAGAGGTGGTGGATGGTTAAGTGTACACATTATTTTGACAAAATCTTATTTTTATATTGCATTTTATAAAAATGGAGTGGTCAAAATATGTAATTTTATGATGCATGACTGGGTGATTAAATACATTACTGTAACAGCTGCTAATTTGGTATTTTCCATACAGTTGCCTTGTGTCATTCTGGGGTATTTTACTGCAAGAGGGAGTTAAGTGTACATTGCCATTCCACACTAAAACATGGCTGCAACCAAGCATAACTGCAGGACTATTATATTGCAAGAGGAGTTGCTTTTTACTGCAGAACTAAATTTTTGCTTGAATGATAACTGAGCAATTTCAAGGAACAGGATGTGACGTTCAGGAAAGTTGCAGGGAAGATGCAGGCTGTTTCAAAAGAAATACATTGTGATTTACTGCTTACATGGAGAAAGTGTCCAGTCACATCCCCATGGTGACTGCAGCAGCCAATTAACATTTTAATCATGTAAATAACACTTTGCCTTAGAGAATAACTGCCTCAATCCTTAACACTTCTCAACAGAGCTGGGCAAGTTCCAGTAGTTAGTCCATTTTATTCAAACGAGTTTACAGTGCAAATACCATAGTGCCAATAATAATCATTTCATAGACACTTTTAAAAGCATATTAGAGAAGTGAAAATTAATTAGAAGCTCTGTTTTTCCACCATATAAGCTGGTCTTACACTTACTGCTTAATATTTGGCAAACATACTACCAAAGAAGTTACCATAGAAATTGCCTCTTAGAAGGGGCAAGCTTGTGCTTAAAGGAATTAGAGTTAACAGCTTTCCAGCCTGAAAGGTTGGTTGTTTTGGTGGGGAATGAGGGGTTTCTGCCACACCATAGGAAGGTAAGTATCATTTGAAAAAGCTGCTTTAGATAAACGTGTGTAGTGGAATGTAGAAATTAAACGGTGTGGCTCACACTTCAAGGAAGAAGCGTTAGCAGCAGTGCACTATTGTGAACATAGTTTGTTCTTTAAAATATATTACTTCATATTTAGATAAATTGTATTTTGTTTAATACTAAGGTTGGGGCTACTGGACATAAGTTTTCTTTTGTGCCTTGACAGCACAGCAGTAGTGAGCTTCATAAATGCAGTAATAAGATAACTATGACTTAAGGTTAACATAGAGGGGTAACTGAGAATTTTGATCCTGCAACAAGCATTGTGCAATACTTAACTGTGCATCCACCCACATGTTAATATTGACATAAGAAGACAGTATTTGCCTTAATAACTAAAGCAATACATGAACATTTTGGCTTTAAGCAAAGAATTCCCCACTCCCGTAGGCCCAGACAGATGCAGCTATTTAACTGAAGTTCCTGTTAGTAAGGACAAGGGGAGCCACCAGGGTCCAAAGGTAGAGAAGGAGGCAAACCCAGCTGGAGGTTATCTTCACCCACACGGCTGGCCACTTACTTGTCATTGTTTTAAAATCCGCATCAGGGCTGAAAAGCAAAGAAATAAGCGATGAGATTTAGAAGATGCTTTCCTCTATTCCTTCTACTTCTCAAATCAAGTTGAAATTCAGAGGACTCCTGGACACTCCAGTACCAGGGCCTTTGTGCCAGACTGGTGGGACAACCAGCAGTTTCCCCATGGCTCCTCGGGCCTTTTGCTCTCTATTCCACTTCCAAACAAGATCAACCTGCACACGTTAATGTGCTGTTCTTAAAAGAAGTCTTCCAGAGAGCTGCGCAATAGACTCCTGCTAGCTGCTGCTCCACAAGCATATTTGTTAATTTACACACTGTTGCAGTTGTGGGAAAAGCTATTGTAAGCTGCAAAAGCTGAGGGGATGTGCAAGCATTCCCAGCAGATCTGGGAAACACCTCTTTAAGCAGCGTGTCCCTGCACAGCTTTCCCAGGCTGGCAGAGCCAGTAGGTTTGGCTTATAGCTGGTCTGAGACAGGCATCCCAGGAGACCCCTTTTCTTATATGCAGATTATTTTATATGGATCCTTCCTGCTGCCTGCACTGCAGCTTGGTAAGCACACTTAACACCTTTGCAGAAGAGGCACCCCTCTAGGAGTGCAGTGATTTTTTGTCTTTACGCAGGTATTTTTACATCCTTAATTCAGCAACTCAAAAATGACAAGCCACAACTAATGCAACTGGCGTAGGGACAGCAGCTTCAACAGCCTGTCAGGAGTAGCCTGAGCAGGAGCTCCCCATCCTCCTAGAAATGCTGGCACTGGCACGCAGCTTATCAATTTCAGTCTTGCTCTTACCTGTACCAGTTTGTGAGCGTCATCATGATGTACAGAGAGGCAAGAAAGAGCATGAAGTGAAAGAAGGCATAGTTGTACTGAACACCATCTTTTTCATTATCCACGACACGGCGCACTTCTCCCTCCTCTGCAGCCCCGCTGCCTGTTCCCCCAGCCTCCTCCAGAATGGCACTGTCACTTGCAGACAGGGTCAGTTTGTTCACTTGGCTGTTACTTGAAGAGCGAATACTGCAGTGTGACCCAAAGAAAAACATGGTCAACAACTCCCTTTTCAAGTAGCTACGTTTGCTCATGAAACAAGAAGAGGATCACAGTGAAAGTCAGAACTAGCAAATGACATTGGTGAAGTCCATCTGAAAACCACAAAGATGCTCCTTACATCTGAGCTTTTGTTAACAAAAAAACAAAAAAAACCCACAACAAAACACAACCATACAGCAGTTCTAGCCCAGGCCTTGCATACATTTTGCTGTGTTACTGGAGTTGGGCTAACAAAGCTTATGGTCAGCCACAAAACAGAATGCAGTTTTACTAGTTGTATTTGGCCTGAGACCACAGCATATGAACAAAAGCAGGTATTTTTGCTGGGCCACTGTCAAATGAGAAAGACAGACAAACCCCAATTGTTTACTATTTGATAGCAGTGCAGATCCTACCTGGAATACAGGAGGCAGAAGACAAATATGACCAATCCAACAATACTCTGGGCATCCCACCACTGCAGGGACTTGGGTGGAGCTGGAGTAGCAGGTATGACAGTGGTGTTTGCTGGAGCAATTGTAGGTGTAGCTATCTGAGTAATGATGTTCAGCAGACTTGGGTTACAGTTCCGTTCTGAAAGGAATTTTGAGGCAAATTAAGACTAGATGAGCTTCAACAGCTTCAGTGAAGGCAGAAGGTTATAAGTCACCACCATCCCCTTTAACTGCTCATCTCTGATTCCCCTTAGGTAACATCAGCACGCGATGTTTTCTCCTTCTTGTGAGTTAAGCAATGCATTGTTATTTAAATAAATCAGCATGTCCAATTTATTTCCTTTCTCTTCACAAAAACACCAGTTTAGTTCCAGAAAGAGATAAGCTGACATTTTCATAGGTAAGGTAGCTTTACTTTTTCATTAGATTTTATCTAGGCAGAAGATCAGCAGTCCTCATGCAGTGACCTGCACTGAGTCACACCAATGATTTCACACCCATATGTTACTCAGAACAAATCCATTGCTTACCAGGCTCGTTGGACATGGCTGACCAAGTGAGATACATGGTGTAAAAGGTAATAATAGAGGACTGGAGGAGGCCAGATCGAGGGTGATATTCCTGTTGAAAGACAAGCCAACGTGAAAAGGGCAGCTGCCACTGTAGGTAAATGAATGCCTATGAATTTCAGTTTTCAGAAATGCATTGGGCTTCATACTGTTTAAAAAACAGGAGTAATAAAACTTACAATAGTATAATTCACACAGCAAGCAACTCAAACACAGCAGGACTAAAGAAACCGAACCCAGATCTTCTGTGCTCAAGACTCAGCTACAGATTTTTCCTGAGTTAACCCCAACTTGCTTAACAGTTTTGTGGATATGAATCTAGTATGCAATTTGGAGCTGCCAGTTCAGAATCAAGTAACATGAAAGCTTCCTACTGATATTAAACTCTCACACGATTATGAAGCTGGAGCATTACAGTAATAAATTCCATTCTTATGTTACTTTTTCCATTATGGGCTCTTTGTTCTGCCAGAACCTTCACCACCAGAGCCATGCCAGCAGTGACACCCACGGAAACCTCAAAACAATGTTAGCAAAAAAAAAAACCAAAAAAAGCCTATCTTCAGGAAATGCATCACTACAGAATGCATCTGTCTCAGAGCTTTTCTTTTTTTTAATCTTTATTCCTTAAATATCCCCAGCTAGCATTGTTATGGCAGCCAAGCATTACAATTCTGCCTGGCTGCCTTGGTATGACACCCTTCTTACTTTCTTGCATTGCATACCAGAATAAAATAAAGAAAAACAGTACCTGAACTTTTGGAAGGATGGAAACAATAGATACAGCAATGCACAGGATCATATTGAAGCTTATGAAGAATTTGTTCTCAGTGCAATCCTCAGGTGTTGTATAGAAAACATAAAAGAGCACAACGAAAACCACTGACAAGCCATAGAACAAGCTTGTACAGGACAGCAGAGCTGAAGGGGGAAAAATAACTATTAGAATAAGGACATAAAGCTTTAACAGAGCAACTAGGGCGATTTAAAGGTTAACAACCAGTGTAAAGGGACCATTCCCCTTCCTCACTTCCAAACCTGATCAAGAAAGCTAGACTAGCAGAAGGCACTTTTATTAAACGTGGCCAGATGCCTGCTTTGGTTCTCTGGGCAGTGTGGCTCAGAGAAAAGCCAATGCTTTCATCAGGGGAACAAGATCTGTTTTCCAGATGCAATTCAGCTGGTCACAAGCCAGAGCACCCAAAAGGACAGCACTTTCTGCACACTTTCCATGGGCTGAAGGCCACTGTTTACATTTTCATTCTTGTGTATTTTTGAGATGAAGCTAGAAAATGCTTTTACAGCATTGACATCTATGAACAAAGAACCACAACTATTAGCATTAATTTCAGTAGAGAAGTTAGCAACATGCCAAGGCACACTGCTGTACTGCAGCCACTATCACTGACATAACTGGCCTTCTGAGTCAACAAGGTGATAAAACAAAGTTAGAACTGAAGAGAACCAGGCTGCTCGCTCTGCACTCACACTGCAGACTGGACAAGTTAAGCACTGTTTATTATGGCTGTCAGAGCTGCTAGTCACAAGCCTAGAATATTTTGCATTTTATTTAATGAGAAAAAGGCCACTCTGGTTATTAGTTCCAAATGTTTACAGTAGTGACTCATGAAGGCTGTACAGTATCATACTGGGATACGTTTGCAAGGTAGTTCGTGATATTCTGCAGACTTCTGGCCAGCCAAAACAAATCCCCGCCAGTTTAAGATTCCTACCTGCATACCAACACTTAGAATTTCCCTCCTCCATCCTCCCAACCCAGCTCTCATTCCAGGAGTGAGCAAAGTCCACAAGAAACACCAACTGGATCAGAATGAAGCAGAAGGCTCCACAAACACCAATAGCAAACCAGGCTAGAAAAAAGGAGTAACAAAACAAGCTTCATTGTCATTATTTACATGCTAAGCCAGGAAAAGTGATAAAAGCTACTTCTACTCCAGACAATTAACAAAAAACCCCAAAACTATATACTAACTGTTATTCACAGTTCAGAAGCACGCAAGGAGATTGCTATTTCATGCATGACTCCAGTAGCTGATGAGCATGGAAACGTTTAGCCCAAGGCGTTGAATGAATTTAAGATCTAACACGAGACCTGTTTGTGTACACTGTAAAGCCACATTTATCTGAGGCTCAGCAACCCTCTTGAGGTTCCCATAACGTGGCCAGACAGTAAAAATATCCTGCAGAGATTATTCAGAGACTCTGGGGCATTATTTTGCATTAATCACAGTCAGCATTCTGAGATGCCTCCTATCAGAACCGCATCAGAAGTCTCTCCCAGAAGCTGACATAACAGAGTATTGAATTAGTGATACATAGCACCTATGCACTTGGAAGAGATTGTTTCTTACCATTAATTCAGTTGATCACCATAACATTATTAAGAAGTAGGATAGAATCTGTGTTTTCTACAAGGTAACTTCCACTATCACAACTAGAGCCCAGGAAGTCTGTGACAAAGTTTGGGTTTACTAAACAGAATTTTATGATTTTGATTTCACTGTACCTCTTGTGAAAGGCCCTTCAGGAATGTAAAATGCTCCGACCATGATGCCCACAATGGCAGCTATTTTGAAGAACCAGAACCTTTAGAAGAAGAAAGTTGAAAGCATGGGTATTACTCTGCATACGACATTCAAGTTTTACAAGATCTGCAAGCAGCCCACTGTGCACAGATGAATGCCTAAGAAATAAAGCAAGAAATTCTGTGTAGTGGGATTAGAAGTTCACTAAATTGGGAAAAAAAAGGGTAAAGGCAGCCGTTGCACCTAGGGCAACAGGAATGGCTGGGAGCCCTCAGGCCAGCCAGAAGTCTGCATAGCAGCTCCTGCTCCAAGCAAATAGACATGAGTCAGCAGCACATCCTCAATGGGAGGAAGGCTAACTCTGTACCATTAAATTTGGAGAAGGGAAAAGCAAGATCTAATTATTGCGTTCAACAGTCTAAAGAATGGTGTTAAGGCTTTGCACTGCATGCAGACTGATTGAGTCAGACTGGCCCAGAGAACGACCCAACAAATGCCAGACAGCACAAGGAAGGGGATACATAATAAACAGCATCCAGCATCTCTGCTGAAGCACAGAGAAGATGATCACCTCCTTTTCGTGTTAGCAGTGATGTTTAGCTTCCCATTACACTGATTAAGTTACACAAACAGGAAGCCTTTTAAAAGACTTAAGTATTACTCTTAATTCAGTTCCAAGGAAACTTCAAACCACTAACATATACTGAAACAATTTCTTTGTTGAGCACAATGGCAAAATTGAGAAGAGAAGTAGAGGAAAGAAGTGGGAAGACCAGATGGCCAGCTTACAGACATACCCATTGTGCACTGCAGCTCTTGGATCATTACTTGTTTTCACAGCTATCATGAGCAGAGAGAAGACAAAGAAAAACACCGCCATGGCAAAGCTGATTCGGTAGACAGCTCTGTATCCAACAAACACATCACAGCTGACAAAGCCATTCAGATGTGGGATCCGAGTGTGAAGCCCCTCATCACAAAATCCAGGTACCTGAGGAAATGAGCAAAGACAAATTTAGCTGTGAACTCACTTCTGTATTTGCAATCACATTCTTTAAGCATTCTAACAACTATGGTTCCCAGTCAGCTCTCCTCTAGAAAATCTGTTAACAAAAAACCTTCTGCTCAGCCAGCCTGCACAGACCTTATGGCCATTTTTCTTTCTCTCCAGGTCACCACTGCAAGCATTCAAAACATTCAGAAAGATTAAGGTGGAAAGCTACAGATGTTGGCAGTAATGTCTGAGAAGCGTCAGGCCTGGTTGAGTTTCAGTTTCATAAATCAAGGGACTCTCCCAGATCATCTGGGTGCTGTGCCTCCTTTGTGCTCCACTCCAAGTAAAACCAATCAACAGCCATTTGCACAAGCTCCAGATACGCAACAGTAAACAAGAGATTTTCTCCTCCATACCTTTTTCAGCTGTTCCTCCATCCCTGGTGCCAGCATAATGCAGGCAACAGCCGTGCTAAGGAGGAGGAGAAGGGCATAGATGAGGCGCGTCACGGTGGAGTTCTTGCTGTTGGGACAGCATCGGCACAGCAGGCAGGAGGCACCGCCGCACAGACAGGGAATCTGAAGAAACACAAAGCTCTCTCTGAAGCTGAAAGCGCTGCCTGTGGGCTGAGGTCAGCTGCGCAACCACAAGCGGACGGGAACAGCCCAGCTGCGGGCTCGGAGCTGCTCTCAGTCAGCGCCACTCGCAATTGGGTCACGCTCGGTCCGCAGTTCTGAGCGACCCCGTGTTTGGCACGGCCCCACACGACACGACCCGGGCTCCCTCTGCCCCACAGCCCTGCGGTTCGCTACCTCCCGGCATCCGCTCCACCCCAGGGAGCAAAATCCTGACCGCGGTCCCTGACAAGGCCGGACCTCCACCCACCAAACCCGCCCCGCAAATCCTCTTCACCTCGAGGCCCCCGCCGCCATAGCGTGTAGGTGAGGGGAGGAAAACCGATCGGAATGAAGCGGGGTTGAGCAGCCCCACCGCCACTCACCCAGCTGGCCAAGGAGCAAACCCCCAGCACCGCCCCCATGGCGCCGCCGCCGCCACCGGGCCCGCCGGCCACTTCCTGCTTCCGCCCTCAACCCCGGGCGTCAGGTGACCGTCCCCTGCTCCCCCGCCTCCGCTCACTGGCTACGCTCTCTATGCCGCCCGCCAATACGAAGGCAGGATGGAACCGCGAACGGAAGGATCGGAACGGAAGCAAGGCGCTGACTGGTTGAAAAGCTTAAGCAGTGAGTGGGTCTGTTAACAAAATAACCAATGAGAGAGACTGATCGCTGTGAGGGCGGTGATTGGCATTTCTCGTAGCCATTCAGTTCCTCTCTCTCCCTGAGGCCCACAGGGGGCGCTCCGGCTCGCCGTGGTTACCATGGCAGCCACCATGGCGGCGGGCCTGCGGCTGTGCCCCCCCTTTGGGCGCTGGGTCTGGGCTGGGTCCTCTGGGAAAAACAGCCTGGCGTGGGAGCAAACCGCATGGCTGAGAGGTGGCTGTGAGGGCGTAACAGCGGGAGGGTGACAAAAGTTGACTCTCAAGCTTAGGAAGGCGCTCAGGAAGTCCTTAATCAGCGTCAGCGTTGCGAAATGGCGGAGGTCGGGGTTGGGAGCAAGCAGCCGGGATGCAGCCGGGCTGCAGGATGTGTGTGATCCCAGCTGCTGCACATCGCTAAGCCTGCTTCCATCTCCGTGACAAAGAGTTAGGATGACAGCTTCATTGCCACCCGAAATGCCAAGGCAGAAAGCAGGCAGTAAAACTGACGCTTGCTTTCCACAGCGGCTCTAAGGCTTGGAGCGTCGTGTTAGCAGAACCATCCTCCTGTCAGCCTCGCTCATGAAAGGGCACAGGCTTCTTTCAGAAAGAGATCACGCCGTAAATCACTGTAATTGTGCTTCCTTCAGATCATACCGAGCCTTTTGGTTAACACATCGTCCCTTCTGGGTGCAGCAGCTGGATGTGTAAGAAGGCTTTTACCACATCCCTGGTATTTCACTGTCTGTGCACATGAATGTATGCATAATAAAGGCCAAAATTCTGTGTTCCCAGCAATCTTGGATAGATCGCTTCATAAGTGCATTACCAGGACAGGGATGAAGCTTGGCTAAATCCTGAGGCTTATACTGTTTTCTTTACAGGAAATACGTGTCCAGCAGAGTTGTTAAGTGCAGTGAGATCTTCCACTGGATTGTGCAAAGAAAAGGCAAAGAGCACAGGTAGAAGGCTTTCTCCTTGGGCTGTCAGCGTAACGTTTCCAAGTGCTCATTTCGCCTCCCCACATAAATACTCCTCTGATTCTGTGTAACATCATCTCAAAGCACACACTTCTAACAGGCGATAAGGATGAAGTCAGCCTGGTTGCTGTCAGCTATGGGAACGAGACGGGACATGGCAGGAGGTTATCCTCATTTTACAAAAATACCCCGCTCTGCTGCATTAATCACTTCTGACAGCAGAATAAACAATAAGAATTAGAATTCCTTACATGTGTTATATCTCATTAATACCTATATATTTGTTGTTTGAAGTACCTAGAATTTTTTTTTTCCTCCAAATTAGGTGGTATTTAAAGCTACTGTGTCAGATAGAATCATTTGAAAATACTTCCCTGCAGTTCTTTGTGCAGCTGAGCTAATAGGAGAATGTCACTCGAGCTTGTGCGTTAGTGCTATTCTTGTTAATCTCAAGGGTCTCCCTTTCATGATAACAAAAATTCCGAACTTTCCCTGGTGCTCCTAGGAGTATTCAAGGGTTCCTGCTCTTCATGGGATGTGTTTTTGCAAGCAACAGATCCAGCTTATAATTAAATGATCCTTTGAATGTTCAGAATCTGTCAGGCAGTGTTTAACTAAGTGAACTGAAATTAGAATGTCTGGGTCAAATCATCTGTATGATTTTAAAAGAGATGTGTGCAATCTGTGTTTTTGCAGTAGTGGTGCTTTGACCTGGATAGAGGCTCAAATGTCTTCCTGCATACTGGACTGCATAAACTTCAGAGTTTTAAGGTATTGGTGTCAGCTTTCTAATAAAACCTACCTAACTTTTGCACTTCTGTGAAGTGTTTAGCTTTAAACAGTGCTTTTAATTGTGCTTTTAACTGTGACTGGATCTTCAGGGCACGAAGGGTTTCAGATTTATTTTTTTTGTGTGGGGAACTGTTTTTGCCGCTCTTTAGTTCAGACTTTGGGTTGAACTATATTCCACAGCACAGACCTTAAACTGCACTTTCGAAGTAGCCATCAAAGTCCCTCATCTCTGAGAAAGTCAGCGTTTAGACAACAGTGCAGCACTGTCATGGCTGAAACCACTTGCAGTTGTCAGTCTTTACTTGGATGGAGTTAATAGTTCTACAAAGTCATTACATTCTAGCAGGGTAGAAAGTCCTCCCAATATTATGAAGTTTATGGAGCTCTGAGACCACTTTCGATGGGGCATGCTCTTATCACACACCACTGATGCAGGTACGCATTCATCACTAACACACAAAGGCCATCAAGTGTTACTTGCTGCAGTTGCCCCTGCAGTGGGAGACCAGCAAATTCAACCCAGTCCACCCTATTGAGCTTTCAAATATGCAGGCTTCTTTTCTCCTCAGTCATTTGCTCACGATTTTATAGTTTTCATCTTCTCTTGACTGAATGCACTGTGACTGCATTAACACCTGCCTCTGCTCTTCTTAGACTATTTTCCTATCATGTCACGGACACATGAGTCATCTTATTTGTGATCCGCCGAGCTGAGTGAGAGCCATAGTAACGCTGTGTGCTTCAAGGCCATTAGTAACGCTGCTAAAACTTGCATAATATCTTCTTCTGTGTCTAAATCCCTAAGAGATTGAGTAACTGTTTTCTTTTTCACCCCAACTGACTATGCGACTGTATGAGTCATTCCCGTTACGATAGAGGAATTGTAATCTCTGTGCCTTTCCAGTTTTCTTTGGCCAGCAATTTATTTTATAGGACACCTCTGTTCAATCTCTCTGTTCCAAACCCCCATATGTCCCCAGAAATATTTTCACTGACTTTGGTTCTTTTCAGATCATGTGCTTTGGTTTGGAAACTGCTGTAAGTTATTGGTAAAACAGATGGAGAAATGTTCATCTTTATCCAGTGATATTACTGAGCTATTTCATTACTTGTGGAAGCATTAGTGAAACTTAAATATATTGAGAAGCATTTAAATGACAGCAACAATAAAAAAAAGAAAGGTTATAGTAATTATTAAACATATATATATGCATGCTGGAGGGAATATTTTGTACAAAAGATCTGCAGCGACAGCTGTGAATGAACCATGAGAAGAACTAGCAACAGATGGCTGGTAAAAAGGAGGACGGAGTGAAAGGTGTCCTTTTGTAATGAATGAACATGATATCCCTGCAAGCAGCACGGGATGTTGCCCTTTGGGGAACAGGATCTTGCACAGAAGGGCCGTTGCAGCTTTGCAAGCCCTCTGGGGCAGCTAGAGCCCTGCTCTGACACTGCTGCTAGCAGCTGTCCCAGGAGGAGCCTTGCAGCAGAGAGCAGCTGCTGGAGCTGGGCTCGTGTCCCATCCCTGCAAGTGACACTGTGTTAGCACAGAGCCAGGTGTCAGCTCCCTGCTCCTAGCAGGGCTGAGCTGGGCTTGGTTTTGCTGGTAGAGCACCTCGAGCTGTGCAGGGCATCAAAGGTCCTGCTTTTAAGTAGCCACTTCAAAAGTGGATGGACACGAAACAAGTTGATCTCCTACTTGAGCACTGTGCACACGGGCTTACCAACATTGCCTGACCTATTGCTTCAAATATTTTTTTTTATTTTTCCTCTCCTGATATATATTTTTCATTAGACCAAGACTTCCCTCTCTCTGTGATCCCATCTCCCACATGAAGCCCACACTGAAGTCCAGCTGGGCAGCCCTATTGGGTCAGCGATCACCGTGGCACAACATCCATTGAAACAGCAGGGGCAGGAAAAGTCAGGAATCACAAAAAACAGCGATGAGCTGTGCAGCTTCAGGAGAGCCACAGGACCATGCGAGGCAGTAAGTGAGAAAGAGGCAAATCCCAGCACCATGCCTGCTCATTTTCCAGGGAGGGAATGCAGAGCCCAAATGAGCGGCTGCTGCTGGGACATTACCTGGGGCACAGCCTCACAGTGTGAGCAGCTGCGCAGCGGGGCTGGGAGGCAGCAGCATGCAGAAGCCTGACCAGGGCTGTCCCAGGTCTGAACTGACTTAACCACCCGAGTGTTGCCTTTAAAGTCGGATGAGTGCCTGACCCAGTCTCTTCTCACAATAAAGAGCAGTGTGGGATCGTGCTGGCCACAGATACTTCTTTTAGCTGGTGTTTGCCTTCCTTCTCCACTGTTTCCCACACCAGTGATTCTGCTTTTCAAGATGAAGTTCTGAAACCGGCGAGATGTTGCTTTATCATCATCTTCCACATCATGTGAATCCTCCCAGAATACCAGCTGACATTTCAGAGGTTGCATTTTTGCATTTGAGCCAGGACGCAGTTAGCACGTAACAGTGGCTTCTTATGTTGGTGTTGTACTTTTAATTTTTTTTTTAAGAAGAGAAAAAAGTTCCTTCCTCTTGAGTCTCCAGCAGAGACCGTTTCTCCTTGGGGAAGGAGTTCACATGATCATATAGATGCGTCAGATAAAATCCCTTCCCACGTTTGATATTTGCTAAGTTGAATGATTGTTATTCCAAGCCAATAGCTGGAATGGCTGTGATTTAACATCCAAAGCTTTTCTTTTTTTTCCTTTGGTTCACAAGCATTAAAGAAATGAAGTGCAAAAATGAAATCCTTCAGCTTGGACTCATTAAGCAAACACCACTCTAGCTACGTAAATATTTCTCCCTGTTTGTTTGTTTAAAGCTGGCCAAGAGTCAGGCTGTGAGTTCCAGAAATACTTTCAAGATAACAGAAACGGGCATCCGAATCTAAAAGGAATCCTGTATTTAGAAATTCTGGAATACTACAAGGGGGTGGCTGTGCTGTTAACGATTTTCTGATTGCTCTGAATCTCCGTGGCTTTGGAAAGTGAGTCATGACATCCTTCTTTATATAAATGTTTTTCCCATCGTAGATGATTTTACAAAATATATACCCTAAGGGGATCTAATAACACAATACCCATCTCTAGTCACGTTGTTGCTTTCAATAGGGCTTTGCTTGAGAGAGGCTAAATCAAGCCATTTCCCACGGGCAGCACTGGGCACGAGCTGTCAAGGCTCAGCACTCATGGAGCCCACGTGCACTCGGTGCAGAAGCAGCACCCAGCCTAATGCATGGCACAGCAGGAACCGAGTGGTGTACGTTGGTTTATCAAGGCAGCCCTGGCCTCCTGCTGCAGAGCATGCTTGGGAACACCAGGCCTTCACTAGAAGTTCACATCAGTTCCAGCTCACAGGGTGAGTTACTGCAGCATTCAGTGGACATAGAAAGCAAGAGCAAGGCACCTTGCAGGTCTTGGTTTCCACTGGCATTTCAGTGTCAGAATGGTGTTCCTCTGATATAAGTAGTAGCTCAGTTCCAAATTTACTGTTCTTGAGAGGTAATGGGAGAAGATTTTTTTTTTTGTCAGACTCCAATGAATTGCTTAAAATGTTTGGTAATACAACTCTATTTATTACCATGCTTTTAGGGACTCGTGGAAAGTCCTGTGCCTTGACAGCCAGCAATGCAGCTCTCCACAGCTGTTTGTCCAAAGATGTACTTGAGATTGGTTTAATTCTTAACTTCATGCAGCAGCCATCAAAGCGAAACAGAAGTGGATGTGCTGCTGTCAGTGTGGATGTGGAGTTCTCTGTGGTTGTGGTGATCTCTGCTCATTATCTGCAGGGACTGAAATTTGGTTTCTTTTTTATGCTTAGGAGCCAGAGAAAGCTAAGATATTGCTTAACTGAAGAGCCATTGTTTACTGTTAATAAAATTGACACATTCCTTATGGCACAGACATGCTATCTTGGCACCAGTAACAGGAGGAATTATTCTGCCTGGCTTACAGTCTTTATCGTAAAAAGACAGTAATTAGCCAGCTTGGAACTAAATGAACCCAACTGAAAAAGCTGATTGATGAGGAATGACTCCTGACTGCTTCCTAAACACATGTGGTTTGGATGCCATCACTGACAGCGCTGATGCCAGCACCAGGTCGTGGCTCCTGCTGGGCAGTACCCAAAGCTAGGAGTGTTCAATGGCTTGATCTCTGGTGGAGTCCCAGCTTGAAGGAGTGATGAACAAACAGTGATAAGCACACTGTAAACCCTGCCAAAGTGACCCATTTACATGACAAAGTTGGTATGTTGCAAATTATGATAAATCTAGAGCATGCAAGCCACTTCACTTTAATTCTTGGGGTAAAGATTGTGCAGTGGCTTACTTCCGATTAGGAATTACTTTGCATGAGGTTCCTCCATACAGCGTGGCTATCAGTCAGTGTGTGATAACTCCCTTTATAGCCCCCATACACCAAATTCTCTACATATGCATGTCTTTGGGCCAGGCTGTCATCGTGCAGCCAAGCTGTCATTCCCAGGGCCAGAAAGATCACATACAGCTTCCTGCAGCTTTTCCATATCAAGTTCATGAAGTCTCTAATCTTGTATTTTAAATTTATCTAGTAAACCGCAAATTGTTGGTTCTGTTGTTTTGTTGTTATTTTGTCCCTTTCTGCAAGTGAAGCATGGGATCTGTTATTCCATTCACCTTTTTTCTCAGCACTGCACAATTTTTCATTAGCCAGTGATGGAACAGTTTGCAAACTTGCTTGTGGCCTTCTGCATCCAGATCAGGAGCAGTGCGTGCAGAGCTGCTGCACAGCTGAGGATGAACTTCCCATGGTGATGAAGAGGCACAAAGGAATGTTTCTGAGTGCCCAGCTGCCTGCATTCTTGTTCAGCTCATTCCTTAAAGACTGCTGAGATGTGGTTGTATTAGTAATGATATGTTACAGTGCCTTGAGACCTGGATAAACAACTAATGAGGCATCTTAGTCAAAATAAAAAAGATTTTCCCTCCTGGTTCCTCTGTTTGAACACTCATTTCTGCAGGAAGGCATGCAGTGCCACTGGAAAGCACACACCTCCTGTCCAAACACCACGATGCCTGCAGGTTGCCATAGCAATGAGAAGAGCTGAGGCCATTTGGGGCTGTAATTCTGCAATGCACACAGCAGTGAGGTGCCACATCCCCGTGCTCAGCAAAGTCAGGCTCCAGCAGCCACATGCAGCCTGGGAAGGGTGTTTCACAGACATTGAGCCTGTTGTGCAGGCTGCATCCCTGAATGTGCCTTCACAGCATGGCCAAATAGTTCCCAGATAACACCATGGCTGTCACACCTGTGGACTGCAACATACCTGGCAGTCACAAATGGAGATATGGCTTGAGAAAGCTGGTGTCTATTTAAACATCGTTGCTAGACTATACTTGCAATGGACAGTCTAAATAAAGATACTGAATGCCTTATCAGGCCAAGTTTTACAAAGCAGAAAACCACTACTTGAGAGTTGGCACAAAAGGAAATGATTTAATCCCCAGAAGCGAGTGACAGCTGGGAACTGCATGAAAACAGCAAATGCTGTGCCCAGAAAGCTGTAGTCCTGCATAAAAGTGAAGACTTCACCCCATTGGAAGAAAAAAAAACCAACCAAACAAACAGCCCAACTCTGGGAGAGGGAAAGGATCTGAAACAGATACAGCAAATATACCCAGAGCTGATGGTAAGGAACCAGAAGATGCATTTTCTCCTAAAAGTGCAGCATCCTTGTAAGACTAGAAGAAATACCTGTGCATCATATTTAGTTACAACATTAAGACAGTAACAATGTTTAGAATTTTTCCTCTCTCTCTTCATACCACATGTTTAAAAGATGACATAGCACAGACAGAATATTTTGTTCCCTGTCCAGAACGTGGAGCCCTCTTGGAGCAAATCGCAGGGACGCTGCGCCTGCTGCTCTCAGCCCTGGCGGCCTCCAAAGGAGCTAATCCCACCCTGCCCGAGGGCAGGGGCTGCTCAGGACACCGGAATGGCTTTGCTGAGCTCACCCTGCCAGCTGCACCAGCTGCTGCTCAACAAGAAAGCATCCAGCCCCTGCACCACTTCTCCATTGGACAGAATGCAGGGACCTGCAGCAGCAGGGCAGGAGGCTGAAAGGGGCGATGTGGGTGCACAGGGCAAAGCCTGAGGTCTGCAGCCCTTTGCCTCACAACCGGACCAGCCAGCACCCTGAGCCCTGCAACAAAACCACGTGAAAGCACAAGTAAGGATCAAAACATTTACAGGCCTTCTGCACATCTGAAGCAGGAATCCTCGTCTGGCTGCCTAACACCACAAAATGATGTGATGGTTGGGCACCTTTAGCAAGTCTTGTTCAGAGCTGGCAGAGATGACTTCTCCCCTATTAGCACCCTCCTTTCTCCAGAAGCTAGAAGTGCAGGTGCCAACCCAGCCTGCTGCCTGTGCTCATCCAGCTGTCCCATGCAGCAGGAACAGAGGGACAAAAGGAAGGGACACCTGCTTCCCATGCAGTAACACCTGGGCCAGATACAACGGTTGTTTTCAGCCCTTTTTGTGTACCCACACAAAATGAGCCCTATTTAATACTTGCATGTTTCCCTCTCCTTTCACTGCTATCCACTCCAATCACAAACAAGAAGGCTTTGGCCAGGGGGATGACTTTCTGGTGAAGCATGTGCTGGATGCATGACCTTTGTGGGTTTATACTGAAGAAGGTTCTGGATACTTTTAGACAAACAAATCCCTTAGCAAGCAGGATTGATGCTTGTTTTGTAGTCTGCTACAGCTGCCATGGTTTCTCCTGCTAGTAACAGGTAAAGTGCTTCTTCTATCGAGCATGTGGGGGAGACTGCAATGGGCTGTGGGAACCTCGTGGGTAAAACATGGTATGGTGCTATTACTGCATGGTCTGACTTTGAGACTTACTTGTATTTGTTGCTGCTGCAAAGAGGTTACCAGCCAGTGACTTATTTTGCAAGAGCCTTTGGTTGGAAGGAATTCTGCAGAAATGAGTGGTTCAAGGCTCCCAGCCAAGATTTGCTTTCTGCAAAGGCTTTTAAACAAACTTTAGAGACTAGGGGGGGAAAAAAAAAAAAAAAAGTTTTTTTTTTCACTTTCCAAACAGAATGCATTCCCTGGGGGGAAAAAAGTAATCTGGGGCTGTGGGTCCAATCTGTCCCATTGGGGTGAGCCCTCAGAGGAGCCTGGCTCAGCGGGCAGAGATAACATTCTGCAGTGGCTGGGAAGGCTGAGAGCAGCTCATGAAGTGAAATTGCCCAGAAGCACTGCACAGCCTCTCACTTTGCACTGCAAAGCTTTATCATCTCTGCACAGATTACTGGAGCCAAAAATAGCTGCAGCTCAAAGAAAACAGTTTTTGAGCACGCTTCGCCCTGCTGGCACGGCAGCCCCCCGTCCAGCCACGCTGCCCAGCACCGGCCTGAGCTCCAGGTCCTGGGGGAGCTGCGCTAATGAGCTTGGCCTCGTTAAGGCTTTTCTGAGTCCCACTTCTTGATGATGAACCTTTCTGGGTTAACAACTTCTATAACAACAAAATTGGTCTGAACGTGGATAACTTACTGAGACACAGCAACACCCAGTCGCCTTAATCTACTGCAAAGTGTCCTTTCTGTGGCAGTGAAAAGAGAGCTTGGCACTGATTCTCATGTCTCTTCTTCTCATGACTCTAAGTGCAAGATGTCACTGGATGGCTTGAAACATCTGCACTTGCCTGAGGGAGCCCAGCAGACCGTTGGAATACGCCTTGCATTTTTCAGTCCAATGTTTATTTACAGCGTTTGTTTTTGGGGGTGGAAGTCTTGAAAAAATCAGTGCACATTTTTTCCATGTCTAACTTGTGCCATTCCGCATTTCCTGGCGATCTCAATGACATCAAGTGACACAGACAGCTCAGCACCTGGGAAACGCCACGGAAAGCTGTGCTTGCACAAGGAGGCTCAGCCATGCAAGAGGAGGGCGGCAGCAACACTGCCTGAGGAGGGACACCAGGCTCAGGCTGCAAAATGGTCAGGTGAGAAGCAGGTCAGAGCCTCCTGCAATGACAGCTTGGTGCATGTGTCTGCAACTCCCTGGGCAGACTTTGTGTTGATGGCTTTCCTCACTGGGACATGCAGAGCGTGACCAGCACCGCATTGCTATTCTAGGATTGTTTTTTTCTATGTAAGAATCCTCAGGTATGCTCTCAGTTCATCCTGGACCTGCCCTATGGGATTTCTCTTTGTCCCATCCTGGCAGCTGTCCCATGGACAATTGCTTGCTCCTCACTGCAGTGCAGTGGACAGGTACCCACATGGCATCACAGTCCCATCCCTTCTTAGTGCCATCTCCATCCCACCCCAGTGCAGAGTCTCAAAGAGCCAAAAATATAAAATTACTGCAATCCTGCACAGGCCAGCAGCACCAGTACAACAGAGCAAAGCCAAACACTCCCCTGTGCAAAGGCAATGCCATTAATGCCAGCCCAGGACCATGCAGAGTGGCACAGCATAAAGCAGCTGGATGCAGCAAGAAGCTCAGCCAAGATGAGCAGGTAAATCAGCTGGAGTAAAAGCCATAGGAAAGTACAGAAAGCCACAAAAGGCTGGTTGAGCCTTCAGGTGGGTCTGCTCAACCCTATAGTGCAGTCTGCCATCCAGAGCGGGCCGTGCCAGGCAGCTCTTACTGCAGTGGGCATCCCAGGGTGTCTGATGCCAAAGTCTCTGGTATCTTGTACGAAGGACAAGAGATGGGAGACCTTCAGCCAGGAGCTGGAGTAGATTTTCAGATAAAAACAACAACTCTCATTTAAAAAGAGCCTGAACAAATACATCAAAAACAATGTATTTTTATCCTAATATGTTAAGATTTCAGGCAAAACTGCAAAATTGTTGGCGTCTCATGGCGTATTTTTCCCCTATGGAAAAAAAAATAAAAAATTCTCTGTAGAAAACGCAGTTTAATCCCCAAATGCATTTTCCTGCTTCCAGTGGAAAACATTCAGAAACATTCAAAACACTGAGTCCTTGTGGGGGTGGTCCTGGAGGAGGAGAGGCCAGGCAGTGGGGGGTGGGGGGTGGGGGGTGGGAGGGGAAGGGGAAGGGGCTCCTGACGGTTGCTCTGAGATTATCCCCAGGGCCAGGCACAGGGCTGGGAGCTTTGAATAGGACAAATAGTAGATAGCTCATCTATAAAGTGCACATACTGCTCTCCTGAATTTCCAAAGTGCTTTGCTGTTAGCTGCACACTGCATGCGTGGCAATGCAATCACCAAGAAAAGGCAGCCTGCACCATTGCTGGCATGGTGGCATTTGTATTTCACAAGATCTGGCCTCCAGAGCCTGTGGTCCAAGAGTCATCCTGGATCACATTCAGGTATGAGCTGGAGGGAGCACAGAACTCGTCAGCTCCTGAGGCAGCTGAGCTGTCCCCCAGGCTGCAGCCACCCCATCTCCTGTGTCCGGAGAGGACCAGCAGCAAGATCCCAGCCATCACCATCGAGTGAGTAATAATGCATGACCCAAAGGGGCTGCAGAGAGATTAGTTTCCGTCAAATGATACTCCTCTGGAAATCAAACTGGCTTCCTGGTGCTGACTGCGAAATAAAATAGAGCAGGATCGAGAGGTGGAGCTATAGGTCAGCGCGGCTGCACGGACTGCGAGGGGATTTTGCCTCTTTGAGGTCCTTTCCCTTTCGTCAGTGCCTCCTTGGAGGCGTCAGGGCGTTTCCTGCACAGCTGACTGCTTTTGTTGGTATTTTTATCTCTTCCTGCACGCGATGGCAGGGTGTGGGTATCTGCCACCAGCGGCAGCTTGCAGGCACACGGCACCGGGCCAAGAGGAGAGGGCTGATGGCAGACAGCAGCAGAAGGGCTCCTGAAGGACCTGCCTGGTGCCCTGCAAGGTGTCAGGCTGTGTGCTCAGCCTACAATCAGACCTCTCCTGGCTCCGGCCAAGTTTATGCATAGTACTTCTTCCATTTACAAGGCTCATAGCATCCTTACAGCAAAAAAAAAGACACATCCTTCATTCTGCTGGCAAAGTAATTAGTCCTAACGAGCCCTGGTTCCAGGTTGGGCCAGCAAAGCAGGAGGAAGCATCTGCCCCATTTGGGTGCTTGCAGCTGTCCATTATCAGGAGGGCTGTGCTGGAAGAGGACAGGGGACACGGCACTGCCATCAGCTGTGCCTAACTCTGTCACCTGCTGCCATCCCCAAGGCAGCTGGGACACAGAGAGGTGACACCACTCAAGGAGACACTCCTGGACAGAAATTCCTCTCCCCCTTGCTGAAAGCCCGGCCAGCAGGGTGGGCACAGAGGCAGTTTCTCGGCATGCCGGGCTGCCTTGCCTCAAACACCTTCCCCTTACATTAAGGTACTGTCATCAGCTCTGAATTTCACCCGGCACCGGGCACGCTTTTCCAGTGCAAAAAGCACACCACAAAGACGCGTACACAGCTCCCTGCGAGACGGTTCGCGTGCAGTGGAGCCCACGGCCCCGACAGAGGCTCAGGGCGGCGGGGCGGTGCGGGGCGGTGCGGGGCGGGCCGGCACTGCCGGACAGCTGGCGCACGGCGTGGAAGCGCCCGGCAGCCGGAGCCGGGCACCGAAGGAAGGATGTTGGGACGTACGCAGCTGCCGGGAGATGAGGTTACAATGCGCAGCTAAACAAAGATCCCCGCGAGGAGGAAACGGATCCCTCCCGCCGCCCGTAAGGTAGGAGCCGAGTGGCGGCCGCTTGACATCATCGGGCCGAGCATTGGATTACAGCAGGCAGGGACTCACCCGGCGGGGAGCAGAACACGCCCCTCGGCCCCACAAGTGCAACTTCATTTAGCGGCTCTCGGCGCGAGGAAGCCGCGAGCGTGGAGCTGCCCGCAGCCGCCTCTGCCGCCCCGCAGCGCCGCTTCCAGCCCCGCTCCTCCGGAGACAGCGGGACCCGTAAGTGCGGCGCCGGGAGCGGGGTGCGAGGGCAGGCGCTCGGCCGGGGGATGCCGGTGGGTGGTTTCTGCGGACGTAACTTGGGCTGCTCGCGGCGGAGCTTTGCTTTGCTCCGTGGAGCCAGGGGCTGAGCGGCGGGGCTGCGTTTCGCTTTGGAAGTCGCCTGCTCCTGGTTTGCTGCGCGGGGAGAGCGGCTTTCGCGATCACAAAGGAATGCTCGGCGGCACGGCGACCCTCACGGGGACTTCCAGCATCCTTTCTGCCCTTCGCCCGTTTATTTTAAGAAACCGGTCAGACCTTACGATCTCTTACGACATAGCGGCTCGCTGTGTCCGTCCGGGAGCCGCTGGGCTCTGTGCCTGTGGCCACTCGGGGCTGCCCCGAGCCCTGGCACGGCCGAGAGCCTCACAAACGCGATGTACGCAGGCTTGGGGACTCGCTGGCATCCAGCTTTCCTAGCAAGTGTTTTAAGAGCGGGATAAAAAAAGAACTGCTGTGTGGTGGTATTCTCAGGAGGCTCTGAAAATTCCTCCGGCTCGGTTCTGCGTGTCGCTCTACTCTCTCCGGTTTCCCGCAGGCAGCTGGGAGGGAGCGCAACGCCTCGCTCCTGGAGGGACGGCTGGGAAACGTTCCCGTTGTGTCAGAGGGGGCAAACGCACACACAGAATGAGAGCCACACATGGCTGAGTTCTTTGGGGGAATGTCCGTGGTGGCTGGGATGAGTGGACAAACAAAGAGGTGATGCACCAGTGTCAGGTGGGGCTCTGGGAGAGACATAGAAGCAGAAAGGACGGCTCTCAGACTCTGGGCTTTGCTCGCCCACGGTCAGCACAGCCCTCGGGGTGGCTCTGAGCGTGCTTTGGCTGTTGAGGCTTTTAGGAGGTCCCCTGCGAGCAAGGTGGGCCCTTCCAGCTGTCTGAGAAGTTGTTATATGCCTGCTGTAATGAGGAACAGTGTTTGGGGAAGAAGGGTGCACCAGGGATCCCCAACGGCTGAATTCATCTGTAGCACAGATACAGACTAAATGGCCACTTACAAACATGGCTCTGCCAGTAAAGCTTAAAGTATCTTGAGCACAGGACAGGGCCCTGGGCTCCAAGTCCTCCGCTGCATGGACACCTTCCAGAGGGTGAGAGCTCCGATCCCTCAAAGAACAGGATCTCATTGCAGTAAAGCACATAGGCTGGCAGCAGCATAGCAGAAACACTAAAACCCAAAGACGTAGATCCACATCTTCCAACAACTTATTTCTGTATGCACAGTGGTTGATTCTGACCAGGTGTAAAGGCTAAGAGGAGCTAGCAAGCACTGTTTTGCTTCCCCTTTGCCTTGCTCTCCTCTACCAAAGAAAAACTAATATACTTTTGAGCCTCCTTGAAGGCATGCATGCACACACACACAACCCTGCCATCCAAAAGACAGCTGTGAAAAACATTTTCCAGGTTGTTACCATCTTCTGGGACTCCCATCTTTCAGGACCAATTATCACAGCACTGATCCCTCCAACCAAATGCTAAGCATTACCCCTATCATACAGGGGCCAGGCACAAATCAGGTAGTTCTCCTGGGTTCATACAGGTCTGTACAGAAACAAGGGATCAATCTGCAAGTTGATAAGAAACAGCAGAAGCTGTACCACAGCTTTTTATTTGCCCTTTCTGTGCCACTCTGTTTTGATCTTCATTTTCACATTCAAAGCCTGAACATGGTTGTTGCTCCACAAGCATAAACTACTCTTCAATCAAAGCCATACACACAGACCAATCCAGACAAGTTTTCCAGCACAGTATCCATTCCTTAAAGAGGATGAGAGAAGGAAATAACGACCAACATGCTTCCAGCCAACTCATAAAGGGAGGTTGCTCCCCCAGGCTTACCAGTGCCAGCCGGTGCAGTGGGGACAGTGAGCTGCTGCACGCACTTTGTCCCCAGCTCCTCCCAACGGCAGTGACAGAGAGGCACAGACATCACTGCAGGGCCCAGCCCAGGACCTGAGCAAGAAGAGCAGTGTTGGACTATGAACCATTTATTCCTCCATTTCAAAACCTGCACTCCCTGTCAAGCCTTTGCAGCGCTCATTCTTGGTTTGCTCTGCATGTTCCTCAATGCCTTCTTTCCCAGCATGGCCCTGAGAGGTGCAGTGCTCTGCTTGGCTCCTCCATGCCTGCACGTTGCTGGCCACAACCCGCTGCCATAGGAGCAGGCCAGCACTGAAATGCCAACAGTTGTTGATGTTTGCAGTGATGTAATAAGCCAAATATCCCCACCGGAGAGTCATCAGCTTTACTGCTATTACTCTTTCCACAAAGTGTAATTAGTCTGCAGTGCTCATTGCCTCTAGATATCACTGGCAGTAGGAGTTCAGAAGGCATTTTATTGGATAACAGATCATTATGTAGCTAGCTAAACTACTCTGCTTGTAATTATGAGGATATTGCATTTTAAGAATTATACAACCTCCTGGTTTAGGGCAATTAGTAACTAATGAAAAATATTTCATCATAATTACAAGTTTTCTTGCACCTCGGAGCCAAGGATACCAGCTGTATTTGGAGACAGGATACCAAATGAGATGGTCTTTCAGTCTGCCCAGGGAGGAGCCCCCAGGCTAATCAGTGATGCATTTGGATTGATGTTTACCGGTGAGTCAAGGTAACAATCTTCTGTCTGCTGCCATCACCTTGGGCAAAATCAAAAAGGACTTCCTCTCTGGATCAAAAGCAGCACCATAACATCTGCTGTAGAGAACACCGAATTCTGCCAAAAAGCACTCTGAGCTTCTTGGAGCATGTATTCATTTTGAAGCAATGTGGTGAGAACTGCATTTGTTTGGTGTGTATATACACGTTCCTTTAGGGTAACAGCTGAAAAAAGGCAGAGGCAATCTGGATCTCAAACTGTGTGCACCATGCTGACGGCAACGCCTTTGCAATTCACTCCTGAAGAGCAGCTATCCATTGGACATTTCCACATAGGTCCCTATAATCCATAGTGCCTAATCTGGTCCTGTAATGCATCAAAGAAACATGAATCATTCTTGACAAGTTACACCCACCCCACTTTAGTCCCACTGCAGCAGCTAGCCTCAGCATCAGCCTTAAGCCCCCACACTCTCTGCTTAAGGGAGTCTGCCCACGCTGGGTCCTTGCAGCTCTGCCCATCACCCAGGGCTGGGTGGATGGAATATGGAGCAGAAGATGAGCAGGGCATTCCACTTCCAAAATCCTCAACTAGGGCTGTGAGGCCCTACATGGAGGTGAGGCTGGGGCTGCAGGGGCGGAGAAGAGTAGCTGCAAAAGGGTTCCTCTCTCCAAAATCAGCTGTTTAGAGAGAATAGGGGGCTTCCCCAACAGCCCATCAGGAACAGGATTGCTTAGTGATGGCTTTTCTAGTTCAGAGCATCCTCATTCCAATTTGCTTTAAGCCATCTCCTGGCACAGGTCTGTGGGTTTTGAGATGTTTTGCAACTCATCTGGAATGCCAGAGCTTTAAGTGTATGGGCTGTGTGACACAGGAGCCAGAGTGAGGCAGGAAGACAAAGGAGGGAAACAAAGGATCAAAGATTTTCAAAGCTGGTTTTCCTCCTTCCTGCTTTTGTTTTTCCTGATCAGTACCCCAAAGGGTAATGCATATTCCCAGAGTTGTGGGAATGCTGTTTCTTTTCCTGTCCAGCATTTTCAACAAGCACTTCCCTGTCAGTGGAATAAACAATAACAAAAGCATGTTGTCAAATCCTTGCGTCTTTGATTGGATACTGTCATGATCATCATTAGGATTTTCCACTTCTGTAAGCCGATTTCAAAGTCTTGCAGATATGTGAAACATCCAGTGAGGAAGGCGAGTATTAATAGTTCCACTTAACAGATGGGCAAAGTGACAAATAAAAGCAGCAAGTGCCCTGTCCTTGAAGCAGGGATGGAGCCAGTGAGCAATGTTTGGCTCCAACTATGAGTAAGTTTTAGAAGTGGGCCAAAGAATAAAGAAGGCGGCTGTAGATTTGACCTGGTTTGGAAAGTGATGAATTATTGCAGCCACAGTGATCCACAGCTCAGAGTAGGCAGAACTGCTGAATGAGCTACTGCTTGCATTCTTAAATGGTTAATTTCTTGCTTTTTGGTCTGCTAATATTTGTCCCTGGAAGCAAGAAATAAAAAACAACCAGCAGTCCGTGATGTTCCAAAATGTCCTAAAGCTGAAACAGCTGCTAAAATAAGAAGTGTCTTGTTGGCTGGGCCCTGCAGGTCAGGAGATTGCAAGTCACCCACAGATGTTAAGGCCACAGAGGAAATGTCTGAGAGGGGCCTGGGGACCAAGGGAGAAGGCACAGCTGTGCGCAGAGCAACACAAGGCAAACCAAAGCAGCTGCCAGCACCAGGCAAGCTTCCCCTTCTGCCTCAAAGCAGTTGACGTGGAAGTTTCACTTCTTTAAATGGCAGGGGGGCTTGCAAATGAACATTTGTTTGTACTCGCACTGCCAGCACTGAACCCCTCAAACCTTCCTGTGGTGCCAGTCAGGTGCTTGTGTGCCGCAGTGCGCACACATCAAGATGTTGAAAGAAGTAAAACCAAAAGGCAACTCCCCGTTAGGCCAGGCCACTGGGCAGGTTTTGCTCTTAGACCCAGCAGAGCAAATCACTTAGTGCAACCCCTAAAAGCCTTTCACTCTTGATACTCACTACCCCCAGATCCCTCCCATTAGTCACCGGTGGTGGGAAGAGCCGCTGAGCTTTATGCATCCTGACACCAGCACAGACACTGTTTCTTATGTTTGTTGTCCTTCCCCAGAAGCCGCTGCCCTGCTGTGTATGGAGCCTGTCTGAAATCATGCCCAAAAGGAAAGTCAACTAAACCAGGTAGGGATTCCACTACAGACTGATAACATTTTCCTTCATAGAAAAAATTTAATATAAGAAGGAAAAGGGGATTTTCTCCTTCCTGTTTTGCAAAAAGTCATTTGACCACCTCTGTATTCTGCACTACCAGTTGCTAGAAAGTTGCTAAGAGGGAACAAGCGCCTGTGGTTTTGCTGTAATGACTTTCCTGCTGTGTCTTCCATACCTCCCAGCCATGCACAAGCTGTGTCACAGCACCAGCTCTAATCCACCCTGGCTGGGGACAGCCCAGCATCCTGCTCTCTCTGCTGCCTGCTCTGCACAGAGGGTCAGCCCATCAAAATGCAGGAGCTCCCAAAGCAGAGCTTCTTTTTACACTGGTGTTGAGAGTGAGCCTGCCAGCTCACACAGTCCTTCTGTGCTCACAGCCTTTCAGTCACCTTGCTGCTTTCTTGTCACTCACAATCTGGCTGGACTGAGCTGGTGTTTGCAGATCTGGCAGTGACAGAACTCTGGACTCACTGCTGCACAGACATTCACCCTGCAGGTCTCAGAGCAGCCCACCTCCTGCATCCAGCATCTTCCCACGCATGCTGGAGACCTCCCATGTCTGTCCATGCCCAGGCAGCATCTCAGTGGACCATAAAACACTTGGTAATCTGTTTAATTACAAGCTTTCCCTTCTGCAAGCATCTTTGTACCTCCTCCACTGTTTCAGAGACATCTTGATAACCACTTCAGCTCATACCTGAGATCCCACATCCCTCATGAGCAGCATGCAGGGGATTTGCCTTGCTCACAGCAGGGCTCAGCAGCTGCTCCCATCTAATGCAGTGCCCCAACATCTTCCCCCCCCACCACAGCAATGTTGTGAGGTATGCGCACAAGGACAGGTGAAGCTCTGTTCAGGTGGGAGCTAAGCAAGGCAGCACAGCACCAGGACTGCTGCTTTGGGTGAGGGGAGATGTGGAACCATGTGGAAGGGCTCAGCTCTCCCTGCAAACTCGTTTGGAACTCCTGCACATCCCACTTGAACTGTCAGCAAGCAGTATGCCAACCCTGTGAGCTACACAAGTGATTTTCCTCCAAGCAGCAGCACAGGTCAAACACACCCCAGGGAGCAGAGCTGAGCCCATTTTTCTAATTAGCCCACCTCATTCCAGTGTAAGACTGTCCTGGTTTATTGCTAGGGAAGCAGACAGGGCCCTTTCCCTAAGGAGGCTGTGGAGCCTGTCATACTGGCTCATGGAGGTGGGCATGAGGCGCAGCGTGAGCATAACATCCTGTGGGCTGCACAGGTAGATCAGGCAGGACCAGGGCAGAGCTGGGCTTGGGCCTCCCTGCCAGCACCATCATACCATAAAAACCACCAGCCCTACATACCTCCATGTTCATAGAAAGGCCCCACCCAGCAGCAATGACCTCCTCCAAAACAGAGTTTTATCTCTCCAGCAGCTGCTTTCTCTCCAGCTCCCTTTATACACAAGGGCAGCCCTGCAGGCTCTAGATGCATCTCATCTCTCCCAGGCTCACCTGTATTTTCTCACCTGGGCAGCCCGCAGGGTGCTGGGCACATCCCAGACACAGCCTGGGAGGTGGTGGCACCTGGTGGAATCCGAAGAGCTGTGGGACTGTTGGGTACTTTCCAGCCTTTGCTAGAAAGGTGAAGTGAAAGCAGGGACTTTTTTTTTTCCCTGGGAGAGGAGACTGGGGGGATCCAAATGGCCCAGCCATGCTGGAGGGGGCAGAGGGGGGTTTCTGTGCCCATTACAGGTGGGAACAATGCACAGGTTTTTCTAGAGGTGGCTACAGCAGCAGCTGTGACACTGCTACAGCTGAAGAGTTTAAAGTGCCTGCTATTACTCTGTTTTGAAATTTCACTCCTTAGCAGATCTTCCGCACAGCGATGGTTTTGCTCGCGTAAAAGCAATTTCACATATAAAGGCAGTTAGACAAGAGGTTGGGAGAAAGTGAGAATAAAAATAGTGGTGGGGTGGAGCTAGCACTTGCAGCACTGAAGAGTGCCAAGGGTAAAAGTGCATGGGTGGGCTCTGGGCTGCTTTATGCAGAGCCATGTCCTCCCACATCAGGATGAGCTTTGGGAGGGGAAAATGGGAATGGAAGGCACCAGCTCACATAGCCTAGGACAGGCTCTGTACCTGCCCCAAATCTGGCTCAGCTCCCTTTGCTGGAAAGGCACTTTTAGGGTACTCCAGCTCTGCCCCAACAGAGATGCTGAAAGTCACTAACCCTGCACATTTGGGGTCTGTCCAGGCTCTGTCTCCCTGCACCCTGTGGCTGCCCACCATGGGGACACCATGAAGCTGTGGGATGTGGAAAATAAGCTCGACCTGGGAACCAAACACAAATACAATTGCTGTCACTGCAACTGTCTCCAGATGCACGGAGAGACCAGTTATTTCCATTAATCAACATGGTGAGAAGCTGCAGAAGAGGCTCATAATGCAGATGAGGTTTGGATGCTGAGGGGAGGGAGGAGCCCTGGAAAAGCTCAGTTGTCAAGGAACACTGTGATGTTTCCCATAGTGGAGGATAACAACTGGCATCCTTGTGCAGCCAACGTGAGGCTGGAGCGTGAGCCAGGCCAGCACTGAGTGACGCTAATGAAGCGGTGTCAGTGTGTGCTGGGGGGAGCTGAGTAGTGTTCCCTGCTCCCCTGGGACTGCTGCAGCATGTCAGCCTGCCCTGGGTCCTAGGGGTTGTCTGACACTGTGAAACCCTGCCAGGGCATCTCCTGTGTCTGCTGGGAGCCAGGTGATGAACAGGGGGGCTGGAGCTGCAGAGGTGCTGTGGGACAGCAGGGACAGGGGTGTGGGTCCCTGTGGCCAGGACGTACTGAAGGGCAGAAAGGAGGGAGAAGCTAAACACAAGGTGTGTCAGGTCCTAATCCCTACAGGAGCCCAAGCCAAACATTAAATCATAGGCTAAGTAGTGAGTTACCAGTGCTCAAATGATCTTCATACTGCAAAATAAGGCCAAAGTAAACTTTGGATCTGCTTTACACACCAAGCCTCCATCTCCCTGCTGTAAATCCTCCCCTGCTATGTGAATGACATTTTTCCACCAAGTTCTGGAGAACCCTAAAAGTTCTGTTCTTGAATTCTTGCAGTGCATGGAGATGCTGTGATGTCAAACAGCATCACCCAGTTTCTGGCACTAACCTAAGCTCAAGTGCATGGGAGGGTCTTGGGCCATGAAGAGGTCTGGTAGGCACTGGCACAGGTCTAAAAATACTCCCTAATCCTGATAACCCAGCCATGGAGCCCTCCTGCTTTGATGTGCAACTTCTCATGCATGTTCCCAGACCAGAGGCCATGGAAAATTCACTGAAATTCCATCTGGAAGCTGTCAGACAGTTGGTGGAAACCCCCTGACCTCAAGTGCTGACTTCTGCTCTGTGGGATTTTTTCCCTCTCAGCTGGATGAGGATCTCACAGCAGGGAACCTCGCAGCAGACCGCAGGGAGCACAGAGATCCTGGTGCTGCTGCCTCTGTGCTCTACCAGGCTCCCTCCACAGCGAACTGTCTTATGCTGTAAATATTTTACAAGCCCAGCAGGGATACTGGGTGTGTTTTGCTGTTGTTATGGATCTGTCCCTAGCAGGACTGTGCTAATAATAGCCCAGGTACCCAGGAATGAAAGGGGGAGAGACCCAGCATGGAGAGCTTGAAGGCACCGAAATGCTCTGTGCCCTTGTCCATGCAGGTCTGCAGTACAGGGAGATGCGGGATGTGATGCTTAAACAGAAGAAAAGGGTCAAACCCCTCTTCCCCTGCTGATCTTTGGTAAAAGGTGGAAATTTCAACCCAGAAACACAGCCAGGTTTAGATTGGCTTTGGGGGCTTTATGCTTCCCAGGGGCAAAAGGCAGCAGTTTGATCCTTGGCTTGGACACCAAGAGAGCAGGAGCTGGCCTTGTGGGTCAGAGATCCTATTCCAGCCAGAACCCGGCCATGGGCACAGAGCTGTTGGCCCCACAACAGGCAGCAGCAGCAGCAGCAGAGATGTAAGTGTGGGGCTCCAGTCCCTCAGGACTTGGGCTTAACATCCCTCTGCCAGCCCTTGCTGGCTGTGGTCATTGGGATGATCCTCAGGTGCCACAGGAATGGAGACATCTTTGTGTGGCTCCAGAATCAGTGGTAGGCACAGGCTGCTCCGTGCTGCCCATCGCCTGGGTGTTTAGGAAGAAAGATACGGCCCCATTCCCCACTCTGTAAAGGGAAACAAGGAGGGCTCAGGTGGTTCTTGGGGCCAAGCGATGCCAAGAAGCCACTGCTGTGTTGAACCTTCCCACCTCCTCCCTTACAGCCCCTGCTGTGCTGTGCTGGCTGCCCTAGGGGTGAGGATATCCAAGCAGAACTTGAAGGCACCCTTTACCATGTCGTGCCACCTGTGCCACAGAGAGCTGAACAGAGTTTCCTCTGACACAAAAGTCTTCTGCAGTTTGTGCAAAGCCAGGTTAGAAGCAGAGCAAAATTCTGAGGAAAGCCTGAGGTAAGAAGAAAAAACTTCCAGTTTAACCTAGGCAAGGGGCGGATACAGCATCATGTGAAGGGCTTCCTTGAAACTGGAGTCCAGGGCTGGGTGTGCCTGCAGAGTCCATCCGAGCCCTCTGACTCAGGTGTGGGCCACATTTACTCCATGGGTGCATGGCTCTGTGTCGAGTTTAACCCTCCCATGGTAATTCCAGGCCATTGTCCACTTGAAAGAGGCACTGAGTCACCTCAAAAGTGTCCTTCTTTCACGAGAAGGTATCCTGGGGATGGACTCACTGCAGCCCAGGGCTGGCAGCAGAATCTCTGTAGTTAACTGAATGGGCTGTGGCATTCTCCAGGGTGCACAGGGGCCCCTTGGCCCCTGGGAAACCATGGCAACCAATGTCTTGAAGATAAGAGAGAAGAACAGGTTAGACCCAATAAGGAGGAAACAAGACATGCCACATGTCCATTGGTCAGAGAGAACGGTAATAGCCCTAAGGCATGGGGAAAGTTTTAGGCAGGATGTGCTCCTTGCAATTAACGCCATTTTGCCGCTCACCATATTGGTGTCGTGAAAAGCATGCGAAACTGACCGGGGCTGTCGGAACACTTTCACAAGGGGACTTCAATCAGGGTCGCCGAAACAAAGGCGACAAATCTCATCCTTGTGCCACACCTGTGCCTGCGGAACTCACACTGCTGCAGGCCCATACTTCCTGCTTCATTCCCGTCCTCACAAGATATTATGGAAAAATAAGCTGAGGCCAATCAGCAGGTTTGGCAGAAAGAGCTTATCTCAGCACGGTGAGTGAGCTTGAAACTGCGGGGTGTGGGGAGCTGCCACACAATGACATCCACAGTGACACTGCTCCAAATGAGCTGCACAGGCAGGGAGCCCCTCTTGTCCATGGCAGATGCTAACAGTTCCCCCATTTAAACCCTACCGATACGTTTTGCATCTTCCTGGAACCGTGAAAACGCTCCTTGAAAAAATCAGGTTTCCCCCCGAAAATGGTGGCGACGATTCCATCACCCCTCCGGGCGGCAGCAAAGCGAGGGGAAGCGAAAGGCAGCGCCCGGAGAGCCGCGCACCGGGAGCCGGCGGGGCCGCCCCGTGAGCACCGGGCACTGCAGCGGAGCTCCGGCGCCATCTCCCGGTGGCTTCTGCGGGAGCACTCGGTCCGTGCGTCGTTCATTGCGTTCAGACGGCTTCCCCGGTAGGGAGATGAGTGTTGAGCAGCTTTTGTGCAGGAGCTGAACAAATGTCTCAGTGGGACAGCAGCGCCGTGACACAAAAGCAAGTGGATGCAAGATGTTATGCTTTTTTCATTAGCCAGCAGTGTTTCTGATCGGCTCCTCCTCCAAGTACTGACAAAACCAGTAGGGCAGTGGGCAGAACAAGTGGGCCGCTGATCTCCAACTTCCACACAGAAAAGCAAGCCGGGAGCCAGGCTGAGTGAACAGGAGAAGGAAGCAGGAGCACTGGATTCCCAGCACGGAGGCAGCACGTGACCTGCTGGCACCCAGGCACTGGGATGCTTGCAGTGTGTTCCCAAAGCTGCCCAGCTCCCCGCACCGCATGCTGCCAAACCAAACCCTCAGCTAAATGAAGCCCTGAACACCCATCAGGCTGTACCAGGAGCTGGCTGGTGGCTTGTGCTCATTGTGAGCCTTTCTTAGCACTCTGTGCTTGGCACAGGGGGGAGCAAAGGGATCCAAAACTCTTGCAGTAAGGTTGATTTTCACAGGGTAAAGTGTTGCTTTTCTCAAAGCTGTCTCACTTGACACATGAATGTGACAAACACAGCAGCACTGATGCAACCCCAGTGCCTGCAAAGCTCACGAGCTCCTGGACTGTTTGGGTGAGTGCATGCTAGAGCCCTATTCCTGATTACAGATTCTGGTCAGTTCACCCCTTCCCACCGCAGAGCCAAATTCAGCCTCCATTCAAAGCTCCCAGGGCAATTTGAGGAGGAAGGAGGGCTTAGGCCAAGCTGACATCAAGCTGAAATGCAGAGCTTTGAACCTAAGGCAGCCCCCTTTCCCCAGAGCAGCAGGCACATGGTGACAAAGCTGATGACAGCAGAGCCAGCAGCAGCTCGTTTCCTGAGAGTTCAAAAGCTGCTCTGACAGGGCGCGGAGTTACAGGGACTATTTTTTCATGCTGTAATTTAACTCCGTGCAGTAACCTAACCCAGATAGAGCCATGGCTCAAGGCTGGCCGAGCACCCTCAGGCTCAAAGCTGTTCTCTCTGCAGGATTTTGAAGGAGCATAGAGATGCGATGGAGGTGGAGTCCAGCACGTACACAGACTTCATTTCCTGCGACAGGGCTGGCCGGAGGAATGCTGTCCATGACATCCAGCGGGATGCAAACACCATCAGCATGCGCAAGCTGACCAAGGACATCGGCGAGCTCGGCGTCGAAGGGGCAGGTGAGGGGCTGCAGGCACTGGGGTGGCTCAGGACACCCTGCTTGGGTGGGCACAGCCTGAAACTACAGCAAAGCAAAGTCCCTGGGAGCCAAGTGTGGTGGGGGACACCTGGAGGGATCTTCTGCAACCAGCGCCATGGTCCCAGTGCATAGCCACCAAATCCAGAGCCTGTCTTTGGTTGCTTTGTAGGGGTACTGGTGTTTTAACAAAGCAAGCACTGAGAAACAGACTTCTCAGGGCCTCGTACACATTAGATGCACCTTTGGCTTCATAAAAATCAAGTGTGTATGTGAGGGGGTGTGGTGTAACCCCAGCTGTAACTCCTAAAACGATGTCTGGGCATATGTTTACAATAAGCACTAACTGGATCTCAGCTGGCAGCAAGCAAGCTGGGTACCTGCCAGGCTGCCCATGTGCAGCTTGCCCTTTACAGGTTAAACACAGAGAACACACTCCTGCTTTGAAAGGGACTCTTGGTTTAGAGCTGTTCTATTGATGCACCCTGAAATAAAGTCCTGACGCTTTCTTTTGAGCACTGAGGTTCCCTCTCAGCATTGCCAGACACTCTGTTTTGAGAAGGGCTTGTGCTCTGAGAGCATGATGAGATAACCCAATACATTTAAGCTGAATATCTGGCTCCATGTGGGCTGCAACAGGGCTTCAGCTGGCAAGCTGAATAAAACCAGCTGTGGTTGATGCCTGATCACTCACGTCCTCAGCAGACTGTAACTGTGCTTTCCTCCCACTCCTCCCTTCTGCAGAGAGCGAAGAAGCCAGCACCTCTTCTGAGAGAGACCCTGCAGCAAGACCAAAGGAGCAAGAGAGCAAATCCTCCCCATGAGAGCGCACAGGGGGTGGGATGGGGCTGCAGGAGGGGCTTGCTTTGAACGTTAAGCAAGAATTTGTTATTGAATCTGTGGACAAAAGCCAACCAGGACCAGCAAGATGTCTGTCACATGCCTCTGCTGCAACCTTTTTGTTTCAAGAACTGCAAGATACTGCACAAGGACTGGCACCTCCAAAAGACTTCTGCTCCCATCCCTGATGACTTAGAGCAACACTGCAGTGTTTGTAGTGATATGAGCCATTCTCAAGATGCCTTAGCTGCAATTTTCCCCTATGGGAAAAAAATATTTCAGTAATAATATACACTTTCCTGTCCGAGGTACCTTCCCCCTTTGCAAATTTAGACTATTATTTATTCTGTTTCTGTAGGTTAGAGGTTTAGATGATTGTTTTCTCCACGTACTGCCCTCATCCTGCATCTCACCCCTGAGCTGGCCTCTGGACCGGGGCGGGCAGCAGCAGGCACCTGCCAGCCCTGCACCTCTGGCCAGACCCATGCAGCCCTGGGAAGGACCAAAGCACAGCCCCACGTGGATGAGCTCCACTGACAGACCCAGCAGCATCAGCATCTTTTCCTTTGGGTTTTAGCGTTTTAAGGTATTGTTAAGGGGGGGAGGAGGGAGGGAGAAACATTTTGCTGTTTTGACTGTTGAAATTCAGGCTTAACTTTGCAAGCTGTTAGCTGAGATTATCTCCGGTAGGATCTCACACCATTCTTTTAGGAGACATGTTTTGTGTTAAAGATGGTTTGATAAAACTATATAAGCTGTTGGAATAAACAACACAGCCTTTAAGTACTGAAGGTGTTCTTCTGCCTGGATGTTTCTTCTTCCTTGGTTTTGCCTTGTGACAGATCAGGCTGCAGAAGGTAACACTAGCCCCTCATGGGCAGATTGGAATCCATATTACAAGCAAGGACATCCACTGCCTGCATTTCCCCACCCAGGGGCCTGGCAAAGCACTGGAACAGCTGCAGCCCCACAGGCATTGCTGGGTCCTGAGCAGGGCAGGGGCTGATGTGAGGAAAGCTCCAGTGGTGACACAAGCATCTCCTCCACAACCTTGGAAAGAACTGAACACACGTTTGGGATCTGTCAGAGCAAACAACCCCATAAATAAGCAGAGAAGTTGCTGCCAGACAGAGGGCGAATTGCCCCCGGGTCTCCAAGAAGCAGTGGCCACAGGGTCAGGACAGAAATGGATGAGACAGCGACCTACACAGGAACAAGGACTTGGCAGCCTGGCGGAGGCTTCATCTGCTTCCTTGGCACCAAGGAAGCTGCCAGGATACTATTACAGCTCTGTTCCCAGGCGGTGCCAAGAGCCTACCCCCTTCTACCCTTGGGGCAAACCAGCAGGTAGCTCCTGTCTTGGCTGACGGTATAATTTGGGCTTTAAGCTCCATTTATAGCTCTCCTTGCTTGGTCCAAAAAAAGCTTGGTTCTAACAGCAACATTCTTAAATATAATGATTTATCATTTTCTTTATAAAAGTAAGAAATCCACTCTCTCCTATTTGTAGATATGCACCATGTATTTCAGAGATGAGTACTTCACTGAGAAGACAAATATGAAAGCCTAGAAAGAATGGAAACATTCCCAGCACTCAGGTGCTGCTGGCTGAGAGCGAGGCAGATGCTATACATGACCACCACAGCCCTCTGCCAAAGGCAACTTTTTGGTGTAGTATCTTTGGAGCACGCATCTTTATAGCCACCTAAATCATGCCACACATCACACTCCCTCCTCAGGTGCATCAAGATGCTGACTGTTGGAAAATTATGGTCTCTCCTCTGGACGCATGGCTCCATTGCATATTAGCCAAGAATACTGTAATGTAATGTAAAATGGCTTAGGAATTTTGGTGCATATTTCCTCATAAATTCTCCACCAAAATGAAGATCTGATTTCTAGCCAGTGCTGTGGTGAAGTGAGAGAAGCAATTCAGATAGAACCTGAGACAGTATTTGATATTGGGCCCAAGCTTATCCATTTACTCATTGAGTTTTAACAGTGCCTAAAGATTACGGCAAGTCAGAAAGAGCACAGAATGGCTAAAGCAGGCAATCAAGCACAATTTTTGTAAGGTTCTAAACAAAGATACAAGAAGAGCAAAATGTAGTTCACAGGAATTCCCCAGGGTGAGTACACAACTGGGGAAAATCCCAGAAGGCAGATTTTGGCCCAAAATGGTAAAAGTGTTCCAACTTCCTATGCAAGTATGAGCACAGCTGGAGCACAGGGTGTGCGCTTCTGTGGCAGACACTGTAAGGCCTGAGACACAGAACTCCTTGGCTGAGGGAGGATGACAAAAAGGCTTTCTTAAACAACAACAACAAAAAAAACCACCAGAAAACCTTCAGACTTGTGCACCAGTTCCCAGCTTGTTCTTGTCCTATTCTTGTTAGCACAAGCCTAACCACAGGTAAACCTCGCTGTAGCCAAACCTCCCTATCTGCATGAGTGGGAAGAAATCCTCTGCTTCCAAAGTGCTCGCATGCTTCCTCTGTGGCACACCTTTTCCCAAGAAAGGTGAAGATTAATCCTGGCCACAGTCACAGGCAGGAGTGGTTATTCCTGTACTGCAGAAAAGGGTTAAGGCATGGCAGGGGACCTCCTTCTGCTCTCATTGACGGGGCAGAAGCAGCAGAGGAAGGGAGGAGTTTGAGTCTGCGTGCTCAACGGCAAGAGGAAGCTGGATGTCCATTTGGGAGACAGTTCATGGAGGTGATAAGTGGTGTGTATGATAGGAGCCTGATTGTGCTTGGCGCGGTAAGGGTTAACACTGGGTGCCAATAGAGGACACTGACCCCTGGCACCTCCTCCTGCTGCTCCCCAGCAGAGCAGAGCCAAGCACACACGAGGAAGGGGCCAGTGCTCCACGCTGGCTCTCAGGAGGCATCACGAGGTGGCAGGCACCATCCCATAGGCTTCATACAGCGTATTAAGAAGCTCCTGCTTTTCTTTCTCAGGTAAGAAGCTGGACTGAGCTGCATTGATGTTCTGGGAAGGCAGATGGAGAACAGAAGGGAGATGTTAAGACACACCAGAGATGTGGTTGTACATATCCTAATATCTCCAACCAGGCTGAGGGAAGGTGAAGCTTCTACTCCAAGATGCATTTCCACAGACTCATTTCCCAGGGCAGCTGCTCTGTCTCTCCCACTAGCAGCAATCCCAAAAGGAATGCAGCAGGCACAAGGAGGGGGTCCTTAAATACTCTGGAGTTTGTAGGAACAGGTCTAAAGAGCATATCCTACACTACGGCTTCTCTTTGTGCCAGCCCAGCTGGTGGTGGCAGCTTGATGCATGCTGTGTGACAGCCTGGCTGCACAATGTCACCTGCTGGCCGGCCTCATGCAGGGATATTTCTTTTGTTTGGCTTCTGCAAGGGCAGGAAAGGACAGCTGGCATCCAGGGATCCCAGCTCCAAGCTGTCCTTCAGTGCACCCTGGATTTCCTGCTTCCAAGCAAATATCCTTGCAGACAGGAGGTGGGAGTCATGAGCATAGCTCCCTTTGATATGCAGATAAGCCAGACTCCCAACACCTACCTGTCTTTCTACCTCGGGGAAGTAATTGGAAAAAAATCAATGAAAAAAAACCAGTTTTCTGGTTATAAGACACAAGTGACCGCACACCAAACCAGGAGTCATTTTGTTTTCTGTTTAGTTTGCAAGTGCAAAAACTGCAAGCACTTTTGTAGATGCTGAATCTTAGTAACTTTTAGGGCAGGCTTTGAAATAACCTCCCTACAATTCCAAACTGATGTAAAAAAGCAAAAGGTCCCTTCCTTCCTACTGCTCAGATCTGCTTGGCAGACCTTCCTGGACTATTGCCACCAAACACAGCCCAAGGCATCATCCATGCGATGCCTCCAGCTTCCATGCTGCATGTAGCCCTGCAGGATTTTCCATTGAAAACTCTTGGTTTATGAAGAAAAAAAAAGCTGATGTCTCTGGGCTTCACCAGGACTCCTGCAGAGCATCAGTCGAGGTCAACTCACCACTCTCTTGAAATCCTCCTCAGTGAAGTCCATGTACTCCTTCATTATGCTGTAATCCTTGTCAATGGTGGAATTGAAGATGAGGGGGTCATCGGTGTTGATAGAATAATTAGCTTGATCCTTCTTAAACCTGTAAGGGAATTGGTTCAGAACAGCAGGAAGAGCCTTGCTGCAGTGCAGCACTCGAAGCAGTCACAGCTGGGTGGGGACTTTAAGATTACGCATTATTTGTAAGCCTTACTGTACTACTGGGTGTTTCCTGAAGTCCGGAAGACATGCTCCAGTCAGATAGCTGGACCAGGGGCAGACCTGGTTGTGGGCGTTCAAGACAATAAAGCAGGATCAGCCATGCAGACCTGAACCGCAACTGCGCGGGCAGATAGCTGCGTGCAGGCAAAGCAGCGCAGGGCCTTGCCCAGGCACTCCCACCTCCCACTCTGCAGCGCCGAGGCCTCACCTCAAAGTGCATTCTGGTTCTCAGCAGCTCCCTGTACAGCTCGGGGTCCTCCAGCACGTGGTAGCCGTGGCCGATGCGCTCAGCCTTCAGGAGGTACACGGCCTGGGGAGCAGGGAGAGCAGCTGCAGCCCGCGAGCACGGCAACGCCGACATGGAAACCACTTGGGCTTCCTATGGGGCCAGCCATGGGGCTTCCACCCCGCACCCCTCCTACCTCCTTGATCATGGCAGCCGGCCCGGCTTCCCCAGCGTGGACGGTGCGATGGATGCCGCATCGCTCTGCTTCCTGCAAGGCGAGGGAGGCAACGCTTGGGTCTGACCCTGAGGGAAGGTCCCATGTGCACAGCCCCGAGGCTGGTAACCACAGGCTCACAGAATGTCAGTGGTAACACCACCAGCAGCAGGATTTTTCATCCCATGGGCACTTAAAGCTTCGGGGCAGGGGCAGGCAGTGATGGCAGCCCAGCTGTTTCACTGAGCTCCAGCCCCCCATCTGCTGAGAACCACTGGGATATAAACATGGGAACAGTGCCACTGTTAAACAAAATATTTTTAACAGCTGCAATTAATTTTTAAGCTCTCCCAGTTGTTTGTGGTCTGAATAAAGTGCTGCATGTCCGTCAGCCAGGAATAACCCTGTGGGTGTTTTCTTATCGTTGTTTTAAAGAAGCTTATTCCACAAACCTCGTAAGCCTTCTTATGATCAGAAGAAGCCTTCAGCATCTCATCCCCAGCCAGGTCTATGGCCACCACGGAGTTGTTTTGATACTTCTTGCACAGCTCTACCACCTCTGGAGACCAACCTGGACAAGGCAGTACCAGTATTCAGGAGAAAGTTTTTGTATGAATCGCACCTTGAGCGTTTTCTAACCATGGGACATGTGGTGTCATGGGATAGTTCAGGTTGGGCTGCACCTCTGCACAGCAGCAATCCTGCCCCGCTGCACAGCTCCTCCAGACATGATGATGGAAAGCAGCTGCAAAGCCTCCTGGCAAACCAACCTTTGGCAGTTTTATCTTTTTGGTATCAGTGGGAAACAGCAACAAATGGCCAACGTGTCCTCGAGAGTTATCTCTGACCAAGACACGGTATACTCTCTTGAAAAGGAAATTCATCTATTAGCTGATACTGCACCTACCCTTAACAAGAGGGCCAAGAAACAAGAGATAAACTCCAGTGTTAATTATTAATAGGCACCTGCTGTGCACCTACAGTCCTGAAGTCACATCAACACATAAGAAAATTGGTGCAAATTCATCATCTTTTATCACTGCTTTCAAACTCATCAGGTTTGAGCCGTTATTTTATTAACAACTTCAGTATGCACTATCTCTAGCTGACATTTCTGCCTCTCCCAGCAATTCCTAAGTCCCAAGGGGCTTCAAAGGGAAAACATTGTGCCCTGACACCACCCTTTCAGGTAGCGCATGCATTAAAATGCAGACTCAGCTGTTTCCAAGAGGAACTCTTGCTGCTATGCATACACATGATGCATGTGCTGCCCTCACCCTGCAGTACTGCAGCTGCAGACACCTTGCACACAGCTTACAGCTTCCCGTTTTAGCAGCCTTTCTTCCTAGAAATCAGAAGCCCAATGGTTTCAGTTTCAAATTTTTGCTTTGGGTTCATTGAGCAAAGAGAAAAAAGCCACCCTCAAATCTTCCCTTTTCCAGGAATTTAATTTTCCATATTTTCAGGCACAAATTAGCCATATTTTTGTTAGCAAAAATGTTCATCCTATTAAACCTGATGAAAAATGTAGTAAGGATCTGAAGACTTTCACAGCAAAGTTTCAGTGTCAGACAGCTATGGCCATGCAACTTGCTCCAGCTGCACTTCTCCCATGGTGAAGATGTTCATGGAACTCAGCAGCCCAACAAAACTCTACTACTGAATAAGGTTACAACTGCCAATTTTGGGAAAAACCCTCAGTGTTTGGAGCTTAAGTCTGTTCTACATGTCGTTCCATTTAAAACCAGCAGCAAGTTAGCGGCCTGCAGGTCCTGTTGTTGGCTTTTGGCCCCCAGAAGACTTCAGCTAGGTCTCCTGATCTGCTCCATTTTCACAATCAGCAGAGCCTTTACAGGAGCAGAGGGCCCTGACAGAGGGAAAACAGCTCATTCTCAGCACGTGTAGTCCCACATCACACCTAGGGCCACATTTCTGCAGGGACCTGAACCCAGGGGATGTGTGCCGCGCCACGCGTCAGGGGAGGGGAGCAGAGCAGCGGGTGAGCTGCAATACATTACTTGGCATATGGCGCATGCAGCATAGAATAGACCTGGCTTTGATGTGGAAATCCCTTTCTCCATCCTGCAGTCCCTGATTTACGAGGTTAACAACTTCCTCCGGAGTGAGGTCTCCCCTGTGGGGAAGAAGAGATGGTGAGAGGCTGGGGAGTGCTGCGGGTGGGCAGGAGCTGCAGAGACCCACAGTGAGCAGAGCAAGGCCTCCCAGATCCTGCTCGTAGCAACATCCAACAGCACAAAACAGATCCCCCAAGCAAACAAGCACATTTACACCCACACCACACCCTCATTTACAAGATGTCAGGCATAAAACCGTAGAGACATCTAATACAATTTAGCAAAGTGACAAGGAACAGGATTGCCAATCCCACTGGGGCACTTTTGCAGCACTAGGTGCCTTAATACCCCTGTACAACAGGCCCGCGGGGTCCCTCCTACCCAGCTGAGCTGCATTTTGGCCAGTGATCTGTACAAGGGTAAAGCCAGACTTCAGTCAGCACCTTTTTTGTCCCAGAAAAAGCCACTGCAACATGTTCCGCAAGGGGCCACCAAGCCCTGATTTCTTTAGACATGTATTAGAGCACATGTGACACTGAGACAAGGGACCAGGAGATCACCAGCCCTGGCAATGCTGCCTCTCCCAGCTCCAATTTACACTTTGCAAGCAGGCAGCCCCTTCATGAGCCCTGCTTCCCCTCACGTGGAGAACAGCTTCAGCCAAAAGCTCAAGCACAACTGCTTCACACATGCAGAACTAAGTGCCTGCAGCAAGGCACACTCAAGCATGACAGCACGCCGAGGTATGAAAAGAGGAAAAACACCATGAATGGTGCTAGGAGGAGTGCCAGAGCCGGTTGCACTGGAGGAACGGGAGGACTCGGGTGACAGATGCACTGCCCAACCTGCATGGATGCTGGCTCCTTGGTGCTGGGAGCTGAGCTGTGCCAGCCAGGGAGCACAGTGGGAGCATTTACAATTAAAAATGCAATTACATTAAAAGTCATGATGAAATCTTACTAATTAACTTGCTGCAGCAGGTTCTGAAAAAAAAATAATCATTAGTCTTCGCATCCCCCTGAGTTGCAACACTCTGCCTAAGGAGAAAGGAGCATGGGGTAGGTAAGGTGAGCTGTCTGCAACCAAACACTCCTGTCTGGGCTCCAGCCCTGTGGGATGGGATGGGATGGGATGGGATGGGATGGGATGGGATGGGATGGGATGGGATGGGATGGGATGGGATGGAGGAGTCACTCACTCGGCCTGTCCCCAGGGGATGGGCTCCACGCGGCAGTTGGCCAGCAGGTGAGGGCTGTACCGCACCTCCACGTAGATGACGCCTTCCTTCGCCTTCGTCTCCACCAGCTCATATGCGATCCTCCGCACTGCCTCGCGGTCCCCCCTGCAAGGACAGCAACGGGATCCATCACCCCTACCACCACGAGGGAGCCCAGAGGGATCCCACCAAAGTGGGTACTCACGCAATGGCGGGCATGTAGTGTTTAAATTTCTCTAGAAATAGTTTAAGCGATAGCGGTGCTTTGTAGCTGACGTGCTTCATGAGGTCATCAACGGTGCTGCCAGGGAGAGGAACCCCTCTTTTCCTGGAAATGAAGCCACATTTTACTGATGGGGAAGGTTATCACATTTTCAATCAGCCTGTTCTGTACAGCAAGCACGTCTCGAGCTGGCAGAGCTAGCCGCTGTTTCTTCCCAGAAGAGATACGGCACACACTGTCCTTCCAAAGCAGATGTGGCCCTAGACCTCTGAAAGGAGCATGGCAACCCAAGGCATGAGAAAACACAGGCACTTGGAGTTACAAGCCCACAGCAATCCTCTGGAAGCAGAGCCAGGGCACAGCGCAGGCTTCCGTGTCAGCTCAACTGAAGGAGCTTGGGATTATTTTTTGGCACCTCCCAGTTCCAGAAGCAGAATTACCAAACTTCCTTAGAAAAGTCATTTCTCACAGAGACTCCAAAGCCTGAGCAATCAGGGAGGATCACAAGGCTTGGGACCACACCAAACACACAGGCTCTGCTGTGAGTGAGCCCATTCCTCAGCCCCATATCACAGCACCCACAGGACACCCCACGCAGGAGCACGAGGTGGCGCCGGCAGCTCTCACCCCCCCAGCTCCCCTAAGCAGACGAGGTGCCCATGCCTGTCCTCCTCCAGCACCACACAGGGACAGGTCCCCAGGTGCCAGCACGCCAAGAGCCGGGGACACCGCACGCCTCCAGGCAGGATTCCCCATCCACGCACTGTCACCTACCCACAAATGCCAGCCTAAGTCAAGAATAATAACCAGACATTTGTATTTAATCCTCTTTCCTTCCCAGCACTGTCAGGATGAATTACAGCAGACTGACGGACGTTTCTCTGCTAATAGAGACAAGGCAGCGGTGACAGCTCTAGCAGCCTGCTGCCAGCAGCCACCCCACAGGAAAGCAGCCCCACCGGCACTGCTGCAGGGCCGAGCACACGCTGCTCACTTCCCCACTGAGGCAGGCAGGAAACCAGCCCCACGCTCAGCCTTCAGATGCAGTCGACGCAGATTAAGCTGCTGGCACTCAGCGGGGACGGGACGCTCATCGCCGCCAAGGCATCGGCTTTCCTCCCCGCAGTGCCCTTTCCACACTGCTGGCAGCTCTGGCTCAGCTCCTCCCTGCCTGCCCTGGGAGTTCTCCCTGCACAGCCCTGAGCAAGGCTGTCCCGCTCCAGCGATGGCACCTGGGGACGCTCCGTAGCACAAGGCTGCTGGCGCCAGCCCTCTGGCTTTGGAACCGATGTTAAGCCAAATTTCTGAAAAACTACTTCCTCCCCAAATTAATGGAGCTGTGCTTAAGAGCTGCTTCCTGAAATCTTTCAGCTTGCCACATCCTTAATCTGTGATTATCTGCTCATGTTTGTTCACGCTGTCAGTGATCATAGCTGGAGGAAGTCTTCAGTTCCTTCTGCCTACAGCTGCAGAGCCAGGTCCTCACCCCAATTATTCAAAGCCCACCAGCTTCCCAAAGCCAAGCCATCACCTGGAGCCTTCCTCCCCCAGATACTCACTTGCCAAAGTGTAAGATTGTTTCTGGCCGAATGGCTCCATCCAGATGGATGTGAAGCTCTACCTGCAGTAACACAAAGAGACATCAGGGAGCTACTCCTGGAGCTGCAGTAAGGCCTTAAGATGGGCATGCAGTGCTAACATGGGTATGAATGCTGCTGATACAGGGACCAAGTCACAAAAACCAAATGCAAAAAAACATTTGAAGAACATCACTGTTAAGAAGTTCAGTTTTGATAGCCAAAGTATTGTCCAAGTATTTTCTTATTCCTGATGCACATCCAGATTTAATAGATTTGGCACTCATCAATGTTAGATTAAGCAACAGCAATTTAGAAACTTGTTGTGTTTTTCAGTAACGTAAAGCATTTTTTCAGGAACTGCCTTATCTGTACTTAGCTTGTGTGGCTTGGAAGGTTGAAAAAACAACCCTCAAACAAGCATCAGTCAACTTGATACAAGAGTCATAACCCAAGAAGTTGGACTCTGCTTCCAAGAAACTGCTCCAGATACGATCTTAATTATTTGGCGTTACCAAAGCATGTAGGCTTTGTAAAGCTACACACGGAGTCCCAAAGCAGAAGGTGCTGCACAAAGAAGTACAAGAGCTGCCGCATAGCGCTCGCAAGCTGACTTCAAAATAAGATGATTCATTTAAACTCAAAAGAAATGGGACAGTAACTCAGGTCCCTGTGAGATCATGTTTTGGAAGAAGACTCACAGAGAAGGGAAAATGAGCTTTTCCAGATAGGCAGCTGGAGCTTTGGAGGAACACAGTGAATGCAATTTGGAAGTTGAGCTGAGAAGGAAAATGTTAGCTGTAAAATTGTTCAGCTAGATCATGGTGTTTCTAGAACTGTTTGTTTTTAAGCAACAGAATAGCCATATAACAAATATTTGTGTACCAAAGGAAGACTCCAAAGCACAAAGCAGCTGTTGGGAAGGAGAGCCTCCAGACCAGCTTTGCTCACTTCAGGTCTTTCCAATGTGGATGATGTGAGACACCACATATACTAAAACACCCAGGGAGAGACTGTCTCACCTATGCCAGCCAGGTGTGGGCCACAAACATCTGGTAAACATCTGCTTAACCAGTGGGGGGTGATCCTGCACTGCAGCCAGCCAGGGGTCACAGCCCCACCAACAGAGATATGGCTGTTACCTCTCCTACCTGACATGAGCCCTACGGAGATGGAGATTTCCAAAGGGCACAATCTGATCTTTCCCCCTGCCCTGAGTTTCGCAATGCTGTTTGCAAGGACTAATCCTGGAAAGCATCAGATAAAGGAATGCATGATGGACATGATCTGCATCACCAGATGTGGACAGCTGGCACGTTTTCCACTCCTGAGCTCTGAATGCAATTTCAACACCACGTGAGCTCCATTCTTTGAGGTTTTCAACAGCCCCCATGACCTCCTGGTAGAGTTGCAGCCTGGGACTTGCTCACCCTGACCCAGCAAGCTGAACCTACCCCACACATCCCTCAGATGCTCCCCGCCATCCCAACACCACATTTCCATTCAACTGAAAGCACCCTCAGCACTGTGCATGCAATCCTCCTGCTGCTGATGCAGGCAGCTCAAACAGCACAGCATGAGGCTTCTCACATCATGCATCTCCGCTGCCTCCTTCACCAACCCTGCAGTTTGCAGGTCTGTAGGAGGCTGCAGAGCTCCACTGCAGCTCCTTTCTTCTGTGTTTGTTTTGGGCAAACAAAGCCTAAGGCTTTCCCAGATAGAAGTGGGTAACGTGACCTTGCTTTAAGTCAAGGAAAGTACCCAGATAAAGATGAAAGAGTTCGCGTGAGGTTGCAAGCAAGCAGCAGCCCTGACACAGATCCACGTGTGTGGATCCCACCTCAGTGAATCCCAGCTTTGTTTGGAAGAACCTGGGCTTACTGACCAACCATGCTCAGCCCAGGACTACAGCAACTTAACAACCCCCAAGTTTGGCAGCAGAGTGACCCAAAGCCCAGATAAGCTCCAGGAACATGAGATGCCCCAATCCACGGGTGCCCCCAGAACAGAGGCTGTTAGAGCACTGTTTGCTGTTTCTATGCAAAAATAAGAAAAAATTAGATCAACAACAGCACATAATGTGCTAGAGCAGAGGGCAGCAAGATGGTTCAGCTTTAAGCTAAACAAAGAGAAGTGTTAAGGGCTCTGGTTTGGCCTCTCCCTTTGAAAACACTGCAGTATTTTCTTTGAAACTTGGTGAGATTTGAAAATAAACTCCAATGCAAACTGCAAACAAATCTGTTCCAAGTCTGATTATTTACACTTTCGTGATGAGAGGAGGAAGAGGCTCACGAGTCACTCAGTGCTTTTGGCTGCAGACACACAACAGTGCCTAGCGGGCCGTGACAGATCTACTGGCTGCTCTGCGGCATAAAGGCAACGTCCACACGAGTGCACTTGAGGGAGCTTACATCTGAGGTGCCCATCCTTTCCTTATGATGACTGTTACTGATCCACCAAGCAGTCAGCAACAGGAGTTCAGTGCTGGAGCTGCACAGCCCTGAGGCTACAGTAGAAGGACCACTAAGCTTACCTTTCCCATTTCTAGCAGACATTTATAGATTATCTAAGCACAAGTTGCAACGTTTTAAAACCTCAACAGTGACTGCCCAGGGTTATTTATCAACACATTAAAAGATGATAATCTGAGGCCCACTTCATTGATTTCAATAACTGCATAAGCACAGCCATAACAGGTCAAAGCATAAGGCAGAAAAATGCTGAGATCACCATTCCTCAGGAGATAAGGTGAATGCCAGCCTCTGCAAAAAGAACAGGCCGTGCTTCCCTGCTTCCCCAGCACTGGATTTATGACAGCGTGCTGCCATGAGCTGAGCCACACGTGTCACTGTGTGCCCACACAGCTCCTGTCAGGAGCACCAGCTGAGGCTGCTCAAGGGATGCAAGGCACCTGGGATGCAGCCTTGCCCTCACACCCCATGAAACCCAGAGGTGCCGTTGGCAGACAGATCTGCCACCACCTTAAGATGTCGGTTTGAGTCTCCAAATGAGAAACGCAGTGGACTTAGACCCAGGTGACAGGCTGCAAGAAATACCCATGCTTCCCATTCCATGCAAGCCTTTACTGCTCTTTATGGCCCACAGTAAGCAGGGGGCAAAGCTCAGCCCCACAGCGGCCAGCAGTCAGCACAGTCCAGAGAAGCACGTGGTCTGGCTCAAAGCTGCTCTGGGTGCCAGAAACGTCCCTAAAGCACAAAAGTGACAGTTCCCAATGGCATAGGGTCCTGAGGGATGAATAGAGGTGAGCAGGGCCCATTGACTGCCTTTAGACCTCACGTGAGCAGGTTGGCGGGGCTGAAAGAGACTGCCTGACTCATGAAATCCCACTGACATCCACACAACAAAGCTGATTCTCTGCACACACGGTGCAGGGCCTCTCTGCTCCCTCTCTTCTGCATCCCACTGCCTGTATGGAGCAAGCAGGGAGAAACACAACTGAAAGGAGAACTTAACTTGCTTCTTTCAGCCAAAACCGTGAAATCACTGGGGTTAGCTAATAGTTTTTGCCTTTAGTGGAGTTGATGAAGTGCCAACACCTCCTAGAACTGGAGCAGCCTTAACGAGGCTTTAGCCACTACCAGCTGTCAGCATTTCCGACAGCCCATGAGCAAATTCCCTGCAGAGAAAGCACTCAGGAGGTGGTTACTGCTGAGCACACCTGCCTTATCCTCTTCCCTCTCACCTCCAACAGGTATGTTACTCAATGAGCCTATCTGCAACGCATTTACACGGCAAACAAGGAGAACAAAACAGCGGAGCAGCCTTCGATCCTAGTCACTAAGACATCATCTCACGTAAAAAGACATATTTCAGAGAGAAAAGAAGGAAATACAAGCAGAGCTCCTGCACAGGCCTCCCACCTCCCGGGCCGTACCTCCCCGGGCTGCCAGCACGTCGCTGCCCAGAGGAGCGGCTCTGCAGGGGAACGGCGGGGCAGCCGCAGGTCGTGCCTTGAGGTGCTCCGGGGCCGCCTGACCCCGCACGGCACAGCGCCCGTCTCCCAGCGCAACGCACGGCGCACAAAGCCGGCGGACACGCGGCACAGCCCGGCTCGCAGCCCGGCACCGCCTCACCTTGGGCTCCCCGAAGACTCGCACTCCCCGCTCCATTCCGCTCCCGCAGCCCCAACCGTTCCTGCAGCCGCCGCTCGCCTCCACGCCGCTCCGCTCCGCTCCGCCCCGTCCCGCCCCGCCCCGCCGGCAGGGAGGGCGCAGCCGGGGGCTGCTTCGTTACTTTTAGCCGCGCTTCGCGCTTTGCCTCCTGCCTTCCCCTCCGCGAGGTGACGCACGCAGCACTCGAGGCACACGGAGGAGAAATCCACGCTCCCCCCGCCTCCAGCACCGTACGGTAGAATGGTTTGGGTCGGGAGGCCGAGCAGGCAGCCACCGCAGCACCCCTTGGCTGCAGCCACTGAGCTAACAGCGCACCTGCGAGGTGGCGCCGCTCCCTGCTGTGATGTGCCCTGGTACCGGTGCAGGCATGGTGATGCAGGGTCTCCTAAATCGAGTGCCACGGATCCACTCTGCACCCCCTCTCCACACCCCAGACCTCAAGGGACCTCAAACAAAACCGTTGTATCAGTGTAAAACATCCCTATTGCCTGTATTGGGGTGTAAGCAGAGAGAGCACCTAGGGCTGCAGGTGTAAGTGCTACCACAAGTGGACGAAAACGGACTTCTCTCGCACTGCCCAACTGTATTTGCACCAGGGTCAGTGCCTGGGGGAAGGCACAGAGCTCAGCGCTGCTCCGACTGTCTGCAACAGCCTGATCCAGCTGGAAGCCTGCAGACACAGCTGGGATGTACAGACTGGCAGCGGGGGGTGAAATGGCACTGTCCTGCTGAGCTCCCATGGGCAACTTCACCTCTGTACTACTGTTGTGGGTTTGGGTTTTTTTGTTTTGTGTTTTTAAATATCTTGTGCGTTTGGAGCATTGCATGCTCAGAGGTCTGATTTCTGTTCCAAAAGCATCTGCAGCACAGATGGTCCCCAAGCAAAGCACAGTGCTCTCTCATGGCCTCCTGAAGGCACAACCTTGCTCACCGTCACCACAGCCTCTGCTGAGCTTAAGAGAAATTACAAGGCAGAAGAGGCCAGGAGAAAAGCTGTTAGCCAAGGTCAAGGAGGCGAACAGAGCTGAAGCACGGAGTGCTGCAGGAGGTGTGGGTTTCACCCCGCTGATTAATGCCTGCCTCTGCTGACTCAGCTCTTTCCAGGAGAGCCACCAGCAGCTGCTGTCAGCAGCACCCGGCTGTGTGAGAGCCCTCCACACGAGGTGTGAGCTGAGTGACTGACCTCACCCTGACCCCCTTTATCCATCCTCACTGCTGCGCAGCCAGGCAAATCTGTATAGTTGATACGAAATAAATGTTTCCCTATTGATGTCCTCACAGCAGTTTCCCACCTGGGAAATGGGAGAGACACAGACAGGGACCTGGGAGATCCCCATCAATGACTACTCGGGGCCTCAGACCTCATTGGCTCTGCCATACTGCAACACACACTGGTGCTGGGCTTAGATTTTCCAAAACAAAACCAAACCCTACATTTTCACACTTGCGTGAATAATACGCATCACACTGCAGCCCATTGCAAGCAGCCAAAGGAGGAAAAGTGTGTAAATTGTGTCAGTGAAGGACTAGCAATGCTGATTCAGGAAAACCCCTGCCCCAGGGTGAGCCCACCCCAGCCCCCCTGCTGGAATCCCTTCTTTGTTTCCCAGTAGTGGCTCTGGGGTGCAGACGATGCTGTCCTCGAGCAGGTTGCAGCTTCCCATAGCAGAAACAGGGGACACCCGATGCATGCCCAGCTGAGTGACAGCAAGGCCAGCGCAGCACAGGGCACACAGTCACGTCCTGGGCTGCAGCCTCCTGCAGAGCTGCGTGGGCTGCTGCAAGCTCATCCCCTAATGGGATTAGGGACAGTAAAACCAAACCAGCTTGTACTGAGCATCAGGCCACCCTGAGGTACTGCAACCTGCTACGGGCATTTGGAGCAGAAAGGCCACCCCAGGATGGCAGTAATGCAAAGAAAAGGTAGAGAAGCAGAGCCAGTGTTTTGTGCTGGGGAGAAGAGCAGCAGTTTGGAACTGGCAGTGCTTCAACCCAAGAAACGCCTACAGAACCCACCCCGTCGGCACTGAGCCCCTGGCAGAGAGCAGAGCCCCTTCCCACCCGCAGCTTTGGGATGATGAGAGGTCACCATGCACCAGGGCCAGAAATCTCGGGTGGGTGCTGGGCTGCCTCCTCCACGTGGAGCAGAACCCAGAACGGTGGTGCCCGCACCAGGAGGAGCCCGATTCAGACACACACCGCTCCCTTCCTGCCCCGACTGTCACAAGAGAAGCGGGACGCGGCCAGGAGCGCTCACACAGCCGGCATCGCCCGCAGCACAGCTCTGCTCGGGCCGGAAGGGACCCGCACGTGTCGCCCCGAGCTGCCCTCCCAGCCCCGGTAAGTGGATTGCAGCGCTCGGCCGGACGCTGCCCCGGGCTGCGAGAGAGCAGAATTAACCCGAGCACAGCTCCTCTCGGCAAGGCTGCAAGGTCAGCGCCGCGCATCTCCTCCCTCGCTGCAACAGCCAAAAAAGTGAAAAAGGAGAAAAAAAAAACTGCTCTTGTTGAATGCAACCTTCCCAGAGCCCCTTTGCCTGGGACTGAGCGGAGCACAGCGGCCGAACATTGCCCTCTTCCGACGCTCCTCAGTACCGCAGCTCAGCGGGACGCAGTCCCAGCACGGAGCCCTGCCGCTGCCCTTCCAACCCCTCCCCAGGTGCCCAGGGAGAGCCTTCTGGGGGCTGACCTCCCCTCACACACACACCTGGGTCAGCTTTTGTACGGGCTGTAACTGACCTCTCAGTCCTACATCGCAGCGTTATTTGGGACAAGGCGCTGCCTCGGGGGTCCTGCAGCACAGAAGAGGTGAGCACCATTGTACCTGAACCACATCGCGGGCAGTGCTGCCTTATCCCCTTAGCACAGGCTCCGACCCAGCCCTCTGCCTTAGGCACTGGTAATGCCAGAACTGAAGGGACTCCCAGTTCCTCCCAGCACACCTATACCTAATCTCAGTTCACACAGCTGCCTCCATGCCCCAACCCAGAGATGGCAGCTGGATTCAAGCAAGATCATAAGGCTGTACTACTGTGATAGGTCCCTCTTTGCACCAGGAGCTCAGCCTGCAGGGCTATAGTGAGGGGCAGGATGGTACCATACCTGGAAGGCAGCAGACAGGGTCTGGCTCAAGGTCCCTCTCAAGGTCCCCCTGGCCAGGTATAGCCTAGCTGGAGTTTTGCACTCCCTAATGCAGCCCAAAAGGTGCCTGAGCTTCTGGGCTGTGCTTAAATAGAGCTCCTGGGCCAGGTGTGTGGGCAGGTAATTAGTTCTTTCTGGAATTAGTAATAATTCCAGCCATTCCCCAGGTGGGGCTGGTAATTAGTGTCCTCTGAGCTCTCACACTTGTAGCACTGTGTCCTTCTGAGCAAACCTGGGGTTGCATGGATTCTTCCACCATCCTGATGCTGTCAGCCCCAGAAGCCAGCTGGGTTGGGTGTCCATGGGGCTGGGGGTCCCCAGTCAATGTGCTCTGCTGTGCCAGGAGCTTCCCCAGAGAATGTTGGAGATGTGGAGATCATCTCTTCTACTCTAAGGACTATTGCACAGTGAAGGAGAAATAGCAGGAATGGAGAGAAAGGCAGAAGGGTGGAGGGGAGAAGCAGTAGTGAAGCAGCCAGGTGTTCCCATTACCCCATAGCCAGGTCAAGATGGGAACAGTGCTGGGGGGCACCGGGGGCTGCCTGGCTGCTGCCCCACACAGACGGGCACGGCCTCCTGCCGCAGCAAGGAATGTCTGAGAGAAACCAATCCTTGCTGTGCGGAGCTGGAAACTGCTGGAGACGCTTTAATCCACCTAATCCAGGGCTCTGGCCCAATTAATATTCTATAGGATCTCCTGGAGCTCTTGTTTTGTTCTGTTCTTGGCTCGAAGGGCTGCCCAAGAAATTGAAAACAGATTATTGGGAAGAAAACAGCTTCAATTTGTAGACAGCTGTCTCTACCAAAGCTGGCTTCGATTCCAGCCATTCCCCGGGCGTGATGCATGCCTGGCTAGAAGAAGTTTCTCCCCAGTGGCAGCAGAAGGGCTTTTCTTAGGAGAAAAGATGAACGCCCGGCAGCGCGCTGGGCGAGCGGGGCAAGCTGCGTCCCCGCGTGTCCCGGCTCCGAACCCGCCGGCACCGCGCCGCGTCCCCGGCCCGGCGCCGCCGCCAGGGGGAGGCAGAGGCCGCGCGGTGCGGGGTCACCGCTGCGATCTGAGGGGTGCCGGGTCGGGCTGCGGCCGTGCGGAGGTTGGGGCTGGGGGCTCCTCCAGAAGGTAGCACCGCGGGGGGTGCAGGTCGGCGGGACGGGATCCTGTGCCTCTGCGAGTTCGGGGCTTGAGCAGACCGCAGAAGTATGGCCAGAGCCCTCTGTGAGACCCCAGGAAAGCATCTGCTGGGGGAAGGGTGCTTGGGGAAACTGCTTGGTGGGGGACAGCTGGCAAAACCACGTTGTGTCAGGTTAAAGTGTGGGTCTGCAGGAGAACTGGCTCTGTGACACAAAAGTGGCCCAGACTGTGACTCATAACAGCCCAGTGGTATTTTAAACACCGTATTGCTGACTCAGAGCTCTGGGAAGAACAACAAGGGCTGTCACTGCATGGCAATGCCAGCCTTTGCAGTATGGCAGTTTCAGGGTCTGCCATATGGTGATGTCTGCTTCTCCTGTATGGTGATGTTGACCTCTGCTTTATGGCAATGCCAACTTCTGCCAGCACAGTGCCAACAATGCTCCCACCCACTGCTCATCTGCCTCACGCCAACCCCAATGGCATTTGGGAACGGAGTGAGGAGGGCAGAGGAATGCACACAGGGCTGACACAGTCCTTCATCCCCCGCTCTCGGCTGCAGTGCATTCCAGGCAGCCCTCCTACAACACCACACTTTCTTCACCACAGTCCATCCCTGCACATGCTCACTTATCCTCTGCCAGGCCTCTCCCAAGGCACCTGGAGCAGCACCTGCCATAAATCAGGCAGAGCTCCCACCAGGACACGCACACCTCGTTCTGCCATGCTGAAAAATGAGCACACAGCTTCTCATCTCAGCACCTGCAGCAGCAGGAGCCTGCTCCCATGGCTGTTCCTTGAGCTCAGGGTGTCCCAGCGCAGCCCAAGCGAGCTCAGACCCATTGGGCTGTGTGCATTTGGTGGTGCTGAACGTGGCCGCCTGCTTTGGCTTTGCATGCTGCTGAGATTGTCTCTGCTGGGTTTATTTTCACACAGCTCCTCAGAACGCAGAAAGTGAGAGCTCAAAGCAAACAGGAAAAAGGCAGGTTCTCTGGGCGGCTATTTTTAACCACTGCAAACAGCATCAGTGTCATTATATTTAGAAAAAAAATGCAGAGCGTTTCCTGCCTCCCCTCTCAATACCTTCAGCTATTTCCTTGCAGATGTTGCCAGGAGCAGCACGCAGACGGGCCGTGCTCCGGGACGGGAGGGCTGTAGCTGGGGAATGCGGCTCAGAGCAGGTGCCCCTGGCTCTTGAGGATGAGCGGGCAGTGAGGGCTTGGCCACGTCCAAGTGCCACCTCAAAGGTGCCCCAAGGGTGAGCACGATGACAACGCAGCATCACTGTCACCTCCTCCTGCCACGGGATGGGGACTGCAGGTGACACCAGGAGGTCTCAGCTCTGCGTGGGCGAGGGCAGGTGGCTCAGGACCTGCTCCTGCCGCTCAGAGAGCTTCCCCTTGGCTTTGGCTGTGCTGGGCTCCTCGCCTTGTGCTCAAGGGCTGCGGTCGGTGAAGCGTTTGTGTTTCATTCCCAGCATTTGTGTTTCGCTCTGGGTGGCAGCAGCGTGGCAGACCGCAGCTCAGCAGGGCCACGTGCAGCATCGCTGGGAAACAGGCTCTCCTAACCCCAACCACACTGTGCTGGTTGTGCTTTCCAGCAAAACCCCAGCACGGGGAGAACGGGATTTCTCCATGTGGATAGGGAAGCTCTGTGCCCAAGGGAGGTGACAGAGAAACTGTTGGAAATGTGGTACAGATGGCACAAACTGCAGCCAAAATCAGCTTAAACAGCCTGCAGCCAGGTGGTGGGTGATGGCAAGAGTACACAACACTGCTCTCAGTGGTATCCGTGGGAGATGTCCCTCTCTGGGCTCAGCAAAAGCAGCTGTGTGCCCCTGCTGTGTTGGACTGTGCTCCTTTTTGGGCTCTGGCTCCCAAGAACTGCCTTCTGAGATGCTTCTCTGGGGCTCTGGTTGCTTGAAACAGAAGCAGAAGCCCTGGCCAGAAGCAGGCTGCACAAAGCTGTGGGTCTGGCTGCTGTCACCAACCCTGCATGACGCATGCAGACCCAGCGGCCAAACACTCCCTTTCTGCACACCCCTCCCCAAAGACCCTCTCACCCAGTGCACCGTGCCCAGCTGTGCTGGGTGCCCACCCAAACCCCATCCTACAGGAGCTGTCGTGGCTCTCCTGCTGTGATCAGAGCATGCGTTCCATCCAGCCCAGCTGCTGCATGTTCTTAATGAACACTGAGACCCGTGTGGGATGACCTCCTCTCCTACCTTGCAGGAGATGCTCGCTGGGGGCTGTGGGTTTGCAGCCTCCCCATCGGGTCCCTGCCCCACAGGCAGCCTGACAGCAGCAGCCCAGAGCCAAACATCTTTTACAAATCACGGCGCATAGCTCGCATTCTCGGCTGGTTTATGAGTGTTTCATCTCCTCGTATTGATCAGGGCTGGAGCCGAAGTAATTACGTTCATCAGAAATAATTTCCCCTGATTTTGAGTCATATTTGAGCGGGTGCCCACCTCCCCCGCTCACCCCTTTCGGCACTGCAGCTCTCTGCTCCCTGGTACATACTTTCCGGGCGACATCGCTGCTTTCATAACCATGGTGAGACCTGGAGGCTTGTTTTTCTCAGCTGGATCCCACACATACACTAAAGGTATCAGCTGTGCCGTTATGGACTTGGCTGGGGATGTGGTCAGGAGGAGCTGGTTGATGGGAAGTGCATGCCTGGGAAGTCCAGCACTGGGAAGGGAGCTGGGACCCTCTGCAGCACACCCCACCTAGACAAGGACTGGAGAACAAAGCTTATTTCAGCCTTAAACCACAAGAAAAACAGGGATAGACAAAAAGAATGAGCAACGTGATCAGGAAACACGAGTTAGCCCCATGGAAAATACCGAGGGTCTGGACCCATGAGGTCAGGGTCTGGGTTTATGTCTTGTCTGGGAGACAAAACTTCCACTGAGATTGTAAAAGAAGCTCATGTTTGGAGATGCTTTATACCAAAAATAATCTCTCCGAGGCTCACAACACTCGATACGTGATGATTCCTGACACTATTTTCCAAATAATAATGGGAAGATTCATCTGCCCGAGGCTTCCAGGCTTCATCTTACAAAATTCTTACTCTTTGGGTTATCTGAATGTTTAACTTATGGGGACAGATGGCTCTCATCTGGGCTTCAGCAGGGAGTCACTCTGAATTGCTGCCCAGGTTTTGCGATACCCATTAAGCAGCAGCGCTGGCCCTTCACAACGCAGCTGGATGTTGCAGTGATAAGCCCCTCAAGTCTGAATTATGACATTCTCCACGATTTTGGCTAACAGAGCCCTTTCTCAGTCGCCACAGCCCATCGACTCCCCAGTGCAACCTCAGCTCCTTCTTCTCTGCAGGCACAGGGGCTGTGAGTGGGACGGCCACCACCACAGAGCCCCACTCGCGGGGTCCCCTGCGCTCAGCCCCGGCCCCCCATGGCAGCCCACAGGGGTCAGCGGTCCCAGCTGGAGCCGAGGGTTTCTGGTGCCGCTGCCTGACTGTCAGGAGCTGGACGGCAGCCCGGAATTCTTTTCTCACAAGTCACTTGGATGGCCACCAGATGGTAAATACTTTTCGTCTCTCCTCGCCTGGGCTTGGGGTGGATGTGGTGATCTCAAGGTAGAGGACTGCATGGCTGCCCCTCACCGTGGCTGGTGGTCCCCCAGTTGATGGAAGTGGCCACAGAGGGATGGAAGCAGCCATAAGCAGCCCTTTTAACTTCAGGGCTCCTGGCTGTCCTGAGCTGTCAGTAAGGAAAGGAAGAGGCTTAAGCAAAGGGAAGGGATGGAGGGAGAGCAAGGTGTGCAGCCATTGCAGAGGGATGTGAGTACAGATGACTGGAGCAAAAAATTAGAGATTGGCGGTGCTGCTCACCATGGTGTGTTCAATGGCACAGCATGGAGAAACACGGCTGTCTAAAGAAGTCAATTTGCTGAGTGGGTGCCTTCATTTCTATAGAAACAGTAGAGCTTCCCAGGAGATGTATTTAGATCCATGCATCAACTGACCACAAAAAAAGAAACAAAAAACCTGACAGTAATGCCATAGGAACCGCAGAGCACAACTTGGGGGATGAATCCCCAGCCATGAAATGACACGTGTGGTGCAAAACACAGATGGGGTATGTGCTCCAGAGGAGAAGGGTTGTAACAGTGTCTACACGATGAGCTGCTCAAGTACTGCTCCGTGCTCCTGCAGAAGGCAGAACCTGCGTGATGTGGTGAGTCCAAATCCACACCATGTGCATCCAACCCCATGTGCTGTCCCACTGGGGGCTGCACCTCACTTTCCTGCTCTTGCTGTGCCATAGGAGCCAAGGAAAGAAGAGCCCTTTCAGCACCTGTAGAGCTCACCTGGCCATTCCTGCACACTGTGAATCCCACACAGCAGAGGGGCAGCACTCTGCCCTCAGCTTTGGGATTCCATGCAGTGTGGGTGACATATCCCTGTCCCAAAGCCATGCCCTGGGGCAGAGTTACTTATGGGGCTGGGTTCCCAGCCCTGCTCAGGCTTGGCAATGTCCCAGGCTGGATGTCAGGGGAACATGTCAGGCCATCCCTGCCCGTTCACAGCCCAGCAGAGAGGTGCTGGCACTGTCTGACAGCCCAGGCTCGGCAGCCCCCTCTGCCATGTCCTTGCCATTGGGGACGTGTCCCTTGTCCCTTCCCCTCTCTTGCTCTCCCAGCAGACAGCATGCTCTCACCTTGAGGGGAGTGGAAATGTCAGCTGGAATGTGGGCTGGAAAAAAAAGAAAGCAAATCTTGAGGCTCGTCCAAACCTACTCCTGTTTATATTGGAGCCTGGGAGTGACATCAGAGCGAGGAGAGTATAAACACCAGCAGGACCCACTCAGGGCTTTAAAGCCTGCAAACATGAGGCTCCGGCTGGAGAAGCAGCTCCTCATCCTCTCCCTGCTCTGCATCCTCTCCAAGGTAAGGAGTCGGGCGTGGGATGTCCTCAGGATCACTCAGGGCAGCACCAGGATTCCCAGTATGGGACTGTAGGGAGAATGCAGTGCTGCTGTAGCCCTGAAAGCTGGCAGGCAGCTGTATGTCTGCAGAGCTCTGCCTGGGAGAGAATTCCAATGAAGCAGCATAGTCTTAACTCTCATGGACCAAATGCCTCTGTGCTGCAGCAATGTGCTCTGTTTGCTCACCTGCCCCTGCAGCCATCCTGCAGCTCCTGCAGGCTCTGTGCAGTGAGCACCAGCCCCAGGGCTGCTCAGCTCTCCCCCATTCCAGGACGCTCATGCAAACCATCCAATAGATTGGGATTGTTCCAGGGGTTTGATTTTTTTTCTCTCTTGGATTCTGCATGACACAGCTCCCTGTGCAGAGTTCTGAAAAATGTTGGGGTATGTCAGTTCCAAATTCTTGTAATTGGTGCTCGAATCCCAAGCCAGACTGCAAGCAGGGACATCAGAACAGCCTCGTGCCTGTTTGACTGCTTTCCTGGGCACTTAAGATCTCCAACAGGAGACACATTGCCATCTAATGACAAGTTAATTGCAGGGAGCATGGGGAAACGGATTAATAGCCATCTAATAGATTGCTGGATGGGCAAATCCTTCTAAAACATCAGTCTGTAATAGAAACCTGAAAGATGAAAAATGCACTTGGCTCCTGGGTGAGTTATGACTGATGAGCAGCTCCTGGCCAGGAGACCTCAGTGAGCTCTGGAGAGCCACCAGCTGTCCTCTGCCCCCAGTCCAAACATGGCAAACACCACCAGTGCCCTGGTCTCTAATGGTCCCCCTGCCTTCTGCAACAGCAGCAGTGCTGCTCATTGAGAGGACCAGAACAAGGCAGAGACTGCCCAGCCCATTTTGGATAGATTTCACCTCTCACATCCTGGCAGGGTTGCACGCATACCCGCATTGTGCAGGGCAGCACAGGCAAACTGCAGATCCAAAACGTTTGGCTTCCGATCCAACATGCAGCAGCCCCAGCAGCCGCCCTTGTCAGATGTGCCAGGGTAATGGTGTGTGCAGAACAGCCACAGACACACTGCTGCCCACCAGGGGGAACTCCTGCAGGCACAGCACACTGCCTTGGGGTACGGGTTGGCAGGGGCTGCTGCAGGCAGGGTAGGGGAGGAGGCAGCCGCAGCACAGAGAACAGCAGTGAGCCTCATCAGGCTTCAGTTCTCCCCTGCAAATGTGTTGTCCCATTTCTTGGCACAAATGAGATGTGCTCACAGCGAGGGGCTGGGGAGGAGCAATGCCCTCACTATGTGTACGTAGGTCCTGGGAAGCTGCATCCCCAACTGTGCACCAACTGCCATGGGGGCTGCAAACAGCACCTGATGAGCCTCAGTGTGTGGATGCTCACTTCCCAGCCCTACCTCCTCCTGCACTCGCAGCAGTGGTGCATGTCAGCCCCCATCTTGCAGGGTATTCCTGGTTCTCCTGGTTTCCATGGGAGCCCATCGTGCTGTGCAGTCACTCCCTAAGAAGACGGCAGCTTTCCCAGCAGCACTGCCGTGTCCCCATGGATGGGCAGAGCCAACATCTATCTCCACCCAACCAAGGATGACTTCCAGAGGCCATCCCAGTGCAACCAAAGCCATCAGCTGTGTCAAACCCGCGATGCTTTGTACCCCCAGGTGTGCTGCCAGCTGTGCCGACGGCCGTGCTACTGCTCCCACGTGCTGCCCCGCTGCCCACGCGGGTCCCCCCTGGTCCTGGATGGCTGTGGCTGCTGCAGGATCTGCGCTCGGCGCCTGGGAGAGCCCTGCGACTTCCTGCATGTCTGCGACCGCAGCCAGGGGCTCATCTGTGACTACAGCTCGGGGACAGGAGGCACCTGCAACTGTGAGCACCACAGCTGGACGTGGCTCTGAGAGCTGCTCTGCCGAGGAAGATGCACACAGATGGCTGCAGGGCTGAGTTGCTGCTCCTGCCAATTCTAATGCCAGTCGCTGGCCAGGTTTTTGGGGGTGGTTTGAGTGGGATGGGCATAGGGGATAGAGGGGATAGAGAGGATAGAGAGCTGCAGGGAAATAACAGAGGGATATTTTCAAGTCTGAAAGCCTTGAGAGCTATGGACAGGGTTGGAGAGAGAGCAGTGGGTTTGTCACCTCCTCATGATGTAGGAGGCAGGGAGGGGGAGGTTGGGCGACACATCACCTCATGCCTCCCTATGCCCTTGCGACCATCCAGTTCCCCCTCCTCCTGGCAGCCCCCAGTCACCACCAGCTATCCCCTCTGCCACCCCCACTCTGTCCCTCCCCTTGCCCCGGTGGCTCCCCACTGTCGTTGCAGTCGAAGACGACGAGGAGGGCTGTGAGGTGAATGGGCGGCTGTACCGTGACGGGGAGGTGTTCCAGCCCAGCTGCAAGCTGCAGTGCCGCTGCCTGGACGGGGGCTTCACCTGCGTCCCGCTCTGCCAGGAGGACGTCCGCCTGCCCACCCCAGACTGCCCCTACCCACGGCGTGTGGACATCCCAGGGAAGTGCTGCCCTGAGTGGGTCTGCGAGGCCGGAGAGCGGCAGAGCACTGGGGCAGGTAGGAGGTGGGACGAGGTGGTGAGCCCCAACAGGGGCCCCCTCACTGCCCCTCTCTCCGTGGCACAGGGCAGGTAAGGCGGCACTGGGCTCCAATCCCACTTCCCCTCCTCTGTTTCCATCCAGCCCCCGCAGTGCCGTACCTCTGCCAGCCGTGGGGCACCGAGTGGAGCGTCTGCTCGGCCACCTGCGGCGTGGGCTTCTCCACCCGCATCTCCAACCAGAACCGCTACTGCCGCCTGGAGACACAGCGGCGGCTCTGCGTGCTCAGGCCCTGCCCGGCTCTGCCGGCGGCATCCCCTGTGGTAAGCGATGGTGATGCCGACACCTCCAGGCAGCAGCTTGGAGAGGGAATGGGACATCCCAGCCAACAGCCCGTGCACGCCCCGTCAGCCCCCCAGCCGTGAGTCCTCCAGCATCCACTGTCCCCACATCGCTCCGCTTTGCTTTTCCAGAGGGGATGAGGAGGGCGTTTGCAGCTGCGCCCACCCTGGTTGTGTCCCGCAGCCAATGTTCCGGGACTGAGGCTGGCACACATCCGTGACACGGTGGTTTTGGAGGAGATGGAAGACACGTCCCTCGGGAATCTGGTTGAGAACCGATGGACTTCAGCTGCAGAAGAGGGTGGAAATAGAGAACAAGATCCCTACAACACGCCTGTGTACTCTGCTGCCCCGGGTTGGGTTGCTGTGCAGCAGCACCCTGTTGTATGAGATGGGGAAATCCTGCCAAGCACAAACCCACCTGAGAAAAAGGGAGGTGGTCCTTTCCCGGATCGGAGAGGCTTTTGGAAAGGGCTGAGTGACGCTGCTGTGCCCAGCACCGCATACACAGCTCTGCTCTGCAGAATTAGACCACTATTGGGATGCCCCTTGCCCCCCCACGCTGGGGATGGGGCTCGCTGCCCCACCACACCCGGACACCGGCAGAGGTGTTTTCCTGGCGGCAGCTCCCATTTACCTTCCTCACATCCCTCCAGGACAAACAGCTCCCTGCTCCGCCTGGCCGCCTGCTCTTCAAAGCCCGGCGGTTTGGCAGGGCTCTGGCAGGCGAGCAGCTCAGACGGAGGAGGCACCAGACATACCGCCCCGCATCCAAGCGCATACCCCAAAAACTAAGGCCAGCAGAAAGGCAGGAGACGGGAAAACAAACAGCAGCGATGAGCCCAACGGGCTGGGGCTGCTCCAGCGTGCGGAGCTGCACAGGAGAGCCGAGCGGCAGTGAACCCTTAAGGGCTGCTCAGAAACGAAACCCAAATGCCCTCTAACGGCCTCGCAGCGATGTGCAGAGCAGGGCGAGAAGGGCGGCGAGCAGAGCAGGCGAGACCGCGCATCTTGGCTTTGCACCCCTGCAATCAAAGCATTGTGAACGTGATTGCAGCACCGCCAGCAGCAGAGCCCAGCAGCTCCAGCAAGCGCCGGAAATAAATCAGTGTTGAAGGGTGTTGTCACCTCTTCGGGGGAAAAAATAAAGGAGAAAAAAGAAAAAAAGTAAAAAAGAAAAAAAGAAAAAAGAGCCTTGCTGCTCATGCACGCTGTTTACAAAGAGAATTATTTACTGACATCAACCATTCATTTAGTGGGATGGAGGGGATGCAGGAGCCCCCAGCAGGCAGCACGCAGCACGAGGGACTCGACACCATCGGTTTTCTGCCTCTGCAGTGGCTGTGCCAAAAACAGCAGTGGTGTGAAGCTCAGAGACTTTAAAACTCACAGTGTTCCTCTGCTGACATGGCTAAGGCACAACCACATTACCAAATACCCTGGGTTAAAGGCAATTCGGTTTTCTGTGTGCTGAGATGTGGCCCCCTGTGCTGGCTCAGCCCATCCCAGCCACCCCACGCTGCTGGTGAAATCCTAAAGGTCACTTTTCCAGCAGCAACCTGCAATCTGTATCTCAAACACAAATGACTCAATGCACCTCTTGGGCGTTTTTTGTTTTTTTTTGGGGGGGGGGGAGGGAAAGGGGGAAAGCTGTGATTCACTCAGCAGAAAACACCTAAATAATGAGTTAATGACTCCAAACAAATCAGAATTACTTTTCCCTAAAGAACAGAGGGAAACTGACCCTCACGATTCAGGTGCTCCCTTAAGCTGTGCTACCTGGGCAATAAGTGCTTCCTGCAGCCCCAGCACCGGGCTCTGCGGGTGCTGGGAGGTGTCAGATAAGCGCTGCACACCCACAGACGGTTACAGGAAGCCCTGTAGCTCAGAGCCACATCCGTATCCACAGCGGCACAAGAGTGGCAGAGCACAGTTTGTTTCTCAGCAAGCACGTGTAACAGTCGACATCTGTAACAAAACACACTTATTTTGCTGCTGTTGAACAGAATCTCTATTGCTTTTGGAGCCAACTCGTCCGCAATAAGAGCCACTCCTGTGGCTCGGGCTCCTCTACGGCAGCACAGGAGGGCAGGGCCGTACCCCTGCCATGGAAAACCGCATTCCTTCTGCCCGTTGGTCTGTTTGCTCTGGTGCCCGGAGATAACGCTATTTCTGGCGTTGTTGCTGCTGCAGCAGTTGCTCAGCAGTGAAGGTGGGTGATGGCACTCTTCGGGTTTGGTTTTAACTCTCGCATAAGCTCCGCCAACTCCGCGCGCCCGCCGCGTCACACCCCAGCGCCTGCGGGCAGGAGGGGAAAGGCACAGCGCCTCTTGCGTTCCCTCCTCTTAAAAGCGCTCAAGGGAGAGGAGAAGAGATTTTTCTCTATTTGTGGAAGGGATATCGAGCGGGCAGCAGCGGGATGTTGTTGGCCCCTGGAGATGCACCGGGGCCAGGCAGCGTCGCACGTCCGCGGTGCTGGCACCGCCCCTGGTACTCGATGTGCTGGACCGGGGCCACCCGCACTTTGCAGGCGGATCTCTGCTCTGCCCTCGCTCCTAACGCCGGCCGTCTGTGGGCCGTGCGGTCCGAGCACGGAGCTGCAGTTCGGAGTTGGATGCGGGGTGCAAGAGTGGCGTTCCCTGGGGACGGGACGCAGCGAGCAGAGCGGCAGCGATCTGTGAGCTCTCCCGCCCCCTCCACGCGGCGCAGAGCCGTCCCAGGCATGCCTTCCTCCCGCCCCTCCCAGCACCACCAGAAATAGCTCGAGCCTTGGTGCCCGGCTCGCAGTACCTCCAGCGGGCTGGCAGCTCCTCTAGGAGCCCCACGCTCCGTATCCCTGGCGCTGGGTCCTGACCCCACGAGCACCTCCCCGAGCGCCGCGCCGCCTGCTCATCTCCTCCAGCGCCCGATGGCCAACAGCACTCCGCTCTGGGACAACAGCAGCTGGGCTCTGTGCCCCGTGGATGCCGCCTTCGCGCAGCGCTTCCTGCCCGGCGTGTACCTGGTGGTGACCCCGCTGGGGCTGCTGGGGAACGTGCTGGGGCTGTGCTATCTGCACTCCGGCCCCCGCAGCCCGCTCAGCCGGCTGGTGGGCCACCTGGGCCTGGCCGACCTGCTGTACGTCTGCACGCTGCCCTTCCTCATCAGCTACTACCTGCGCGGCCGCACCTGGGCCTTCGGGAGGGGCTGGTGCCGCCTCACCCGCGGGCTCTTCCACCTCAACCTCTACACCAGCATCGGTTTCCTCACCTGCATCAGCGTGCACCGCTACCTGGGCATCGTGCACCCGCTGCGGGCGCGGGGCCGCTGCCAGGCTGCCGTGTCTCCAGGCCGGCTCAGCGCGGCCGTGTGGCTGTGGGTCATGGTGCAGGTGGGCCCTGACTTCGCCTTCAGCAAGATGGACCCCATGGGGATGCGGTGCCACGACACGACGGGGGATGAAAGCCTGGGTGCCTACGTGCCCTACACCGCCGCCATCACCGTGACGGGGTTCGTCATCCCCTTCCTCATCATCGTCGGGTGCTACTGCCACGTGGTGGTGGTGCTCTGCAGGAGCGACACGGTGGAGCCCGGCCTCAGGAGGAGCAGCATCAGGCTGGTGGTGCTCGTCATGGTCCTCTTCTCCGTCTGCTTCCTGCCCTACCACATCTTCAGGAACCTCAACTTGCTGTCCCGAGCCTGGCAGCGGCAGGGGTCCTGCACACAGGCCATGAAGAACATCTACATCTCCTACCAGGTGACCAGGGGCCTGGCCAGCTTCAATAGCGCACTCAACCCTTTGCTCTACATCATGACCAGCAAAGACTGCATGTCACGCGTGAGGAATATCCACCAAAGGGCCAAGGAGACCCTGGGATCCATCTTCACATGGGAATCCTCTAAGCGAGCCCACAAGATGAGGAGCAGCATCGTCTTTGAGTTGCAGGAGGCTTCTGAGCAGCTCTGATCAGTGCAGCACCTCCCCGACACCTGTGCACATCAGCTTCAGCTTTCCCCCACCCGAAGCACGCTTTGTGGTGAGATGAGACTGCAGTCCTTGGCTCCAGCATGGTGTCTGGGACAGAGGGGATCGAGGGCAGCAGGGAGTAGGCTGGGCTCTGGCTTAAGAACAGAGTAACCAGCCCAAAGTGAGGCAGAGAGCTGCTGCATTGCAGGATGGTGGAGAGGGGGAGTTCTGCAGGGGGAAGTACTGTAGAAATGGAAACATTCACCAACATATCTTGATTGAAACATGACTAAACTGTGCCAGCAGCGGTGGTGGTTGTTTCTGGAAGCAGATCTGCTTTGGGATCTGGCTTATCTTCTGCAACCCGCCTCCTTCACAGCAGAAAAATGTACTTTAGAATCATTCACTCTCTTGCGGAAGAGTGTATAACACGCAAACAGGCATATTAAAGTTTCTCAGGGCTTTTTTTTTTATTACTTTGCAATGCAAAAGACCGCAGTGGCCTGAACCATTTGCTCAGCAGGCAATGCTCCACAGAGCTCTGAGTCACTTGGGTGGGGGCTGCAGCTCTCCGGCATTCGGCCTCACAACGGTATTAACATGAGCTATTGTCTCTTGTAAATCTGATGTGCAAATGTCACCTGCAGAGAGGCAGCACTGGCTGAAGTTGTGCAGAGGTACAGTGAGCTGCCAGGGCAGGACGTGCATCAACTTCCTTGGACGTGGGGGCGTTTTTGTTGCAGGGGAACAGCAGCTCCTGAGCAGCACTCTGCTTTTTGCTTTCGGTTCTCCCCAGCACGAGCAGCTGCAACGCGTGACTGCAGCAGTGAAACTTGAAGCAGCAGATTTCAGAAGGGGCACATGAGTTAGAACTGCCCCCTACCTGGAGAGCACAGCCCCACGCAGGACTGAAGTCAGAGCAAAGCCTGAACCAGTGCCAGCCAGCTGCTGCTTACATGGCCCCACCTCACTGCTCCACAGAGGACACAGTGGTGATCACATGGGGCTAATGCATCTGAGGTGCAAATAAACACTTGACATGTTCACTTGTGCCCCTCTGGCTTCTTCTAAAGCTTAGTGGCGGCACAGAGCCAGCTGGCCTGGGGGATGGAGCTGGGGCACACACCAGCTCTGCTCCTCCCCATGCGCCCAGCTCTCATCCGCTGCCCTCCCATCATTAAGGGTGAATTAAAGAGTATCCCACAAACCAGCCCTGAGCCCAGGATCTGTAGCATCTCGTGGTTCCATATCCCACATCAGTCAATCCAGCAGAAACCATTGGGATCTGTACTCTGTAACAATGGCTCCAGGGCTTGGTGGCATCTTATGCTTCACAGCCCTCCTGATCCTCAGGCAGCACCGCTCTCCATCCAAGCTGAAAAGAAGAAAGAAGAAGAAAAAACTCCCCAACCCAGCCAAGTTCCCTTCCTTAATTAGCTGTGTGTGTAATTAAGGACAACCACTGGCACATGAGCCTGCCTGGCTCTCACAGCTGTGTAATGGAGCAGCAAAGCAGCCCCCTCCTGCTGCTTTTGCTCCAGGCTCCTCCCTGTGCAAAAAGCAGCTGCTGCCCCACAGGTGACAAATGTGACAGACAGAGATGTACAGATGTACGACCATTTCACTTCCTTCTAGAATGCAAAACTGTTCTGCTTGGCATCCAGAATGCTACACAAGAACATACTGCTGTCAACAACAGCTAAACCAGAGGCCCTCAGCAGAGCAAGGACTGCAGGGCAAGGGGCTTTGGGAGCATCTCCTGTGGTGTGGTGGGAGCTGCAAGAAGGGCTGAGTCCTGCAGGTCACTAATGAAAGGTCACAGCATCCCCGAATGCAGCATTTATTTCTGCAGCAGAGCAGTTTCACTGTCCCAGTACATCTGGGTATTGGGAGAGCAGACCTGACAGCTCATCTGATTTACCAAGGACATCGGCTGAGCTGGGGAAGCAAAGGTAATGCAGTTAACTCTGGGCGATCCGGACAAAAATGGTCAATATGTGTGGGATGGGGTGCTGCCAGTGAATGTTTCTTTAAAATGAAATTCAGAGTCTTTGTGCAGAGTGCTTTGGCATCTGGGAGACCAACAGTTTATTAAGGAGAGTACCCGTATAAATAGAACAACATTCAGCGTGGCTGCATGAGGCTGTTGGTCTCATATTATTCCTCTGTGTGTGTGGTTATAAATAGGGACCTCCATGGGGCAGGAGGTGCCCTGGGGTAACCCAGAGCTTCACCTGCACAGCTCTGTACCTCAGCCCCTGCCCAGAGACACTCAAACGGAGCATATTGAAGTGAGCCTCCTTGTCCCACTGCAGCCCCAGGCTGACCTTCCTGCTCCAAGCAGGCGCTTTGCCCAGCTCCCCAAAGCCCAGCGTTCATTTCATCCCCATCACTGACTCAGAAATCCGCAGAGCAGCTGTGGCCACGGTGCTGCTGTGTGCTCTGCCCTGGGGACGTGGCTCAGCCACTGCACGTCGGCCGAGAGCCACGGGGGCATCTCTGTGTGCCCCTATGGGAGCAGCCTTCTCTGTGTGCCCCTATGGGAGCAGCCATCCCATCGTCCCCATTCATCCACCCTGAGAGAAGCAGCTGGGGAACTTCAGTGCACAAACGATTTGGTAAAAAGTCACGACTTCGAGGTGGAGAACAAAACGTGTCTGCAGTGCAGTGCTCTCACTGCACCACAAAGCAAATAGTTTCGGTTTGGTTTATTTGCTCCCCACTGAGAAATCACTCCTGGTCCTGCAGCCCCCGGCTCCACAACCCAACCGCAGCACTGGGTGGGAGCAATGAGAGCAGCAGGACGCAGCATTCCCCTTCCCAGCCCCACCGCAGGATGAGGGCAAAGCTGTCATCCAGGCATCCTCAGGAAAATCCTTGCATATTTGCAGTGCATTCCCAGAACATCTGCCCCTCCCCTGTCTGCAGCAGAGAACTCATTTATAGCACTGCCCACCGTGGGAGCGGAGCAGGTCCTGCTCTGCACTGAGCGAAGCACTGCTTTGTGTGCTGATCCCAGTGCCACCACCCTCAGCCCTGGCTGTGCTGGAATGCCCACATCCCAACTGGTTGTCTGCTCTGCTTCTCAGCAAACAATCCCAGCAGTGATTAAGTAGGGACATTATTGTTTTAGCTTGTTTTTGTGATTAAAGCCAAGGTGCTCCAGACAAATAAACGCACCGATGAAAGCGGCTGAGATCAAAGCAGCACCTCTCTCAGCTGGGCGCGGGCCAGGCGCTTTATGGCAGGTGCTGTGTGCCTGGCTGGCACTCAACTGACAGCTTTCCAAGCACATAAAAACTTAATAGGCTGAAAATAGAGTTTGTGGTCACAGACTGACAGCAGCAGCGCTGGCAGCTTGGGGCCGCTCCACGCATGAGCTCCAGGGGAGCAGGGCTGGGGAATTCAGGCTGGGCATCAGGCAGGACCCACAGTGGAATGCAGGTGCCTGGGCTCCCAGATTGCAGGGGTAGGAGGGAGGCAGCAGAATGCCCCAGAGCCCAGGGAAAGCCATGCAGCCAGCTCTGTTTGCAGCCCCCAGGATGCGAACACTCCAAGCACCAGAGCTCCTGCTTAATGCACAGAGCTCTGCTGTCCCTCCGCCTCCCCGTGCAATAAAAAGAAGACATGTCATCTCATAATGCAATTTCTTGCTGGAAATCAATGCTGAAGTGCGTTATGTTGACTTCTCCCATCCTGCAGCTCCCATGTGCCCTTGTTCAAGTGCAGTGAGAGCAGCAAGAAGACAAAGGCCAAGTTGCGCAGTGTGGGGCTTCTCTCTGGGCAGGAGGGATGTGTGTGCGGTGTGACACAGCTCTGGTGCACTTGCTGTGTGGGGGTAAGGAAATGTATGAGCATGGGGCCGCTGCGCAGCATTGCCTTCATTCTAATGCCTGTGACAGCACGCAAACACACTGCTGTGTGCACTGCCTGTGCAGCCCTGCGTTGGTTAGCACTGTGTCACCGGGCGGGTTTGGTACAGAACTGCTCCTGCCCCTGCTGTGTATGGGTGGATCTTGTCCCACAGGGCCTGAGATCAGAGTAAAGCCCCAGAGCTGCCACTGCTGTCCTGCAGCTGCACACGATGGGAGCTGTGCAGTTTGCACCTGTCTGCAGAGCAAACGCGTCGGTGCGTCTGGACCTGCGCGGGATAATGGGCTGCAGCACCTACCGGCTGTCCCGGGGAGGAGCTGGGAGCTCACACCGGACCCGCAGGGCCCCAGCAGCTCTCCCGGCAGCGTCGTTGCTCCCAGCCGAGATTGGCAGAGTTTATTTTTGAAGGAGATGTTATCGCCCGCAACGCGCAACTCGGGAGAAGCATCTTTCTATTTTTAAAAAGCGAAACATAAGGCTTACATAAACTACTGGGGAAGCCGAGCCGAGCAGCCAGGCCCGCGCTTCGAGGGCTCCATCTCCTAACGGCCGATTCTGCTCTCCCCGAGGCGCCGCGGGGCACCCGTCGCATCCATCCGTTCCCCGCAGCGCTGCCGCCGTCGGGCGGCGGAGCGAGAGGAACGAACAGGAACGGCCCGGCTGGGAAGCGAGGGAAGGAGCGGGGCAGGGCGGAGCGGAGCGGGCACAGCCGTGACCCCGCAGCGCGGTGCGGGCGGAGGAAGGCGGGGAGCGGGCGGGGAGCGGGCGGCCGCGGGGCGCGCGGGGAGCGCTGCGCGTGTGCGCAGGGGGGGCGCGAGGGGCGGCGCGCGGGAGCTGCGCGGGGCCCGTGGGGGGCGGCGGGGCCATGCGGAGCCCGGGCTGAGGGGCCGCGCCTCGCCATGAAGCGGCAGAACCTGCGCACGGCAGCGCTCATCCTCTGCATCTTCTCCTACCTGCTGGTGGGCGCCGCCGTCTTCGATGCTCTGGAGTCGGAGGCGGAGAGCGGCCGCAAGCGGCTGCTGGAGCAGAAGCGCGGGGAGCTGCGCAGGAAGTACCGTTTCTCCGCCGACGATTACCGGGAGCTGGAGCGGCTGGTGCTGCAGGCCGAGCCGCACCGCGCCGGGCGCCAGTGGAAGTTCGCCGGCTCCTTCTACTTCGCCATCACCGTCATCACCACCATCGGTGAGTGCTGGAGCCCGGCGCTCCTCCGTCCCCGCCCCGCAGCGCGGCTCCCTCGGCCGAGCCGGGACGGCTCCTCGGCCCCGAGCTGCCCCGCCGAGCGCGGTGCCGGGACCCCGCGGTGGGAGAGGTGAGCCGCGGGCACGGCCGCCACGCTCTTGGCGTCCCGGCGACGCGGGGCCGGAGCTGCAGAAGTCGGCGGGGTGCGGGGCGGGGAGCGGCGCTCCTCATTGCTGCTGCTGTAGCCGCACGCCGGGCGGCAGAGCTGCGCGGGAGGCTCCGGCCCCTTCGCGGGCTCCAAACTCTGCGTTCGGCCGTCCCGGCCGCCGAATCTCGCTCTGCGCGCATGGGTGCCCGCAGGGAAAGTGGGGCGAGTCAGGTCGGGGGGTGGTGGCACCGCGTCCAGCCCCCAGGTGTACGCGCGCACCGGAGCCCAGCCTTGGTCTGCCTGCTGTTTCACAATAGAGTAACGCTAAATTGAACGGGGAATGCTTTAATTCTGAGATTAGCCACACAGGTGATCAGCATCATTTATTTAATCCGCTTTCGTGAATCCATGCACCCCGAGCATCCCAGGAGGGCGGGCGGCCGTGGGGTCCCGTGCTCGCATCGCTCCTCGCGCTGGGATCCCGACCAGCGGCAGCGCTTCGGCGGCGGAGCCCTGAGGCCAATTCCTGCCCTTCCGCGGCCGAGGCTGCTCAGCCTCTCGGGGCAGCTCGGCACGGGCAGCACACGCCTGGTGGCTGCATTCATTGTGTCTGGCACGGGCACACGAGGAGATGTGCGACCAGGAGATGAGGCGGCTGAGCATCGGCCCCGGCAGGATGAATGGCTGCAATGAAAACCCCCATCATCCCGTGACAGCTTATAGCTTCATTTACATTATTTCTCTGTCGGCTGTGACAAACAATTGCCATGCTTATCACACACCCCCTGCCATAAATAATCCCAGCCCAGGTGCTGTGCTTCTCAAACGCCAGCCCTCCTTATGTCACACTGTGCTATGAATCTCAGCTTTAACGTTAATGTAGCTGTGTAGCTTTCTAATGCAGCTTTGTCATTTTGAAAGCATCAGTCAAATGCTCTTTCAGGAACCTCTCAGGCTATAACAGCTCTTCTGGATCATTTTATTTATGTCCTCATTGCTCTCATTGTGCTTAGGACCTGATAATTGCACTCAGTTATTGGGCTTGGATCTGATTCTTTAATTTTTTTTATTTTATTTCCTTTTTTTTTTTTCCATTGCAGTCTATTTTCTGCTCTGTATTCCATGAGATGTGCCACGCAGGAATTAAGTTTACTGGGTTTGCTTGCACGGGTTTATAAAGAGACGCAGCAATTAGGGATGGGCTGTTCCCCCTTGCCTTGGCAGCTCAGAGCACAGCAGGGCTGGGATAAGGCCCTCACATGGGCACCTCCAGCCTCTCCCCAGCCTCTCCCCTGCCCCAGCAGGTTGACACAGAAACCCAAAGGAAAGGTTGGGCGCCTCCTCTGCCCCCACGCAGCAGTGCTGCATGACTCCTCGCAGCCTGACACTTACTCACCCCGTTAGGTCAGAGGCCGCTGGTTTCAGTTCAGTTTATGTAACTGAGGTGGGTGCAGGATCAGCCAGGTCCAAAGGACGGTGATGAGTACCTCATTATGCCTCATGGTATAATTGTGTGTGTTCTTGAGTCATAGTGCTGAGACTTGGAGAGAGGTGGGGAAATTAAATCTCTAAGAGGCATTTGAGGAGAGTGGGAGGTTCTGCTCCACAGCTTCCATATGTGGCTGCACATGGGACCC